ACCTTTTTTTCTCGTTTAGGCTTGTTTGTGTCTAAAAAGGCCCATCAGCAAAATTGTTAGACAATTGAGAGCAAGTGCATTTTATCATGTTACATAAAATTCTCTCATGATCATATTTAAATTCTTTGATAATAATGATATAATAATTTTTGCTTTACTTTTACATCTTTTTTTTTTATTGTTTTCACCTTTTTGACATTCGTTTCGTTTTTTTCTATTTTTTTTTATATTTGGGATAATTGAAGGATCGATTTTTGGATTTTCCAAAGTTTCTATTTTTATACATTTTTATATTTATTTATAATTGTAAAATCGATTCTAGAATCAACCCACTCTTTAAAGAATCAATAATACCTGAAATACCTGAAATTTAGCAAACTAAATCATTTCAGTAAAATTTTCAAAAAAAAAAAATCACATACCTCAACTAAAAAGTAGTTTTCAACAGAACTGAAAATATATTTAAAATTGATTTCACTCAAATTTGAAAGATCTAGTTGTACAATTTCGAAAAAAAACTATTTATAGTTTTATTTGTTGTTAAAAACAACAATTTAGTTTGAGGTTATGTTAATGGGCTAAGCACCCTTAAACAGTCGAATCTGTATTATCATTAGTCGGTAGAACAGGTTTGATTGTTTGAATCAATAAAGAATTCTACTAATTTTCAGTGCGAAATAGGTGGTCTAATTTTATCTTTAGAAATTTAGAAATTTGCCTTTAGAATGAAAAAGTAAAAAATTTTCAATTCTTTCTCGCTTCCTATCTGGTGATTTAAATTTAAAGAGCGAGTGTCAAATTTTAGAAGGCGATAAAATTAATTTTTATAAAAATATAATGTAAATAATTTATTTTTTGTTCTTTATATTTTGATTTTTGTTAGTTGAATACATCTATTTAAAAATTCAAACCCTCAAATAAAATGTAAAATAATGTTACATTGTATGTTATTTTTACATTTGAAAAAAAATAATTTCAATCTGTATGAAAAGTGTTTGCTTTTGTTGAATAAATTCAATTTTAACGATCACTTTGTAAAACGTATAAAATTTTGAAAAATTTTTGTTTGTTATGAATCGCTATTTCTGGGGCAAAACGATTTAATATATATATATATATATATATATATATATATATATATAAATTTTAATAGTAAAATTGAGCTTTTCGGATCAATTTAACGACCGAAAGGTGAAATTCGACAAGCGTGAGATTTAGTAAGCTATCATTTATAACTGGGTCAAGCTGAACGGAGTAATATAAATTTTACCGTGGTCATGAACTATTTTCGTCCCTGACGTATGCATTAGCTTAACTTAATTCAGTTATCGGATTTGATTAATTACTGTTCAGAGGCACACATCACTCCTTTGGAAGCTTATGGGGTTTGCCCTTCAGAAATAGAAGCCTTTCAGAATAACAGAAACACGCTTTCAAGTGTCTAATATAACTAACCAATATTGTGTCAACAAAGAACTTCTTTATATTTACACTTCGAAATGAAAACTTTGTCATTTATTAGTTCTTTGAACCAGGTGTTAATTTATTAAAAAAAAGAAGAAACTCACTTCAAAATTTTTTTCATTGAAAAGAAAAACCCTTATTTCCCATTTTATTCTTCATTACACATTTCATAAATTTTATATCTTTTGTGAATTTTAATTCAAAATATTAGTATCATTATATTATTTAAAATTGGAATAGAGTAAGTGCATCAATTACGGCGCGTTCACACTGCAAAAAGAAGTATCTTATTTTAAGATGTTTTGGTCGTCTTTTTAAGATGTTTTTACAACTTGATTCTAAGTTATCAAAAACATCTTAAAATGCACAAGTTTCTTAAGATATAAGATAGATAGGAAGATACTTTTGGTAACTTGCTTCCAATGTGTCTTATAATAAGATACTTCTTTTTGTAGTGCATAAAAAATAACAATTATTACTATTATATTTAATATAACTGTTGCAAAATGATTTTAAAAAATTATTTTAATCTTTTTTTCGATACAATTACTATTAAAGATGCACATTTAAACAATTATTAATTTAATTATTTGAGATCAAATTTTTTCCCTCGCTGTAATTGAAACATTTTTAAGATTTCCATTGGCTCTAATTATACGGTGGGCATAGTATCTTCAAAATACACGTAATTTTGGTCACCGTAATTGATACACCGAAACTGATACAAACGCTCCGTATAATAGAAAATTACGGTATTAGTTTTAATTTCTCATATTTGTTTAAATAATCGATTTTTATAAAATTCAAAATTTTTTTTTTAATATCTAAATAACATAACCTTTCAGTTTAATAAGTCTTAAATTAACTTTATACAGGGAATTTAAATGATCAGGGGAAAGTCAAGGAATTTCTTTAATTTTCTGGAATTTTTTATGAATAAATTCATTCATTAAGTAAATAATTATTTACTATTTACTGAATCTAATAAATGATTTTTTAAACTTGAATAACAATTAATTAATTTTTTTCAGTGAAATATTTGGTTTTTTAATATAAATAGAAATTATTTGATATAATTTTATTTTATCAGTTCAACTTCAAATAAAGTAAATTAATCATTAATACGAATCATTTATTATTTAATGCTAATAACCACATTTAACTTATAAAAATTTTTACGGTGTCGCATCTTAAGGGCAGGTCAAAGTCAAAGCGATTTTTCCATTGAAGTTCTATGTAAAAATTGCTTCGACTTTGACATGCCCTTAAATTATCGAATTTCTATTTAGCAAAGTTGTATAAAGTGAATTTTATATTATGCAAAATTTTCAATTTACATTTAACTAAAATTCGATTTAAAAGAATTTCTATTTAGCCGAACTCTTATAAAGCATTTTTTCTAATAATTTTTTTTAAATTTTAAATTAATATAATTTCAATTTAACGAAATTTATGTCTATAAAAATTGACAAAAAAAGAACTAAATAGATTTTTTTTTACAATGAGAATTCTGTTAAGTAAGAATTAGTTCGAATTAAAATTTTCTTTAATAAAAACTTTGTTAATTAAGAATTTTGTTAAATAGAATTGCTGTTAATTGTGGAGTTATTCAATGACAATTCTATTAAGTAAATATTTTGATAAATCAAAATTTACTAAAATAACAATTCTGTTAAAAAAAAAATTTTTTTTATGCAATTTTTCTTGACATAAATTCTGTTAAATTGAAATTTGTTTAATTTGAAATTTTATGTACTAGAAAATCTGCTTTATATAATTTTACTAAATAAAAATTTGATAATTTAATTAATTAATTTAATTAATTTTTTTGATTATTATCAAATTTGCGAATTTTGATTTTCAACGACCTTAACAACAACGCAGCCAATTAATACAAACCACATACAATGTATCTCTATAGTACTCTGTGCAAATGGGCTTTGCCCGTATATTTTCAATAAATAAATAAATAAATAATTTAAGATTTGACGCCGTAAAAATTCTTTTAAATTAAATGTTGAGAATATTTATACGTCCCCAATTAGTTTATTTATTTCATTTAATTATTTTATTTTTTACGAAACATTATTTATTTGATTCAAATACATATGAAATTAGTAAATAATAGACAGATAAATGATTTATTTCATTATTTTAAAGTTTTAATATTCAAGGTTAGATTATATTATGTTTGGTTAGGAATTTTTTTTTCAAAATTCAATATGGAGGATTCAATATGGCGTACTACAAAGGATACTATTTTCAAAATTGAAAAAATTCGTCTGAACCATTTTGAATTTTGAAAATCAAATTTCACTCTCATCAATGTTGTGTTCTAAAAATAAAAATAATTCTTTTAAATTAATTTAACGGTACATATATCATCTAAAAAGCAGAAAATACGTTTGATTAAAAAATTGTGTTGCGTGAAATTTAAAAAGAAAAATAATTTTAAATTATAAATATAAAAAAAGAAAATTAAGATAATTATGAAAATGGAAGAAAATAATTTGATCAGAACTTTCGCATAAGTGAAACAAGAGGTAAAAGTGGCGTGACAAATTAAAGCCTTTAGTCAGTATTGACACGAGTGGGCGTAGGTTGAATTTGTGTGAGCTGATGGTATATAACCTAAGTGGATAATTATGAGTTACATTCCTTAAATATCTATTATTATTATTACACTAGGAATCAGTCTCAGTGTCAGTTACAGCAAAAACGCGCCTCTAGTTATATGTCTTAAAGATAAACGACACTTGACGCGTTTTATACCAAATAATTCGAATCAATTTTCTAAATTGCTCGATAAATTGAAATGTTAGCCAAAAAATTCATTTATATTTTATCATAAAATTTCCCGTGATTTTAAAAGTGAATTCACATATAGTAGTAGGTAATTTTGTTCTTCTTTCGACACAAATCTATTATTTCTATATATCAAAATCTTCTCGAAAATAAATTTAGTTCATTTCTTTTTTCAATTGCAAAATTGTGTCTGAAGATAGGAAAATTTTATTTTCATGATATATAATATTATAAAGTGTTTGCAAGTCTGGCATTTGAGGTCCTTGAAAAATGAGAAGATAAAATCCAAAAATATTTTTTTATATAACTCATCTCAATAAAACTCTCGAGAGTTTCTCTCATTTCGAGAGAGTGGGGAAAAAAAATAAATAGCAAATGTAAATTTAAAAAATAATCCTAATTTTATATTTAGAGTTAATGGCAGAAAGCGAATGATTATAATTTCGCATAAAGAAAATAAAGCACCTATTTTTTTTTTATACATATAGAATTTCAACATAGAGTCGAGAATATAATAGACTGTGTTAATTTTGCTTATATACACAATGGCATCATTGACAGTAATCATTACAAAGTTATTTTTTTGACCTTAATTTTACATTCTGTACATAAACATATATATATATATATTTTTTTTGCAAATAATGAAACTTTTATTGTTATTTATATATTTATACATATATGACTTGAGTAATTATTATTATTATTATTGATGAAATAAAAATTTGTAGGCGAAGATCCGATGCTCAGCGATCAACAACAGTATCGTTATATGACTGGTGATGATATGAAATCAATGGGAGACGATTCTATGCGTGTAAACGTCACCGACGACGAGAGGGATAATCGACATTCTGGTGGTGAGTTGTTTTTTATTTTTATACGTAAAAATTATTTTTAAAAAATTTCTAGATTTTTAAATAAAAATATTTTTAATACATTTTTGAAATAAATTTTTAATAAATATAATTTTGTGATCTAGAAAATCATTAGGTATAAATATTCAGCATTCATTTTTAAAATAATTTTCATTTTCTCAACTTGAAATATTTAATTTTATTATCAAAACGTAATATTGATTTATAAAACTGTCATTTAATTTTTATTGACATTATTTTATTAAAAAAAATATATATGATTAAAACCCGTAAACACTAAACATATTTCCAGAAAAAAATATTTTATTTATTTTTACTGTTGTAGCAAAAAAAAAAAAAAAAAAAAATACCAATAATCCCTTTGATGTAGTACTTTATACTAAAAATGGTTCTTGGATTAGCGAGATGCAGGTGTGAAATCTAATCATGTTCCTCAGTAACACTGATTAGACTTGAAAAGGCTTATTTACTATAATGCAAGTTAATCTGAAGTGAGCTTTGTCCTCTTTTGTGGCCTTTCAGCCATCCATTTTTTGACTTAAAAAATCTTTAGGCAATTGGTACTGAACCTAATTTATTTAACATAAAAATTCTTAATGACGCGAAACGATAATATTTAAAACAAAATTTTATTTATTTTGAATTCACAGAAAAAATACCTGAACTCAAAATGAGTTGAAATTAGACTTAATTTGATGTGCAACAATTGAAATTGAATCATTTTTTTTACACTTTGAATTGAGCCTGATTGAACTCATTCTGATAATTTTAATAATTATAATATTAACAAGAAATCTATATCTCATTCTGTTTAAAAAATAAAAAAAAAATTTTTTTCATTCAAATATACCTAGATAAAAGTTAATAAATAACAACAATTAGTTTAAACAATTAATTAATTGTTTACTTAATTAAAGATAATTAAATATCATTTCCTACCTCAGCAGTATAACTTTTTTACCATTTTAGTGTAATTCAAACCGTATAATTTGAAATAGCTCTTAGGGCGCACTCACACCTTTTGGCTGCCTGCCTGCCTGCAGGAGTTGTCATGGCAACGTGTAGGAGTAACAGAGAGAGAAAATTCAAATTTGAATTTACTATCTCTGTTACTCCTTGACGTTGCCATGACAACTCCTGCAGGCAGGCAGCCAAAACGTGTGTGTGAGCCCTAAAGATTTAAAAAAAATATGTCAAAATCCATAAAAAATTGAAGGCTGTAGGCGGTCGTGAACAATAAATTGGAATTCACAACTCATTTGGCTCACATTTTTTTTTTCTAAAACAGATGGCGCTACCGTTCAATTTTGTCACATTCGAGAGCGCGCAAAACAAAGCGGGAATTTTCATAAAATTCTAAATTAAATTTCATTTTAATTATATTAATAAAATTTTTTTTATAAAATTGACTAAAAAAAAAACCTCCCATGTTTTTCAGATCGACTAATTACAGAGATGATCACCAAAGAAAATTATAATCGCTCGCACGCCGCAAATTTGAAGCCAGACAATATTGACATCAACAGGCATCCCGTTCACGTTGGGTATGTACCATTGGTTTTTAAGAAAAAATAAAAAAAAAAGTGTTTTCACTTTGAAATGCTCATTTTATATTTATATATATATAATAAATTCGTTGTGAAACGATATGACAAGAGTGAAGTATATATAGATATAGAAAAGGTTTCGTGTGCGTTTGGTCAATGTGATTTCTCAATTTTTAAATATTTTTACTATAATCAGTATTTATATAATAATTCTTAAAAAAAAAATAATAATAATAATGAAAAATCTATACCTTGTAAAGCAAAACCTATTGACCCTTTCTAAGTAATTTATCTTGTGTCTTGAAAAATTGACTGTCAATAATTTATCGAATAAAAAAATAATTTTGTTTTAAATAATTTTTGGTAAATAAATAATTATAATTTGAAAAGAATTAAAAAAAAATTGTTATGTCTAATTTAAATTTTTGTGTTTCAAAAGTCAATTTTTTACAAAATTAAACTGTTTTTATATTTATATATCATATTAATATTTTTCTCTCATTAAAAAAAGGTAAATTGAGACTGAAATGAGAAAAATACATTAAAATAACATTGTATGTAATTGCAACTTTTTTTTAATAATACATAATTAATAGTTATGCATATTAGTACTATTTCTTTACAAAGAACGAAAATGTATTTTCTGAATAATAAATTTTACATTTAAAATACAATATCTAAATAATTAATAATTTTTTACTTTAGATAAAAAAAACTTTTTAATAAATTTAAAAAAATTGAGAAATTATATTTTAAAATTCATTCTTTTAATTAATTATTATTTTATTTACCAAAAAAAAAACGAATTTTTGTCATAGATATGATATAAATATTTAAATTAAATAATTTTTAAATAAATAAATATAATTTTTATAAATACAGTCAATTTTTAATAAAAACACATTTTTGTTTTAAAGTGAATATTTGTCCATAATAGATTTGAAAATGATAAAATTTTTTGGTTAAAAAAATTACATATATATATAGAAATTTAAAATCGTAAATGCTTTATATAGTGTATTGCATCGTGGCACTGTTATTGTGTGATTATCTATATTTGAAAAAAAAGAACCAACTACGACTAAAACTGAATTAATTTTTATTGTAAATATATTAATTCATTAGCTTGTATATTAAAACAATAATGTTGTGTATTATAGTAAAGACATGGTGTGGGATGGTGAAAGGTTGCTTGCTGACTTTAACACTTTAATATTATTATAATAATATGATTCTAATTGTGTATGTAATATGGGTTTTTATTAATACCACATTGAGAAAGAAATGTTCTTTCACACATTTTCTATACTGGTTTTAGTTTACCTTCTATTTCAGAAAACAAAAATTTTTCAAATTTTCATATTTTGATTTACTGAAGGAAATTAGAAATTTAATAATCTCAAACTAAGATTGAAATTACAAAATGTATATAATTGAAAAACTATTTTTTAATTCCAATTTAACATTTTATTTTTTGAAATAAATTTTTAAAAATTTTATAAAAATATATAATGAATGAACAAAAGTTTTTAGAAATAATTAAATTGAAGTAATATTTAAAGAAAATTTTAAATTAAATTTATTAAATTAAATTTTATTTAATTATTTTATTTTTAGTTTCAATTTATTTCTTAGTTCGAGATAATAATGTTAATGATTCGATTAATTTTCTTGAGTTTATCAAATCGTTTGAAACTCTCTTATATGAAATGAAAAAAAAGAAAATTCTTCTCACTCACTGAATGCGTCTTGCGTAGAAAATAGCATGAATTTTGATTTTGAAAATTTCTAAACAGTTTTCTATACTGCGAGCACACTTGCACAAAAAAAAGGAATTACGAAGAATGTAGAATTAAAAATATTTGCTATTAAAAATTGTAACAACTTTATTTCTACAATCTCCAACTCTTATTTTCTTTATAAAATATAACTTCATAATTATTTTTTTAAAAATTGATTCATTTAAATTGAAAATAAAAAAAGGTTGAAATTAAAATAAGAAGTATGGCTGATTTGATGCACTAAATTTTTTAACTAATAAGGGGGGAAAATTATTTGCTTCTCTATCAATAAATTACTATAAATTGTTTTTCTCACAAAGGCATTTAGTTTTCTTATTTTCTTATTCTTACAAGCAATTTTTTTTTAAGTAACGAATTTTCCTTCTTGCGACAGATTTTCTCGCTTAACTGAATCATGAAATAAATTAATAATTATTAAAAAGCAATTAATTATATTTTTTGTTGAATTAATTAACAAATGAATTTTTAACTAATTTGATAAATTAATCAATCGTGAATTTCATAAATTAATTCATAATAAATCAATAATAAATAATAATTAATAATAATTAATAATAATTAATAAATAATAAATTAAGTTAGTATACTTAATTAATATATAAATCATCATAATTATTAATTATATTTGCATATCCACATTATTAATTAATTTATTTTTTATTTAATAAGGTTACAAAAAGTTAAAAAATATTCATTAAAAATAATAGTGTTTCTAAACAATTTCACTTATTGTTTCGAATTCATGTTACGAAAGAAACTGTCGTCACTTTGTGATTTTCACGATATTTTCAGAATTTTGTAAATATAAATTATGTAAAAAAATAGAATTAGATAAAATTGAGTGCTATGATTTACAATATTCACAATTTCTAAGGTATATTGATTTAAATATCATTTTTATTGACACACGTTGATGCAAATATCTATTTTGCGGTGTATGAATGTTGAGAGTGAAAATAAAAACGATTTTTTTTCACCTAGTCGACGAAAAAATTGTCACCTTATAAAGGGATGTCAGTAAAGTGTTTAGGAATCTCTAAATGAAAATCCAAACTTGACCTACAAGTGCGTTACTTTTATTTATTTATTTTTTATTTTATAAAATCACGATAATCTAAATGCGCAAAATCTTTTTTTACACTTGAGACCTCCCCTAGGCCTCTGACAAGATTCTTTTCTAAGTATATATATATATATTTCAACGAAAAGAGTCTGCTGAAAAATGTACATAAATTCTTCACTTGATGATATTTTTATACTTTTGATATTTGAAAATTTAAAAATTTTTGTTTTTTTTTATAACGTCAATTAATTCTATTTTAATTATCTTCAATTAATTAATGTGAATTGAAAAAAAAATAATTTATTATAGCAAATTTATTTTTCAATACAAATATTTTATAGAGTTTTCAAAAAATAATATTCAATATTATATAATATGAAATTATCAAAATTAAAAATTATTATTTATTACATTAAAAAAAAAAAAAATTGTGTGACTTTATTATCTATTTTATTCTAAAATAAATATAATAAAAGATTTTCTACAGCACAAAATAATTATATAAAATTGCAGGAAGTCGTAAAAATGAAGGTTGATTCTTTAGATTCGATTCTTTAACAAATATTAATTTTAGATAAGAATCAAAAAAACAATTTTTTAAAACAAAACTTGTTCCTGTATTTCACGTAATCAATAAAAAAAAAAAAACTTTTTGAATAAAAATCTTTAATGGATAATAAATAATATTTTTATAAAAATTTATTTATTATTACGTCACACTATTTAAGCGAAAAACAATAATGACAAATTTAAATCAGTAATAAATAATAATTGTTGATGTTGATACATAAATCATATTATATATAGAAGACATAGGAGGCAAAATTTTATTTCTTATTTTTATTGCTGGCATTTAATGAAAATTATAATAGGAAAAAAAATTTGTATTTTTATTTTGCAATTGCATCACTTCCATTGCCTATATTGTCACGATTTTATCACATTAGTATTCTTTTTGCCAAAGTAGCGCACTATACACAGCGTTTTTTAAATCTGTATTTTGTAAAAGAGAAAAAATAACATATCTATTTATTTTGAACTGCACGTAAAACAAAAAAAAATAAAATAAAATAAAAATTAAGCATGAGCACGGTTTAGAGCCTATTTTTCGATAATCATACGTAGTTTTGTTCTGAGATTAGCGCGTCACTAGAGTCCTTAAATACATCGCTGGCTGCCCTTGGTATCGTGCCAAAAGGACAAGGAATGTGGAGGGACAGGTACACTATAACCCTTTTTATTATCTTTTTCAAATTCTTTTTCCAAAAAAAAAGCAAATAAATAATTTTATTTTCCAAACATCTTATGCAGAACTGTAAATAATTTTTGTTCTTATTTAACAAAATACTTTTTTTGAAAGAAAAAAAAAACAATTTATTTTTAAAAATTTATTAATATTTTTAAAAAAATTGTTACTTTGACAATAAATGACTTTGCTGGTATTTTTGCAACAAATCTTGTGAGAATTAAAATTTTTCCAGTTGTAGAATTTTAATACAAATGTTTTTCTTCCGCAATATATTTATGAAAAATTAGTTTTTCGATTTTTGAAGATAGATAAAATTGTTTTTACTTTTACCTGTCTTCCAAAATCAAAAAAATAATTTTATATTTTAATTTTTTTTAAATAATCGTTTTTGCGCTCTAACTCGTAACGTACGGCGCTTCCGTTCATTGGCTGCTTCGTGACCTTGAAACCGTACAGCCAATTAAATGAACGGGAGTACAATGTGGGCGTTTTTATATTCAGACACCGTTTTTGAGCGTACAGGCGATTACTGTATTGTCTAAATCTGACCCTGTTTCTTGTTTGATAATTAAATAAAATTTTATAAACCAAAAAAAAAATTAATAAATTTTTGCAAAATATAAGAGTACCTATTAAATATACCAATCAAACATAATAGATCTATAAAAAAGATATTTTCAATCATCTTAGTTTTTTTTTAATAACAAATCTGAAATACTTTAATGAAATTATTAAATAAAAAATAAAGTGAATAAAAAGAAAAGTGTTGCAAGAAAACCAACAGACTATTGTGTTGTTAACGGAAAATGTTTTTCTTTCAATTTTCCATACTGTATGAGATAATAATATACTATATAGAATTTATAATCTAATTACTTATAATTGACTAAAAAAAAAAAAAAAATCCCATCATCTCAACATTAACGAGAAATAATAACAAATTGGCTAGAACATTAAATGCGCTGACATATGCAGTTTCAAAAATAACCATTAGTATCCGCATTCTTTGTAAATATAGTTTCGATAATATATAATATGTAGTCGTTTTAACTAGCGTTAGAATGTTTTTAATTTAGCATAACAGCTATTTAGATCAGAATCCTTTTTTAGCGCAAATTAATAATTAATTATTATTAATACCAATCTATATACATGTTTAAATGCGAGTCACATACACGACACAACTTTTGTATGATATACTTTTGTTTATATGATAATTTATGTAGTTTTATTGATACTGTACAATTTTCCACTACCCTCTTTTCATTATAGATTTATTTTCCTACTTGTAGTTTTATTTTATTAATTATTGCTATTATTATTACTATTTTATTATTATTATTATTATTACTGTTTTTGTAACTTAACCTCTAAATTTAAATAATCGATAATTATTACACTCGTGGCCAGATATGCATACACTTTCTTGTCCTTTTCTAACACACGTGTTGTCATGGCAACAAAAAAAAAGAGTATAGGCATATCTGACCACCAGTGTAGGTACATATAACTAATTCTAATAATAAGTGTATGTAAGACTATTAGTGAAAATTCGCTTATTCAAATTAAGAAAGATAAGGAGTCATATTTAAAAATTTGACTTTTCTACTTTGTTCTTAATTTTGTAAAATATAAGTATAATATTTTTATATGATTTTTATATTATCCTACTATTTACTGTATTAATTAGATGCATTGACTATTTTCTTTAAAATTTGAGAAGAAATTTTTAGTTAGAATTCTGCATTACCGACTGACAAAATAGTAGAGTTTTATATTGTTATTATATAGTATTACTGTCGGTAAGTGATTTACCTTTATTGCCTGTTTTCCCGTAAAGGGCGAATATATTAGGCACTTTGGGCACTAAGAATGTTGAATTGTTTACAAACATAACCTAAAATTGTCTATCTTTTAAGGAGGGTGGCGGGTCAATATAACCTCAAAAACTTGTCAAAATTAAAAAATTGTTTTTAACGCAAACAAAAATATAATAAATATTAATTTCAACCAATTTTAGAAGATCTAGATTTACTCCTTTCGAAAAAAATTATTTTTTTCCAAAACATTTTGTCAATAATTATTTTTTTAACATTTAGTTTTTTTTTTCTTTTAAATCAGACAAAAATTGCAATTTTTAACCAATTTTTATAAACAAAAGCTCATTTTACTAAATGAAACATTCTCTACAATTGTTACCTTTTTTATATTGTAATAAGTATGTTCTTAAAAAGTTATAAACAATTAAAATTTTATTTATTAAATAACTTTTTAAGAACATACTAATTACAATATAAAAAAGGTAACAATTGTAGAGAATGTTTCACTGAGTAAAATGAGCTTTTGTTTATAAAAATTGGTTAAAAATTGCAATTTTTGTCTGATTTAAAAGAAAAAAAAACTAAATGTTAAAAAAATAATTATTGACAAAATATTTTGAAAAAAAAATAATTTTTTTTCGAAAGGAGTAAATCTTGATCTTCTAAAATTGTTTGAAATTAATATTTATTATATTTTTGTTTGCGTTAAAAACAATTTTTTAATTTTTACATGTTTTTGAGGTTATGTTGACCCGCCACTCTCTTTAAGTATACCAATGACGGATATAACCTCTAAATAAAAGCGATAAGTTAAAGAATTATTTTCACAAAATTTCTACGACACATTTTTAAATTTTTTTTAGATTACTTCAAACTTTGCACAACACTGTACACATTTTATATATGTATAAACGATGTATATTTGTATTTTTAATATTCTCTATTTGTATTATATTGTTTATAAACCATGAATATTGTACAAGATACACTAAATGTTTCGTCTATTTGCACAGTGTGAATGGAGTGTTTTATACATACAAAACTGGAATTTCTACTATAATACATAATGATTATTGTTATTCCTATTTTTTTTTGTCAAAATAAAAGTAGGTTTTCCTTTAAACAAGTCCAAAGTTTTCAAAATTTCTAAAGCTCTCGTTTTTTTTCAAAAAAAAAAAAATAATTAAATCAAAGAGTGCTCGTAGCAATTGAAAACTTGGGAAATCTCTGCGAAGTAGAAGTAGCTCGTTCTCATCTGCCATCATCTTTCACAATCACGTTTATTGATGAATGAATACTAACGCGTTTTTATTTTGTTTCCGATCCTTTCTGTTTTTTTATTTGCGCTACTCGCAGAATTCCACAATGGAAAAAGTAAGTGAACTCTTCATTAAGTCTAGCCAATTTTTCTGTTTTGCTATATAAAAATTTTTACGTCGCATTCACTATTTTTTACTCTTTTTTTTGCTGCACTATTTTATACCCTGTAGTTGATGTAGACCCCCGATTCATAAATTAATAGTGAATACATATATGTTAGAAGAGTTGAATAAAAATTTGAATCCTACGGGGATCGAACCCTAAAAACGCAAGAATTGACTTAGCGCTTAACGATTGCGACTATTATAAACTCGAGAATTCTTATAACAACTATTTATAATTCATTGAAAATTCGAAATAGAAATTTAACACTGTAAATTTCGATTCACCGGAAATTCAACGAACTTTAGGGAATAATTTTTAAAAATTCAGTAAAATTTTACTCTTTTGATAAAATAAAATCTATTTTGGTAAAAAGTGATATTTCGATTTTCGCGAGAAAATATGTATTCACTGAAACGCCTGCAGACTGTTTGCGATGTTTCATTTATCATATATTATGAATTAGTTTAATTATTATTATTATCCTACAATTTAAGTTTGCTTCGTATTTTATATTGAGCTTCTCATTACAACGTGCCATCTGATCATTCACGTCATCTATAGCATAAGCAATTCATTCATATTTATATATAAATCGAAATATAAGATCACGATGAACTGAGATTTCTTATAATACTGAGGAATATTCTCATCAGCGATTTAATATATCATCTAATTTATAAATAAATCGAGAGCAAATTCGTTTTAAGGTGTACATATAGTTTAATAAGTCTCTTTGTATATAATATATATCATGTAATTTTTAACATTCAAAACATATGTTTCATAGTATTTCTTTAACTTCTGTAAAGTATATAATACTATATATAATGTTTAACAGTATCCCTTTAATGTATATATTTTGTATACTATATTCTTAATCCTTTATATAGATGGAATATAGGAAAATTTTGATATTTTGATATTTAAAATGCATGTGAAATATTACAATTTTTTTTGTTTCAAGAATCACTTTTTTAGATTGGTTTTAAAAAACTGAATATTTTAAAATTAATAACACAAAAGATTCATATTGACGTTCAATCAATTTTGATAACTATTATTCCGAGGCATTCCGAAATTTGTTTCCGAGCCAAACAATTTTTATCTGAATCTAAATTTGTATGCAACTCAACAAATAATTGTTTTCGGATCATTCCAAATCAATTTGTTTCATTCCAAAGCTTAATTTCAATTGAAATTTAATTCCGAATGAATCCGAATGAATCCGAAGCTAAATTTTAATCCTTTTACCTAAATTATGAAATTTTTCTCCGTATCAATCTATTTCATTTAGAAGCTAAATTTTAATTTTTTTGAATCCTAAAATGTAAAATTTTACTCTGAATCAATTCGATGCTAAATTTTAATCTTTTAAATTATTAAATTTTACTCCGAATCAATTTCTTCTATTTCGAAGTTTAATTTTAATTCTTCTGAATCCTAAAATTTCATTCCGAATCAATCCGAGGCTAAATTTTAATCTTTTTAAATTATAAAATTTAATTCTAAATTGATTCGGAAAGAAAAAACAGAATTGTTAAGAATAAAAATTCAGCTTCAGAATTCAATTGATAGATTCGGAGAGAATATTTTGTTTAAGTTACATTAAAATTTACATTTGGATAGAAACTAATTGGCTTGGAAACAAATTTCGGAATACCTCGGAATAATACTTAAAACTGATTAAACATCAATCTGAAACTTTTGTCACTGCTATATTGATAGAGTCATCAATAATAAAATTTTAAATCTGCAAATAAAAGCACTAAAATATTTTGGGTTTATTTTTTAAAAATTTTATACAACTCATTTGTTTAAAATTTTGTATTTTTTTCCAAATGCCATTCGAAAGAGCGCCATTTTTCAGATATAAGAAATAACTATTTAAAATTTTTTTTTCTCATTCAATTTAAATATGACAATATAGACCTAGTCTTTAAATTTAAATTAGAAGAAATTTTAACTAATTTTAAATTGTGACTCATTTTTTGCTCTTGAATTTTTCTAGTTCGATAATAAAAATTTTTGTTTACTATTAGTAAAATTTTACTAATTTAAAAGCAAAAATTGAGTCACTAATTCAAATTAGTTAAAATTTTTACTAATTCAGATTTAAAGAGTAAAGTTTGTGATAAAAATTTTTATATTCCATTTATCAAAGTATCTAATTTATCTGATAAATATCAGATTTCAATTGTAAAAACCTCTCTCTGTTGCTTGTAAATGTGCAATAGTGTGTAAATGATCACTAATTAAACGATTGTAAATGAATTTCGACAAAATGAGCCTTATGCTATAAAAATGTGATGTTTTTAACGGGCAAACGGGGGCTTTTAAGTAGTGAAAAGTCTTCTAGAATATTAATTATTAATAGTCGACATTATAACAATTAAGTTTTTTTTTTTTTTTGTAAAAAATATGTTTTACCCTCTTACTCCTTTACAATATATTATATATAGAGAAATTTGTACAGTTTTGCAACCGAATTTTGTTTATGTCAAATTTTAGGCCACTGCCTATAAATTAAACACTTTCATCTTAAATTTAAATGAACCCATTTGGTTAATTAATTAAATCAATATTCTCCAAATTAATTTAATTCTTGTTAACTAGATTAATTGATTTAATTAATTGTATAAATGAAAATTTCACATTTGCTCATATTTTTTATTCCCCTTCATAGTGAAGAATTATTTTTATGAATTTTTAACGATATATTCATTAATATTTTAATTAAAAACGATTGAATAATTTGTAAATTAGTAACGTTTTGTTAAAAAAAATCTAAAATTCTTAAATTGTAGATAATATTCATAATTTCTAAATTAAGCAAATGAAAATTTTTCCAGTTTTAATTTGAGATAAAATCAGTTACAAAAAAAAAATTGCTATTCAGACTCTACGTATAATAGAAGTAATTTTAATAAAAAATTTTTCCAGTGAATTAAAATTATTTTGAAAGTTTTCTTTTAGTGTGCAAAATATATTGCATAATAAACTGCATGCCCTTTAAATACAAGTGCGTCTAATTAAAAGTGGGTCAAAGTGAATTGTTTTGTAAACATGAATGATTTGATAATTGGATGTTTTAATTGCAATCGTATGGTCTGGATAGTTGTCTCTCATATATGTACATATACTAAACTTAGAATCTGATATAATAGAGTTCAATTAATCTTTCTTGTAATCAGCCTCATTCGCATATACCTATATATATATATATTTATACATAATAATAATAATAAATTAGAGAATTACTCTTGCACACTTGTTTGCCAAACGATTGACAATATTTATAAGCACCATATATGCTTTTTGTAAGAAGTTTCTCGTTTCGCTAACATATTTATAATAATAAATATAACAGTTGAAAATAATTCTCCTTTTTTTTTCTTTTACAAAAAATAGCTTTTTGGTATCGTTCCTGGTGGATGCACGCGGTGGAGCAATGAGAGGTTGTCGACACAGTGGAGTACGAGTTATTGTTCCTCCTCGTAAAGCGGCAATGCCCATGAGAGTGACATGCAGATATCTCAAGAGGAGGGACAAATTAACCAGTCCACCACCTTTAATGGAGGGAGAAGCTTTAGCAAGTCGTATTCTTGAACTTGGACCAGTAGGAGCTAAATTTTTGGGGTAATTTTCTTATTTCCATTTTCTTATTTTCTATTGTTGACGAGAGATGATTATTTTCTAAATATATTCTTTTGCTGTTTAAACAGACCTGTTATAATTGAGGTACCACATTTTGCCTCATTAAGAGGAAAAGAAAGGGAAATAGTGATTCTTCGATCAGACAATGGAGAAACCTGGCGTGAACACACCTTGGAAGCCAGCGAGGAGGCTGTCCAAGATGTACTCAACGAGAGCTTTGAAGGAGAAGGTGAGATTTAAGTAATTTTTAATTCTTTAATCACAGTTAGCAACTATTTTTTGTTTTGTGAAACCCTAGTTTAAATCCGCGCGTCTAGATATCTGAAGGTAGACTGTAGTGATGGTAGATTTTCGACTTCCGAGAATCGATATGCTAGCGCTTCTCACCGAGAAGATTGACGTATGGTAAACACATAGTTCAAAGGGAAACAGCGGTGCAGGAATTTATCACGAATCAGAAGAGGTATTGTCTGGGGTCCACCACTACTGTTCTACAATCAGAAATATTGGCCCTACTCTTTGGTGCTACTGAAGCACTCAACAGACTAGCTGAAAATAATCGCGTTACACTCCTCTGGGTCACAGGACACAGCGGAATTAGAGATAACAACATAGCGGATGAACTGACCAAAATAGGAGCTAGGGCACAATTTATCGGACCTACTGGTGTCTCTGACAAATGTCTGGTTCCGGAATTTAAGCAGAGGCGAGATACAGAGCATCAGAAAGAGTGGCAGGCATCTACAGGTTGTAGACAACCGGAGCACTCATTGGAAATAATATAGACCTAAAAAGAGCAGCAGAATTCCGCAGACCGAATGGGAAAAATGCTGTAACAGGCCTTTTAATCAGTTACGGAGACTTACGCTATCATAGACATAGCCTAGTAGTTTTACGAACAAGATCTCCCTGTACAGGTATACCCACACGAACCCCATGGTCGTGGGGCCGAGATACGCTCGACCAATGTCGATGAACCTGATGTTCTAGTCATCTACTGATTCCTACAAGGCTAGTAAGGACCTTGCAGACCCTCGGTTGGGACCGAGACCTTCCCAATCCTTAACGCCAATGCAGGCCATTTCCCGAGTTGAGACCGCAATCCACACGTCGAGACCTAGAGAGTAGAACAACTCCGATGGCGCTAAAGCACCCAAAGGGTCGTCCTCTCCGATCAGTCTCTAACCCAACCGATGTGGGCTATTAACCACTGTAACCAAGAGTCCCACCCAATGATTCTAATAAAGATTAGTTTTCACGTGCCCCGTTTCCCCATGGTACCGTTTATACTCTTGTATGAATCCGTTATCATAGACATAACGAGAAAACGCCAACAGATTGCAGGTTATTTTTTCCTCAGAGAAATAGCTATTGCTAATAGTAGTTTGGCTGCAGTCCTGCATTTATGAAAAGAGCCCACGAATAGATATAGGTTTTGTGAACTAAGGGATTACCTAAGCGTTGGTGGCTGTCACGTAGCCACAACCTTTTCAATTCCGTTGGAGTCTTCTCCTATTTTAATCAGGAGGTCTAACAGATTGACCTCTTTGCGAAGCTTACCCAAAACGTCAGCATATGATCATCCTTAAGTTGAGGAAGAATTAGCTTTTAAGATGCTAGTTAATTCTAGAATCTGATCTCTGAATAAATCTAGGATACACTTCGCCCTAAATTATTTGTGTAATTAATTCTAGCCTCCAGATTAAATTCATTAACAATCTTTTTTTTACAGAATTAAGCCAGCTAGAAGATCTCCAGACGTCTCGAATCGTACGAATCCTCACAGTCGATTTCCCCCATTATTTCGCTGTGGTATCGCGAATCAGACAAGAAGTACATGCAGTTGGTCCCGAGGGAGGTACATTATCATCATCTGCCGTACCGCAGGTGCAAGCCGTGTTTCCAAAATGCGCCCTCACCAAAAAAATCCGAGTTGGACTACAGGTATCAACAATAAAGCAATTTTTCCATTTCACTTTCTTATATATCTTAAATTCATGCACTTCGTTATTATTTTTCTCATCGAAATTTTGTCCGACAAAGTACAATTTACTGGTATGTTGATACTTTTCTTCATCTCCATTCATCATATCGTCTTAATGTATTTTGAATTTTATTAAATTTTTTACATAACTTATAATTGATTTTACTTTTATCTAGGCACATCCTATACCAGCCGAATTGGTGGCTAAACTTTTAGGCAATCGTGTGGCTGTTTCGCCAATTGTCACGGTTGAACCAAGACGAAGAAAGTTCCATAAACCAATAACTCTGACAATACCAGTACCTCAAGCTGCAAATAAAGGAATGATTAATCAGTACTCGGGCGATGCGCCAACATTGAGGCTTCTTTGCAGTATCTCTGGTAATATATGATTGCACGCAAAAACATTCTTTCTTCACGATTAAAAAAAAAATCATTTTTCATTAATTAGGGATTTGCGATTTCTTGAAAATAGAACAAAATCATCAAAAGCGAATATTATATGGAAAATTGAGTATTTCAGTAGACAAACATTTTCATCCAATGTTTTATTTAACTTTATTTAACTGGATATTTAGATCTTTTATTATCTTACTTAATATTTAAATAATAGAATACATTTTTAAAAAAGTAATATTTAAAAATCGTCTTTCTCTACTAAAATTTATTTATCTTATAATGGTTTAAACTATTTGGGAGTTTTAATGAGAATTAACAATTTTGATCTGAATTTCTGTTAGATTTGTTGCATCCCATATAGTATAAAAATTGGAACTTGTTTGTGTTTTATTTTTTTTTTTTTTCTAAACAGAAATATATTGTAGTGAATAGTTTTGAAACGTTCGCGTTTCACGGCGTATGAAAAAAAACACTTTTCAAGAATTTTATTGTATTTAAAGTTTATTTGATTCGATTGTTACAAAATCTTCACCCTCAATTCATTTGTCGCAACATTTTTCATTGTTAATTTATATATATTATATTCTATTTTTTTGTAAATAATATAAACATTTCGAACTTCCTATAATCAAAATCAACAGAATTCAAAACAAGCTCATAACAAGACGTATCCATCATTTCTGGCGGAAGTTCATTATCAAAGACTCTTTGTAGATTAATACTATCTAATAAGAAGCTAAAGTTGCAATATTTAAAGAAACGAAAAAATTATATTGTGCAGTTCTAGTTTATAATAATGGTTACCCTTCTGGCGAGAATTGCGAAAGCAATTGAAATAGATTCCCGAAAAATTAGGAAAAGGGCGCTCTTGAATCTAAATTAAATGTTACCGACTGTGGATGATACTTCTGTGACTGTAGCATATACTACAGATTGTTAAATTTTAAAAATTTTGAATGTTCTCGTTGCCTGTGTTAAAAAACAAGAAACACAAGTCTCGGGTCAAGTTTTCACTTTTATTAAGTTTTCAGAATAGGATTCTGATGAAGTAGACCATTTGAAAGATGGTCCTTACTCCAATTACGACCGTCTGGACATATTTACAAGTCACTAACAGCCTGTAATTGGGTTTACTGCGGATATCAATTGTAAAAGATTTTGAGGAAAACTTCCGCTTTATGGTGCTAAAATCCTAACAGCACACATTAGATTTACTTGAGTTCAATCAAAATATCAGGTGGACTGGCTTAGGTGGATTAACATTTAGAATTAAAAATTCTTTGCAGAATGGAGCTCCATTTTCAATTGTGAGTTCCCTATTTCCCAGCATGTAACAACTCTAATTCATATAATATTATTGTATGGGTGCCAAGAGCAATCAGGGCTGTCTTTATAATCTCTAAAGAGGTGTTACTGAAATTCTTGTTTATGTCCATGAAAATACCAACTGCAAAACTTTGGTCATGAAACTGATCATCAATCAAGTAAACTGTTCTGGTCAAAGCTGTCTCCGTAGAGCGTTTCGCTTTTTAGGCATGCTAATCTCTGTGTTGGGTTTAATGCTTCAAGATCTTTTTTGTGCGAGAATAACCGTGCTACTGTAAACTTATCAATCTCCTCATCCAGGAAATTGATCTTACGAACTTTAAACCTCCCAGGTAATCTAGAAAGTGTCTCCTTAAATTCTGTGCTGTATTTGACCCAATCAGTTATTCAGAAATTACGAATTCACTTGATCTCCGAAAGAACAACAGCCTCTAGTTTAAAAATTATCATTAAATGATTTGGCCCAATCAGTTAACTGACAATTACGAATTCACTTGATCTCCGAAGCAAGCACTGTCTGCAGCTTAAAGATTATCTGTAAATGTTCAAAAAGCGGAGGTTCATTAGAGACTTTCCTTCATCTTACAAGTATATATAATATCTCTGGAACAGAGATTGATGCCACTCATCCTAATTACGTTGTTAGAGGTCGAGCTTGTACAGAGAATATCTATCTCTATTCCCATTGATCATTCCATTAGGTTCTATCTTCTCTGGTTAGTCTATGTACTCCTCTACAGCCCAACGGATGAGAACGTCCTCTTTCTTACTCTATGTAGTAGTTGACTAACTGGCGGGTTTTCATTAACATAAAATAGGAAGTATGCCAATCTATTTCAAAGCATAAATCCAACAGCAGAAAAAAATTATGATTACCAATCTTGATCTAACAGCTTTAGGAAGCTTTTGGACGAAGTGTCGTAGCAAAAAAACCACAACCTCCTAATCCTTCTGACACTACTCATAACAAACCAAGGTAACGAGATGAATGTGTGCGTTGTAATCAAACACAGTTAGCTTCTTTCAATATTATCAGAGATTATTTTATGACTTCTAGTTGAAGTCTTCTAATCCCTCGACTTACTCTCTGGGTCTTCTTCAACTAATTTAGGCTCCGGATCTTCAAAGAGTATACGCTCAAATTTGCATTACAAGTTTTGGTCCCTCGTGTTAAAATTGTGAAATTTTGAATATCAAATTCCAAGGATAAGAACCAACTATTAAAATTTGATATTGAAAAATTTCAAAATTTTAACTCCAGGAACAAAAACTAGTGATGAAAATTCGAACGTATACCCTTCTAAGATCCGGAGCCTAATTGTAAGGGAAAATTCTTCAACATGCGGCAAGTTTTGAATGTCTTTAAATGTCTCCTACCAATGATAATAATTAATAGGAGACAAGTGATCATTTTTCATTTCAATTATTTTATACTAACAACGGCACAAAACAAAAAATTTTTTCGTTCTTTTTTAAATTTTGTAAAATGCTTCAAAAAAATTCAAAACGCTTTTTCGGTAATTTTATTTCATGTCAAATTTCACAATTTTCTTCTTTTTAATCCTAGCAATAAAAATCCTGCATTTTCAATTGATACAGATGGGAGAAGATGGAGTAAATCAAAGGTCAAATCTGATCCGCAATCATATTTGATTTCGATCAATTAGAAGAAGATAAACGTTGAGAAAGATAGTGGGCAGTAATCACTGACCCATTCAATTCTCTCTTTTCACACACATACACCCACATTTAAAAAAAACGTATTCCAAGTTGATTGAATGATCAGAGTTGCATTAATTCTTCTATCTCTCATTCTGGTTAATTTAAAATGCAAAAATATTTTATGAAGTTGCATATAAAAAGTTTTCATTGAAAAATGACTGTTTTAAAATGAAGATTCATTAAATTTCATAACACGGCTAAAAATTCCTCGTTAATGCATATAAATATATATTCCAAAGGAAGGTGGTTGCTGTCTATTTCACAGAAACATCTTGCTGATTATCATTCGTTGTATACATTATTTGTTGTGATTCGCTGTTAATGCTTGCGTTTTGTTAGGATTGAGTCATTTAGGTATGGATTAAACATTCAAGTAGAATATACATTTTTTACTATATATATATATATATTCTAGCTCTTTAAAACCTTGATATAGTTTTTGTTTCAGCACATTCGTTATTGAATGGTAAAATTAATCGCTTTGATCAAAAAACTAGGCAAACTTTTCTATAATAAAAACTTGAATTTAAATCGAAAAAAAATTTAAAAAACATTAAAAAATTTTCTGCAAAATTTTTATAACAATTTAAAATAATACAAAAATTCAATTATTTTTTTCTTTTTTGGTTATGAATAAAATACAATATATTTTAGTTTCTGTGAATATAGGGGCGCAGACTTTTTTTAAAAAATTTCAAAACATTAAACAAAAAAGATGCCTAATAAATATTCTTCTGAGAGTTCACTCTTCTTCTTACTTGATGCTTTAACTGTCTTTTTACACACATGTTGCTTTTATACAGTTCTTCTGTGTGTTTCATTATACATTTCATTTTTTTTTTTCATCATTATTTCGCAAGCATTATCATTCGAATGACAAACACACTTTATTATTGTTTTTACATCTACGTATATAATATATATTTAATATTTATATATACCCAGATAACACACGTACTAGTACGGTAGTAGTATAATACTAGTACGACGTACTAGACGTACTAGTACTGTACCAGCCATGTACCTTCGCACGGTACCAGGTACTGTACTAGTACGGCGTACCGGTATGCAATATCGGTAGAATACGAGTACTATACGAGTACGACGTACTGAAAACTTTTGTGACTTAGTATAACGTACTGTTATTGTACTGGTACAATACTAGTATGATGTACAATATAAAATATTATATACCCTCCCCTTTCTCTTCCCACAATAGTATTTTCATTATTTTCATTTATTATTCAAAAGAAAATCTGTGGGAGAACTGAAATAATAATAATTCATTTTTATTGAATCATTTTTTTTATTTACATCATATATGTAACTTGTATTCTCACTTATCTTAAAATATCTGGTGTTTTATATTATCAAATATTAATTGATTATTTCTTTACATTTAAACATTATTTCAAAAGAATTTTAAACTTGATGTTATAAATTGCTTTGAAAAACATATTATCACATCCTAACCTATAAATATGTTATATGTATAAGAAAAACTATAACGAAATAACACACAATTGAATTTAAAAATATATCAATATGATCAAGACCGAATTTATGAATTTTTCTCATTATAAATGTAAAAGATTTTGATGTTTTTCAATGAAATAACACCACGGCACCATGTCAAAGTAAAAGAATATAAATCTTATAAAGATCGATGATTTAATATAAATTTAATCTCGGATATTCAAGATAAGTACAGAAGCACAAGTTACAAACGTTAATACTCTTTTGCTGCATCATAAACCACTTTTTTCACCAACATTTATTGCACCGTTTTCAGTGACGCGTTCATATTTGACAATTGTCAAGAAAGTGAGGTTGGGTTGGCATTACCAGCAAAGACTCCCAGTACGACGTACCAGTATTATACTTGTATCGTACAAGTATGTTGTGCTTCTTATTTCAGAAGTACGACGTACTGGTATTGTACTAGTACTATACTTTTATCGAGTAATCATATTTTACAATTCTAACAGTACGACATACTTTTATTGTACTAGTACCGTACTGGTACGACATATATCATTATTTTGTACTTGTATAAAACTAGTATAATACTAGTACGCCGTACTCGTAAATAACGATTAGTACGCTTGGTTATCTGGGTATATATATGAAAAGCACGTGTCAACAAAGCACATCGAATGTCTGCTTTTAAATACAGTTGATCAAGCTTTTAGGAAGTCTTGAAATATATAGCGAATAATTTTTTCAATTTTCAAACTTTCTTTCAATTTTAGCTTATTATAGTATTTACGCCTTTACATATCTCCTCACATCCCAAAAAAATGAATTATAGATTTTTAAAACTGTTTTCAGATCATTAACCCCATATTTTCTTTAACAGCATGAGATTTTTGGGTGGAAAATGTTATTTTCTGGGGAACTTTACTCTTAAAATATTTAATGGATTGATTTGAGATTTTGTGGAGATGTCTAAAATATGATGAAGGAATGGCTAATATATGCTAAAATTGGGAATTTTTTTTTTATTAATTATTATGCATGGAGAGAAAAAAAGGCTATGATAACTGGAGAACCAAGCAGTAACTGCCTGAGTGAAGAAAGTAGTAGCCATGGAGTAGTATTGGGATCAGAAATCACGCGAAACTGACCCACCCCTGAGCCTTCTTGTGACAACCATCTTGGTTTTTTATATCTTTCTTTTGTATATGTTAGAGAAACACGGAATGAAAACATGGCCACCACAACAAGGCTCTCACCAGATGGCGTATCGCAGTATTTCAGATCCCAATAAGGAGACTGAACGACCATGTTAAATCTGCGTTAAAAGTGGACCAAATTTTGGTAACCGCTTAGTGTCATGAAAATACGTAATGGAACACTAGCGCCACTGATTGTGTTAAACTCAGCTGGACTGGAGAGTCAGCCATTGTAAAAGTTTTAATAATAATACGGAGCAATGTTTTTTTTGGGTTATGTTCAACGCACTTCTAATTTTTCCCACTGTTTACATACTTCCCACGAGAGCGCTTGTGTTCCATTACGTATTTTCATGACACTAAGCGGTTACCAAAATTTGGTCCACTTTCAATGTACGTCGTTCGGTCTCCTTATACTACTCCATGGTAGTAGCATTAAAGCTAACACAACTTGGATCCCAAGCAGTATTTGCCCGGCAAAGGTAAGCTACATTAGCTGGGCAATCTAAAGCGGCGTTCACTTTGTTCTGCACAGTTGCAAATACTTGACACACAAGTAGAATAACGGGCACATCATAAAAAATTATAAATTTTATTATAATTGCTATTATTTTTCATTAACATTTTTTATATTCTTCTTTTATGGTTTTGAAGAACCAATTACAAAATTTGTTTTAAAAAATTTGAATTTTTTTAAAAACAGAATATTTCTATAAATAAAAAAATGGTGAAATAGAGTAACGAGTAACATTTTTGTTTTTCATAATTAAAACGTATTTATTTAAAACTTTTGTTTAAAATATATAAGAAAAATAAGTTAGATTTTCAAATTTAAAATTCTATGCTTAAAATTATAAATTGTATTTGTTATTAATTTAAAAATGCTTATTTAAAAACAGTGAACTATTTTATAATAAATAATACTTGAAAATATTCTTTTAGTAATAACAATTTATAAATATTATCCTAAACCTTACAAATGACATTTAAAATAGAGAGAAAAAATTAAACTTGATGTTTAATTTTCCAATGATTTTATCAATATAGAAAATTTACACATTTTTGAGGTTAGCTTCCCAAAAATTAAGATGTTATTGAGAATATAAACAAATAAAACATTCCTGCTACTTTAGTAACTTCCAATTATTGTATTTTAGTTTATTAATATCTTAAAATATATTTTAATAATGTTTTTTCTATATTCATTATCATTTTTGCAATAGTGGGTGTCGTTTGCTGTCAAAGTGTTAGCCACTGTGCCCGTTACTCTACTTGTATGTTAAGTATTTGCAACTGTGCAGAACAAAGTGAACGTCGCTTTAGATTGCCCAGCTAATGCAGCCTGCTTTTGCCAGGAAAATACTGCTTGGGACCCAAGTTGTGTTAGCTTTAATGCTACTGCTTTCTTCACTTAAAGGTGGTTCCAGAATAGGTGCAAAAGCCAAATACAAGTGCAAGTCCAAGTGGCAATCTCATGAGTGCGAAGGGGATAGGTAGTCTATCTATCACTCTTGCACTCATGGAATTTGCATTTGGACTTGCACTTGTACTTGGCTTTTGCACCTATTGTAGAACCTCCATCAGGCAGTTACTGCTTAGATCTCCATAGACTTTTTTCTCTCCGTTTACATCCAATTGCATAAATGCTGTTTTTCCGGTTTGATGGTTGGTTTCCATTGTCCCCACTCGACATTTGTCATAATTCTCGTCAACTACCGCACCCTGCTGTAGTAAAAATTTAGTGACATTATTGTTAAAATTAAAAGTTACTAAAGTTTTACTAGAGCAGGGCAATAATTATAAATTTTTTTGGGAAAGTAATCATTGAAAAAAGTTTTGGTTGGGAAAAAAATTCGTTGGTAAACTTGTTTTTGGAAAAGTGTTCCCCTATCAGGAAGGACAACATTTATGCAATTGGGTGTATTATTAATATTATTATTAATTATTAGTACTTTGGGAATTTTTCGAAAATTTGAGGTTAGGTGTGACGTCACTATTCCCACATAGCACGACTTCTTGCTGTGAGGTTACTGTAAGGATATCTGTAGGGTTTGTTAGGTTACCGCGTAAGCCTACAGTAAACTTGAGGTCATCTGGGTCATCTTAAAACTTCCACTATTACACTGCCGTGCAAAATAAAAACTTAGTTAAGTCATATTTTGTTTGAATGGAGAAAATGACGAAAAACTGTTTGTATTTAAAAACCTAATGTAATATAAATAATTCTTTAATCTATCTTCACTTCCTAGGTAATTTGATAGAGTTCTTTTTAATTCTGAAGTCAAAAGTTAATTATTTAAACAAATTATATTAAATAATTGACTTACGTTTTATTTTTTAAAAGCAAAACTTGGTTAATTTGAGTTACGTAGTGCTTTTCGAAAAGGTAAGCGAACGCGAGCCTTCGTTCAGAAGTAAGAACTTAGTTAACTCAAGCTAAATGCATGGGATTCCGAATTCAATCGACGAAAATCCGAACTTTAACGAAGTTGACTTACGCTTGCTCCCATCGAAATGCAGTGTCCGGCTCATGCCACTTTTCGAAAGAGAAAACACTCAAGTCGAGTTAACTAAGTTTTTATTTCGTATCTTATGCTCGATCTCAACGCTTCCTACGATTTTTGGACTACTTAACTCGAGTTAACTGAGTTTTTATCAAGTATTCTTTCATTTTCTGTGTTTTTGTAGATTTTTAATAACTATTTTTTGCAATAAATAATTAAAATAAAAATGTTTTAATACCGTAATCAGACGCAGTTTTTTCTTACGAATCCATTGATACCAAAAACTCATTTTTGTCTAAAATATGACTTAACTAAGTTTTTACATCGTACGGCAGTACAGTAAGCTTACACAGTAAAGCTAAGGTAAGCTTACAAAGAAAGGTTGTGGTAACTTTACATGGTAAGGTTGTGGTAAGCTTACACCGTGAGGTTGTTGTAAGCTTCCCGTAAGGTTACTATAAGGTTACTGTAAACATAGAATGTTATTACTAAATAAATTTTATTAATATTCAGCAAGAAGTCGTGCTATGTGGGTTAAGTAAAATAATATTTCAATTTTCCTTCCTCATCATATTTTAGACTTTTCCACAAAATCTCATATCAATTCATTCAGTATTTTAAGAGTAAAGTTCCCGACAAAATTAACCTTTTGGATCTAACAATCACATAATGTTAATTTCGTTTAATTAATTATTAAGCAAAATATTACATACATATGACTATTTTTTTCAATATATTTTTTTTATTTTTATTCTACTCAAAAATAGAAATAATTTTCATACAGTAAAATAATGACATGCTGTAAGTATTTAAAAAAAAGAACTCCATGGTATTATTCTTCATCAGTTTAGCAAATTGTGGAAAAAAGGCAAAAATTAATTAAATTTATTAAAATGGAAATTTTTTTTATTAAACGGTATACTGTATTTAAAATCAGCGCTTTTAAATCTATTCACACATATCTCACGTTTTTTGCCATTTAAATACTAACAGCACACGGGCATATTTTAATAATTTTATTGGACTTGGAACGTATGTCGCTTAGGCGGTCAGACTCGAGCTGTCTGGGAAGATGTGACCGGGTCGACACCATTGACCTTCGTTAAGGATTGTGTCTCCTTTACAACAACTGTCTCGGCCCGTTTCTGGTTAATGGACTGCCGAAACATAACAGAGGCTTGTAAAATGGCAACTGATCTTTACACTCACGCAACCCACGTACCTTTTATGGCCAAGTGTGTTTTTCATCATTTTTAATTTTTTTTTCTTTTTCTTTTTTTCTGCATTCCATCGTAATAAAATTTATTTATCTTCTTATAGATTTGTAGTATTTGCAAAACGCATTCATCCATTAGAGGCAAGGCTTCGCGTGTTCTGCATGACTGATGACAAGGAAGACAAGACTTTGGAACATCAGGAACACTTTACCGAAGTCGCCAAGAGCCGAGATGTTGAGGCATGATTTCTTTTTTTTTTTTCTTTTTTCCTCATACCAGAGGAAGTTATAAAAATACCATTCTTTTTTTAGGACCAAATAATTTTTGGAATGGTTTACAATTTTTTTTTTAAATATTTTTAATTCCAGGTTCTTGAGGGTAAAACTCAATACATGGAATTCGCTGGTAATTTGGTACCTGTACTGAAAAGTGGTGAACAATTGCAATTACCATTCCGGGGTTTTAAAGAGAATCGAGTTCCATTTACCGTGAGGATAAAAGATCCTGATGCTGCTGACATGATGGGAAGAATAATGTTTATGAGCGAGCCAAAAGTAGCGAAAGGCGAACCACCACAAACGCCAATTTGCACATTAAATATTCTTTTGCCTGATCGAATTTCACCTGACGCGAATGTTTCTCAATTGGATCTTTTGGAATTGTCGAAAAATTACAGTTTCCTGCGAGACGGCGGAATAAGTAATTATTATTATTATTATTAATTACATTTTTAAAATTGAAAATTAAATTTTATTATTTTTATAGAAAAACTTTATAATAATATTAAATCGAATTCCATAAAATCGAATAACTATTTTATCGAACTATTAAAAGTTAGAATTACCAAAAAATTGAATTTCTAAAAGATCAAATTACAAAAAGATCGAATTTCTTAAATGTTGAAATCAACAAAAGATTGAATTTTTTAAATTTCGAATTACCTAACTATCGAATTTCTAAACATTCAATCTTTTGGTAATTTGAATTTTCTAAATATTCGATTTTTTGGTAATTCGAACATTTGATGTAATTTCGAAATTCGATCAATTAGACATTCGAATTTTTGAAAATTTTATCTTTTGATATTTTGAACTTTTAATAATTCGAATTTCTAAATTTTCGATAGTTTTTTCAATGTGTCTAACGGTCAGAGAAGTCAGGGAAAAGTCAGGGATTTTTTTAAATTTCTAGAATTTTTTATAAATAAATTAAAGTAACTATTATAGTTTCAAAATTTTTATTACTTTTTTCCCAAAGCAAATGCAAATTAAAAATTTAGCCTTCACACTCAATTATTAAGCATGTGATATATCTTATACTCATTAAGTAAATAATTATTTACTACTATTTATTGAATCTAATAAATGATTTTTTTTAACTTGGATAACAATTAATTATTTTTTTTTAGTGAAATATTTGGTTTTTTAATATTAATAAAAATTATTTGATACAATTTTATTTTATCGGTTCAATTTCAAATAATGTAAATTATTCATTAATACGAATAATTTATTATTTAATGCTAATACCCACATTTAACTTATAAAAATTTTTACGGCGTCGAATATTAAATTATCTAATTTCTATTTAGCAAGATTGTATAAAGTGGATTTTATATTATGCAAAATTTTCAATTTACATTTAACTAAAATTCGATTTAAAAGAATTTCTATTTAGCAGAACTCTTATAAAGCATGTTTTCTAATACTTTTTTTAAATTTTTAAATTATAATATAATTTTAATTTAACGAAATTTATGTATATAAAATTTGACAAAAAAAAGAACTATGTAGAATTTTTCTTAAATGAGAATTCTGTTAAATAACAATTAGTTCGAATTAAAATTTTTTTTAATAAAAACTTTGTTAATTAAGAATTTTGTTAAATGGAAATTCTGTTAATTGTGGATTTATTCAATGGCAATTCTGTTAAGTAAATATTTTGATAAATCGAAATTTACTAAAATAACAATTCTGTTAAACAAATTTTTCTTTATGCAATTTTTTTTGACATAAATTCCGTTAAATTGAAATTGTATTAATTTGAAATTCGATGTACTAAAAATTCTGCTTTATATAATTTTACTAAATAAAAATTTGATAATTTAAGATTTGACGTCGTAAAAATTCTTTTAAATTAAATGTTGAAAATATTTATACGTCCCCAATTAGTTTATTTATTTCACTTAAATATTTTATTTTTTACGAAACATTATTTATTTGGTTCAAATACATATGAAATTAGTGGATAATAGACAAGTGAATAATTTAATTGTATTAAAATAAATTTTATTTGATCAAAATAAAAATTTTTTAGTGTAATTTAGATCAGGGAAAAGTCAAGGAATTTTTTTCCTAGCAGTTGTTAGACACCCGGAATTTTTTTTTTTAAATTAATATTTGTCAAATAAATTATTATTCATTAATTTTTGTTTTGCTATTTAAAATTTCAGGTACACCAGACACATTTCACAGAGCGACAATTCGACTGACCGATATTGCAAATTTACTTGATTACGATTGGGAACAATTAGCCGCGGAACTGAATATCAGTCCAAAAAAAGTTGAGGAAATCAAAGAGGAATACCCGGATAAACCTGCTCAGCAGGCTGCGGCTATGTTTAAAGTATGGAAAGCGGATGGAAATAAAGCAACTGGTAAGATGAGTTTTATTTTTACATTTTTTTTTTTTTTTTTTTTTTGCAAATATTTAAGAGTATAAATGTGCACGATGAACAGGTGTGAAAGTTTGACGTCTACAAAAAAAAAGAAAAAAGATTGAATAATTCATTAGGTGAGATCTAAAAAAAAATAATAAATTGCCTTTAGCTCCTTCATGCAAATATTATTTGCAATTACATAATTCTAAAGAATGTTTTAAATCTCTTATTAATTTGTATTTTAAAGAGGTATTAATATATATGTTTGCACAAAGAAATATAGTTTGACACTGAATAAGTTTTTTTTTTTATTATAAAATTGTGGTTTTAGTAATAATGCAAATAGCTTTTTTTTTTAAAAAAAAAATTCTAAATAACTAAAGTTTATATCGAAACAAATTGTTGACTTTTAATATTTTTGAAATTTTGAGGTTATATGTTTGTCTCTTTATCTTCCCTAAATTTTGAGGTTACGTTCGCCCCTTGATTTATGATCTTAAGGCCAGGTCTAAGTCGAGTCAGCTGTTCCTTTGAAGTTTCAATGGAACAGCTGACACGACTTGGACCTGGCCTTAATATTTGAATTTTCAGATTATTTGCCTCTTTTGGATTTTAATTTTTTAATTTTTGATGTTTTTTTTTGAGGTTATGTTTACCCCTTCGCTTATGACCTTGATATTTGACCTTCAATTTTAAGGCACACAATTTGAGGTTATGTTCGCTCTTTGACCTATTTATTAAGTTATTTATTTAATATACAGGCACTGAAATCATTTGCAAAATGCAAAAATTAAGCTGCATAGTTATTATCCAATAATTATGTTTGCCTCTTGATGACCTAGAACTTTGCGGTTATATTTACTGGTAAAAATCTCAAACTCAGTGGCCTTTTGACCAATGACCTTCAATTTTGAAGTTATATTTGATTAACGATTTTAAATCCTTTACTTTTATCATTGAAGTGTAACGTAACGCAGCCTTACGTTACATTACAACTTTCGCCAGCAGTTTTATTTTTTACAATAAAGAAAAAATAATCAATGAAATTAATTATTAATATTTGTTTCCTATTTTAATTATTTATATTTTTTTTATTTTTTAAATTTTAATGTCCTTTGTTTTAATTAAATAAACTTAATTAATTTAATACAAATTTCAAATATTGTATTAAATTTATATTTATTGTATATTAATAATTTGAATTTTTTTTTGCTTTTTTAATTAATAATTTTAATTATTAATGTCGAATAAACATAATATTACTTTTTTTTAATGTTGAAAAATAAATGAAGGAATTAAATTTGTAAATAAAATAAATAAACAATTTAAATAAAGAGGAAACAAATTAAAATTTAATAATTGAGTAAAAATAAAAAAAGTTATTTAAATAAAAAAATAAAAAGAAATAAAAGAAAATAAGTGAAAAATGCGATTCATTGATTACAAATGTAAATATTATGAAAGTGAAATTCTATTGAATGAATGCGTAAAAGAGATGGGAAGTATTTTTTTGGTTGGATGGCTTTTAAATATATATGTATATAGTAAGTCTGCATCGCGTAAAGGAGAATTAAGACCGTTTGTGGAATTTAAAAATATCTATAAGAATCCACGACGAGATAGCAAGGTGAAATAAACAAGAATGTACGCCAGTTGAGTCATTAATGTGGAATCTGTGCAAAGGAACGTAGTTGATGATGTCATCATTCATTATTATGCCTGACATAAACTCAGGGTCCCAGTTCCCCTCTTCTCTCTTCGTTTTTTTTCTTTTTTTTTTTTATTCGCTACAAGCTAATTGTATTGCTATCCGTAGTGCGTAACTTTATTACTATAATCAGTCCAACTAACAATATAGCTTCAGTATTTATCCGACCAGCCGACAAGATTCATCTTGTCTCTCTCTCTCTCTGTCTAAATATTGCCTTTATAAATTTTTGCCAAATGTTTTCTAATTAAGTGAAAATTTCGTCAAATTCTTATCATTTGGAATTATATTCAGTGTGAACAAAACAACATTAACTGGTGGGTCGTGAACCTTATATTTCATTCACGATTACGAGAGTTCCGTTTAATTATTATTATTATACCATATCAAAAAAAAATAATAACAAACGATGCACATAACATTGTATCAGGAATATGAAAATGACGTTCCCAATTCATATACCAGTGAATTAATGATATTATTCAGAAAGTCATCAAAGAGAGTTTCAAAAGAAAAAGGTTTGAATGATTATTCATGAAAAATTTTGTTTTTATTAAATTGCAAAAAGAAAAGCCTCTGAAAAATTTGGATTTTTTTTTTTGATAAATATTGTGTGTGTGTGTGGTGAATTTGAAAATGGTTTTTGGTGTATAATTAAAATTGTGTTTTAAAAAAGAGGAAAAAAAAATTATTTTCTTTTTTTTTTTGTCCAGGTAATACATTAGAGAAAGCATTGCAAAAAATTGGTCGTGATGATATTGTGAAAAAGTGCATATTTAACGTTGAACTTGTGACCGACGATGTTGAAAAAGCCGTTGCCAAAGTGAGAATTGACCAACCTGGGTTCGATTCGCTTAAAGAAGAATTGGGACCTTCAAGGGATACTTCACTTAGACGCAATGTTACTTTGGACCCGAAACTCGATCCGGATTATGAAGAACCCGATCGAATGAAAGTAAGTCAAATAGTTTCTTTCTTTTTTTCAACTCACGGTTTTAGTCCCAAAATTTGAATTAAAAATTACCAAAAATTAGTAGAAATGTTTAGTAATTTAAATTAATGAACAAATTCTCATTAGAGAGTATAGTCGCAATTTAGAATTGAATTCTTTTTTTAATTACACCTGGAGGATTTTTTTTTTATTTTTTTTTATATAATTTTTTTGGTTAAAATTGATTTTCAAAATAATTTTTGTATTTCAATCAGCAGTAAATTTTCGATTTCAAACTTTGATCTTCAACCAAAATTTTTTTATTACATTTCGTGGGAAAAAAAATTACAAAATGACATTTTTTTACCTTTAACAAAAGTTGTAACTTTTTTTTTTTTGATTGGATACTAGTTTCTAGTAAAAAAAAAATATTTTCCTTGCATAGAAAATTTTTGCTCCAAAAGAAATTAACAATTTTATATTTTTAAAAATGAACAATTTTTTTCATTAATTAAACTTTTTAAATAATTCATTATCTAATGATTAATTTTTCATTATTATCGTGGTAATTAAAAGGAACAAAATATCGTTTTGGAAAAATTAAAAATTTTTTTATTTTCATTTTTTGTTCCGAAAAACATTTTTTTTATCTAAAAAAAAAACAGTGTATGGATTTACTTCTCTTAAGAAGAAATAAAATATTGATTTTCTCGATTATCGATAGATAATTAAATCTTCTACAATCGATGTTTATTATACGATAATAAAAGATACAAAAACAATATTTTATTAAGAACGGAGAAAATTACTCAAACAAAAATATCAAAAATAAACAGGTTTAAATGTTTTTTTGGATGTATACATAAACAAAATTAATTTTGTTTTGAACATTAAGAATAAATTACTGTTAACAATTAATTTTGAATTTAATTATAAGAATTTAATTACGATTTACATTTAGAGAAAATAATGATAAATATAAAATGAATTAAAATAATGTGCGATTTTTTTTTATTTCTTTAAAAAAAGGAAAAAAAATTGTGTAGACTTATTGTATTGATATAATTTAATTTAGATAAAAGTAACGACTTCTCGTTAATAAGAAATGATTAAAAATAAATTTCAATTATCTGTTGATACAAAGTAAATTAATAAATAACTATGACCTATTAGAATGACTCGAATAAAAATAGATAATTGTGTAAGAAAGTTAAAAGAGTCGTTTAGGTATATAACTTTTAGTACTATTTTTTAAAAATAAAAATACATGGGTATTTTGAATTATTTAAATTTATACTTCAATTTAAATAATACAATTATTAATAATTTTATTTTTATTTATTAATTTTATAATTAAAAAAAATTAATAAATGAAATAAGTAAATAAATTCGTTAAATAACTTCGATAAAATTGAAAGTTAATTAAAACAATTATATTTAATTATCTTTTGTATTATTTACCATTTATTACTATTCGTGTAAATTTACCGATTTCTTTTCACTAGGATATTTTTGTCTTAGAAAATATTTAGAAACTGAATTTTAATTTGTTTACAAGGACCACGTAAATGTTTTAACACTCCTATGTTTACATTTTTTCCCCCCCGTTAATTAACCTGTTTTACTTCCTCGTTGCAATAATTATTCTTCTAAAATTGTATATTATTAACTATTTTTCTTCAAATAGTAAAAACAATAAAAAAAAAATTCTGATTACAATTGCATTCATAATAAAAGAAAAAAAAACAATTAGCATTTATCCATTGTACATAAAAGTCCATTAAACTAGTTTTAAAATATACTTTTGCTCAATCGTCACCAATACGCTTTAGTTTAAATCCATAAGATAAGAAAAAAAAAAAAAAAAAAAAAAAAAAATAAGAGAAGTATAGCATAAAAATGCAGAAAAGACATGATGCTCACTTTAGTCAAGGTCTTGTCACTTTGGAATCTCAGGAATTCCTTAGCCTTGTTATATTGCTCCAGAATAATGGAGTGTTTAATCTTAAAATTAGCTTCAACGAAGTTCTTATTACGCGGTCCCCTCCTTAAAGAATCATTAAAACTTACATCATTGACTAAGAGAAGCTTCATTTTCGTTTAGTTAACTCATAGCTTCTTTGCTTACAGGACTCGGAGTCTTTGGAAGATCTTGTTATTATTGCATCAACACCTGAGAAACCAAGTGAGTATTTTTATTATCAATTTCTAAATATAGTTTTTTTTTCACCCTTCTTTTACAATTTTTTTTTCCTACAATATAAATAAAAATTTCTCAAAATTCTAATTTTCTACACAAAAAATTTTTCTTTCTCCTTTTTTAAACAATTTTTGTCAATTTTTTAAATTTTTTTCATCTGTTTAATTTTAACAATTTTTAATCTGTGTTTATTATTAAAAAAAAAATTAATATATTTTTTTTTTAATGTAAAAAAACCTCCACGTGAAATCGTTTTTTTAGAAGTCATAATTTCTTATATATTAAAAGAAAATATATTGACAATATATGAGAATTTATGATTCACGGCATGTGTCACTATGCAGAAGCTGCAGTGATGCTGAAAAACAATTTTTTTTTCTATCTCTCTCTCTGTGATGAGCACGAATTACACTGACTCACATATATATATATATTATTATATACAACAGTCACACTTTTACTCGCTTCATTCACTCGACGTTCTTTTGTAATGAAAGGATTTAACTGTCAGTGTGTGCATTTCAACTTTCATTTAATTGTGTGAATTCTTCTTCATTATATTCAAGATCGGAAACTGTGAACAAGGTATTTTGCAATATTCTAAGCGGCTCATTTTATGCATTTGAAATTAATTTTATATTGTTTAGAATGTGATATTTTTTAAAAAATAAAATAATAATTTATGAAACTTTTTTTTTTCACATGATAGTTGAAGTACTTATAATTCATTAGGAAAATTTAATGTAATTTTAAATTTATATTTTATCATATATTTAAAAATATAAATTTACATTTACTTAAATATTAAACAAATTTTTGTACAGATTAATTTTTGATGAGCAAAATTTTAGTTTAGCAAAATTTTAATTTAGTAGAATTTATATTTTATTCAATTTTCACTTAGTTAATATTTTAATTAATAGAGTTTTTGTTTTATTCATATTTAAAATTTATAAATGTTAAATTACATGATGGAATTTCTATTTAACAGAATTTTTGTTTAGTCGAATTTTTATTTTACCGAATTTCTATTGAAGAGAATTTTTATTTAGCAGAATTTAAATTTTACTAAATTCCTATATAACTAAATTTTTAATTAAAATAGAATTTTTATTTCTTCGGAATTATAAATTTATATTTTACTTTCTACTGATTGTGAGCCAAATTTTTAATTAACAGAATTTTCATTTGAATGAATTTTTTAACGGAATTTTTAGTTTATCTAACAAATTCTATTTTATAGAATTTCTAATTAGTCAAACTTTTAATTAAAAATAGCATTTTCATTTCAAATGTAAACGAAAAAATTTTTATTTCTTTAATATTTATTTATTTAAAGGGTTTTCTTAATAATAAGTTTTGAAATAAATAAATATCATTTGACATAATCTTACATACGACAAATTTAAAGGAACTTTCAATTTGTAGGTAAAGTGAATCAAAATAAACTTTTACAAAGAATTTATAATTTTAGAATTCTTTAAACTTTCCCTCTTAAATTAATTTTCTAATTTACCTACAGTTCCTAGATTGGAAACTAAATTCACTATAACCATATTTATATTAAATGAAAATTCAGATAAATAAAATTTTGGAAAAATAAATATTTGCGGAATTAAAAATGCTGCTAAATTTTATTATGCAATTAAATAGAAATTCTGATAATAAAAAATTTGAATTTCCCGCTTAAATTAATTGACAACTATCTACAGTTATAGATTTAAAAACTGATTAACTCTAATCATATTTATGTTAAATAAAAGTTTAGATAAATAAGTCTGTGTCGAATTAGAAATTCTGCCTTCTTATTATTCGGCTAAACATAAATTTTGATAATAAAAAATTTAGTTAAATTAAACAATTTAAATTTCCCGCCAAAAATAATCATCTTCTTTACCTACAGTTCCTAGATTGGAAACTCAATTTGCTGCACTAACATTTATAATGAAAATTTTGTTGAAATAAAGTTTCAAACAAACAAATTAGAAATATTCTTCTTTTTATTATTCAGCTAAATAGAAATTCTTGTAATTAAAAATTCAATTAAGTAGAAATTTCCTGTTTAAATAATTTTAAACGCAAAATCTCTTGTTTTCAGTAAACAGTTATTAATTTTGAAAATAATTAAAAAGTTACAAAAAAAACTTTAGTCAGGCCGTGTGGAAAAAATCCATCTAAAATGTGTCTTTCAACTTAAAAATTTTCTTGTAACAGAATTAATATTTTTGCAGAAAGATATGGGATGATAGAGAAGGGTTTAAAAAATTCCGCCATTCTCCCTGAAATAAAAAATTTTATGTAAAATTATTTTTAAAGAATTATTGAAAGTCATGTTTATCATAATGAGTGACAGCCAATATGATTTATATGTCTATATAAACATTTTTGCTAAAAATTTCGCATTTTGAGGAGAATAGCGGAATTCTTTAGTCCCTCCTCTATCATCCCATATACATAAGTTTCGTCCCTAAGTATATTAATTTTGTTAAATATTTGAAAGTTGCAAACCACTTTTTCCCGTTTTAGGTCACGTGGTTTTCTTCCACATGGTCTTAAAAATTATTTTAAAAAATGAATTCTAAAAAAAAAAAGTGAAACTGAATTCACATTGACAAAATTGAATCAACAATTTTTAATTTATTCGCAACATTTTTTGACACATTTTTTCGCACTTAACAGCCAAGCCGCACGTCACAATCACGAACGGCACTGTATTCAACGGTACCTCGACCCCCAAGAAAGACAAATACGCCAGTGATGAGAAAGAATTTGAAGACATGATGGCTGATTTTGTTCAGCACAAATATCAAGAGTCAGATCCCATGATAAATATAAGTCAGGATGATACTGACGACGAATTCTTAAAACGACAGAAAATAATTGCCGATGCCAGCAAATTAGTTTCTGGTAAGTAATGCATGATCACATGGGAATTTGGTGGGTTGAGGGGCCGTGCTTTGCCTAGCAAAAAAAAAAAAAAAATATTAAAAAATATATATATTCATTTATATATATATATATATATATATATATATTATAAAATTAATTAAGCAAAAAAATAATAAAAACTGTTTAAAGAAGCACATTCTTTTAATTACGTTCTTTCTTTAGTACTCTCTTTAAGCATGGTCATCTCAATTACGTGTGGGTATAATATCAAATCCTAAGACATATCTTTATATAAAGAAATATTTCCTAGGATTTTCAATTTTCCCTGCACTAGAGCTTAAATATGAAATCATTTTCATTTTCAGTTCAATTAGTTTTGATTAATAAATTACATTTTTAATTCGATTGTAACTTTAGATTAAAATTAGAATCTTATGAGTAGCTATTAATAGAAAAAAAAGAATCCTAATTAAATTACTCATATTTCCAATGAAATTAATTCTGAAAATTTTCTTTTTTGAATCATTGCCAATGATTAATAAAATTAATTTTATTGAATGAATAATAATGATTCATATTTTAATGTTTCAAAAAAAAAAAAAAATAATAAAAAATAATTGCAGGCTTCTCTGTAAATCTTTTTTTATTTTCAAGAAAAGATAGACAGATTTTCTTAAGCTTTTTTTAACTGTAACCACTTGAATCGTTGTTTTTATTTTTCACTAGCAGGTTCTGGAAGCAGATGCAGTTTCCTTCGTGTTTCGAAGCTTGCTTATAATATTTGACTTAACAAGTTTTTTTCTTGGCTTACAAATGAAATTTTTAATTACAATTTTTTTTTAGTTCTTTTTTTCAATAATATGAGCCTTTAAATGCGCAATTTTCTGATTTATTGACCTACTAATATGCTCTTGAACTATTTCACTTCATTAATTTGTTTCAGCAAAAAGGTTGCGCTGCAATTATTTGGCGTTGCATGTACAGCCTGTGTGGGCACACGGAGCAGCTGTCAAATTTTTTAAAGCGATTTTCTCGCTAATGTTTTGATTTTTTCTTGATTTATACTTGTATTCAAGAATTTATTAATATTACTAAAAATAGAAAAAAAAATCAAAGGCTGGAATTTCGTTTTTTTTTTTTTTGAGAAAATTTTTAATTTAAAAAATAAAATTTGTCTCAGTACAGAAAAAAAGTGCTGCTTTGTTTTTTCGCGATCTAACTATTCACTAATAGATTTTTTTTTATTTTTCTATGACAATTGTTATTTTTTACTGTATACAAAGTAACATTACAATATGTGCAATCAAAAAGCAATCAAATATTCATGAAATTAATTCGAATACTGATAATATTGATAATAGAGATTTTTCTCTTTTATATTACAATTTTTTTTATGAATTGGCATCAATTAAAGGTGCTCTTTCATTTTCTAAATGTTTTAGAGTGAATGTTAATGTGTAGTAGGGTGGTCCTTAAATGTCTATTTTTAATTTTCTCTTCCTCTATAGAAGAAGTTTCAATCTTCCTCAAATAATTCACATAAATCATAATCAAAACATTTTTCCTATTCTTATATTAATATTCGTCAAATGTGTGTAAAAAGCACATGTTAACACTCTTTTTTTTGTGTTTGTAATATTTCCTTATCAATGAAATGAAATAAACTTCTAGGAGGAAGAGAATTTTTTAATTTAAAAAGTAATTAAGGGTCACCCTAATGTGTAGTTATCATAAAAAAATCAGCATTTTTTTTAACCGCATTCGTAGTTGATAGATGGCTGCTCCACAGCACATACACCACGCACAAGCCACGTGGAAGTTTAACCACTGCTCAATATATTATGAGCGATATAAAAAAAAGCTAGCCAGCTTACACTAATGATGAAATAAAAAAAAAATGAACTGTGAATATAAGATATTAATAACATGTTTAGAATCCTAAAATGTAATACTTAATTAACAGGTGTAAAACAAGATGCTGAGAAAGAGAAGGGGAAGTTAGCGATGGAAGGGTGGTCGGTGGTTTATGATGACGATAAACAACGTAGTAAAGAGGTAGGAGGCGCTGTAGGGAAACAGTTAGAAAAAATGAGCGACACAATTACAAAAACATCAACAATTTCAGTAACAACAATAGAGACTCGGGTTTTGCAAAAACCAGACACAACTGGGGACAAGCAAACCGTTATTGTAACTGAAAGCAGTGTAGATAGATCTAGGGAAACAAGTGGACCAATTAAGAGTAGGGATAGAGATTCTTTATCGAAAAGTGATAATTTAGGTGAATCAGTGTCAGGTACTAAGGGTAAAACGAAAACGGTAAGTGATACGAAAAAGGATAAAGAAAAATTAATATCACCGAAAATAGACTCTTCCAAAGGAAGCAAAAAACCAAAAGGAAAAGAAACAGAAAAACAGTTAGGTGAAAAAGTGCAACAAACCGCAGAAGAAGCAAAGGAAAAATCAGAAATGGAGAATAAAAAACTTAAGGATAAATCTGGGAAAATGTTCTCAGGTATATTTAAAGGATCAAAAGGGAAAAAGTCCAAGGACTCAAAGGATTCTTCATTTGATAGTGGTGATGAAGAAACGAGAATAATGACTTCTAAATTTTTGGACGATACAAGAAAAGCTGCAGATGATACAGATGGCTTAACTAATGGTGTTCATTCATATGAAACTAAGCCTACACAGGACGTAAAAACAGCGACTGCAGTATTTTTAGATGATTCCAGAAAAGCTGCAGCCAGATTTGGGGATATTGTTGATGAAACAGTAGAGCCGAAGAAAGTTACTGTTGTTGATGCAGATGAAGGTAAAGAAAAACCTGGTGGATTCTTTGGAATTTTTAAAAGTCCAAAATCAAAGGAAAAAAGACGCAGTAAATCTAGAGAAAAAGAATCGTCAGCTGAAAGTGGCGATGATGAAGTGAGAATCACCACCGCTAAATTCCTCGAGGATGTTCGAAAGAATGCAGGATCACCTGACTTACCTTTCATTGACAAACTTGATTCAAAAGTCGACTTTCACGAGGAACTTGGTCGATTCTCAGCATATACCAATTATGATTCCGATGCTCCTACAGATAAACTTAAAGGATCATCGTATAATATTTCGGAATTACCAACGCAAGTGAAGGATGATAAGGTGAAGAAGCAAAAATCACTTGTGAGTTCTGATCCTGCCACTACTGAAGATGAAAGTCAAGATGACAGTCAAGAAAAGTCCGGTGGATTCTTTGGCATTTTTAGGAGTCCGAAATTAAAGAACAGAAAACGAAGCAAATCTAGAGAACCATCTTCAAAAGAAGCTTCAGTAGATATAACTGATGCTGATTTAAGAATTCAGACAGCTCAATTTTTAGATGATACAAAGAAACAATCAGATAAACTTCATGAACATATTCCAGACACAATTCAAGAACACGTGACAGTTAATATTGTCGACAACACAACTTCTAGTCAAGATAAACCAACAGAGATACCTAAAGAAGAATCAAAAGAGAAAGGTAGCACGATATTTGGTATGTTTAGAAGTCCAAGAGGTCTTAAGAGAAGAAGCAGATCGAAGGATAAAAGTACATCGAGAGACACATCATTTGACAGTGGCGATGAGGAGGTACGAATTGCAACTGCTAAATTTTTAGAAGACAGTAGAAAAATAGCTGGAGAAATAGATGCGTGTCCTTATAAGACGTACGCCTTTTATGAAGAAATGAAACAAACAAATAAAGATGCGAAAGTTAGTGAAAAACATGTAACAGATAAGACATCTCATGACGTTACTGATTCAGCAATAAAAATTTCGAAACAGACATCAGATGAAATACAAAAAGGAACCGAAACTGATGATGCAGCCAAAGAAAAAAATAAGAAGGCTAAAGACAAATCAGGAGGATTTTTATCAGGAATATTTAAAGGTGCTAAACATGCGGTAGATGATGTTACAGATGATGTCAAAGAATTCTTGGATGAAACTAAACACGAAGCCGAATTAGAAGAACAGCGAGCTCGGAAAGCTGCTGAAGATTTATCTAAGGATATTAAAGACTCAAAGGATAAGGCAGTTTCTGAGATTAAAGATGAATCAGCTGCAGTTAAAGATAAAGTAAGTGAAGGTGTCGATTCAGCAGTTGAGAAAGTTAAAACTGCAGAAGAAAAAGTGTCAAAGGATGCGGAGACACTAAAAGACACAAGCAAAAAAGTAGCAAAAGACGTTGCAGATACAGCTGCTAAGGAATCTAAAAAGGCTAAAGATAAAGCTGGTGGATTCTTATCTGGCATATTCAAAGGTGCAAAGCACACTGCAGATGAAACTGCAGACGATACTAAAGAAGCCATCGATCAAACAAAGAAAGAGGCTGAGAAAGGTAAAGATAGTTTGCAAAAAACAGCAGAACATATATCAACTGATGTAAAAGATGTCAAGGATAAAGTAATTTCTGACATAAAAGAATCTGCTGATGACGCAAAGGAAAACTTAGCAGATACTGCTCGGTCTATTAAAACAACAGGAAGTAAAATTGCAACAGATGTTAGTGATACAAAAGACAAAACTGTTCAAAAAGTGAAAAAAGATGCAAAAACTGTAAAGGATGTAGTATCACAAGAAGCTGAAGCAGTTGTGGATGCAGCTGTCGATGCGAAGGACAAGACCACAAAGGAAGCAAAGAAGGCTAAGGATAAAGCAGGTGGTTTCTTATCTGGAATCTTCAAAGGAGCCAAAAATGCAGCGGATGATGCATCAGATGACATGCAAGAAATTATAGACGATACTAAAGAGGAAGCAGCAGATGTAAAAGATCGCATACAAAAAGACGTAGACAAATTGGCTAAAGATGTAGATGATACAAAAGAAAAATTAAAGGATACAAAAGAAAAAGTTAAGACAAAAATATCAGAAGATGTAAAAGCAGCGTCAGATAAAGCTAAAGACGTTTCTGAACAGATGTCAAAGGAAGTGAAAGATATCGCTGATGCAGCAAAAGATGCTAGTGCAAAAGCTGTACAAAGTGTTGTTGATGTGAAAGATTCAGTTGGTAAAGAAATAAAGAAAGATGCAAAGGCAGTTAAGGATAAAGTAAAATCTGGAGCAGAAGATGTATCAGCAGAAGCAGTAAAAGACAAAATTGCAAAAGAAGCTAAAAAGACTAAAGAGAAAGCAGGAGGATTTTTGTCCGGAATATTTAAAGGTGCAAAACATGCAGTTGATGATGTTACAGATGATGTTAAAGAATTTTTGGACGAAACAAAACAAGAAGCCGAATTAGAAGAAGAACGGGCTCGAAAAGCTGCTGAAGAATTGTCTAAGGATGTAAAGGAAACTAAAGATAAAGCAGTTAAACAAATTAAAGATTCTACTGAAAAAGTTAAAGATGCTAAAGATAAAGTAGTGTCAGATATTGGTGATTCTTTAGACAAAGGAAAACAGAAAATTTCTAAAGATGCACAAGATGTGAGTAATACCGTTAAGCAGACCGCAGATGACGTTTCGAAAAAAATTGGAGAAAGTGCAGATGCGGTTGAGGATGCTGGTTCAAAAACTGTACAAGCAGTTGTTGATGTCGGCGATTCTACAGCTAAGGAAATAAGGAAGGATGTCGAGATTGCAGAGGAAAAAGTTAAGTCAGGCGCTGAGACAGTAAAAGAAACAGCTTCAGCGGCAAAAGACAAAGCTGCCAAAGAAGCTAAAAAAGCGAAAGATAAAACCGGGGGTTTCTTTTCGGGAATATTTAAAGGAGCTAAGCATGCAGTCGATGATGTTACTGATGACGTTAAGGAATTCTTGGATGAAACAAAGCATGAAACTGAAATAGAAGAAGAACGTGCTCGTACAGCTGCGGAAAAACTGGCTAAAGAAGCTGAAGACACTAAAGCTAAGGCAGTTAAAAATGTTAAAGAATCAGCAGATAAAATTAAAGATGCTAAAGATAAAGTAATATCAGATGTAGATAAATCTTTAGATGAGGTAAAACAAAAAATTTCTGATGAAGCACATGATGCAAAGAGTGCTGTGAAAATTGCAGCCAAAGATATTTCACAACAAGCAGGAGATGTTGTCGCTGGTGTAAAAGACGTTGGTAAAAAGGTATCTGAAGGTGTAGTAGACGCAAAAGCTGCTGCAACCAAAAAAATTAAGCAAAATTCGAACATTGTAGAAGAGAAAATGCAATCTGGAATAGAGGCCGTAGAGGAAACTGCAGATGTCACGAAAGCTACAATTGAAAAAGAATCCAAGAAAGCAAGGGACAAAGCAGGTGGCTTTTTATCTGGTATTTTTAAAGGCTCAAAACAGACAGCTGATGAATTTATAAAAGATGTAAAAGAAGTAGCATCAGAAACGAAAAAGGATGCCGAGATAGAGAAAGATATGGTATTAAAAGCTACGGAGCAACTTGGAAAAGATGCAAAATCTGAAGCCGAGAAAGTAGCATCGGCAGTAAAAGATTCAACAGAAAAGAAATTAGAAGATGCAAAAGATACAATGAAAGATGCTGGTGAGAAAGTTTCAAAAGGAGTTAACACCGCAAAAGATGCCGTAAAAGACGCAGGTACAAAAATTGAGAAAGGATTGAAAGAAACAAAAGATGCTGTTAAGGAAGAAATAAAGACAGACACTAAGATTGCGGTAGACAAAATTAAATCGGGAGGAGAAGCTATTGCACAAAAAGCAGAAGATGCTAAGGACAACACTGCTAAAGAAGCCAAAAAGGCAAAAGACAAGACTGGTGGTTTCTTTTCTGGAATATTTAAAGGAGCAAAGCATGCTGTAGAGGATGTTACCGATGACATGAAAGAATTTCTAGACGAAACAAAACATGAAGCAGAATTAGAAGAAGCACGTGCTCGTAAAGCTGCAGAAGAATTGGCTAAAGATACAAAAGAAGCCAAAGACAAAGCAGTAAAAAGCGTTAAAGACTCAGCTGAAAAGATTAAGGATGTTAAGGAAAAAGTAACATCAGATATTGACACTTCAGTGGAGAAGGCAAAGGAGAAAGTTACAGATAAAATTTACGACGCAAAAGATACAGTGAAAGATGCAAGTAAAAAAGTTTCAGAAGGTGTCCATACTGCAGCCGATTCTATTCAAGACGCAGGTTCAAAAATGGCGAAAGAATTGGAAGATACCAAAGATGCTGTTACTAAGGAAATAGAAAAAGATTCTAAAATTGCAGTAGACAAAATTAAATCAGAAGCAGAAGCAGTTTCGGAAACCGCAGAGGCTGCAAAGGATAAAACTGCTAAAGAAGCCAAAAAAGCAAAGGACAAAGCTGGTGGATTCTTCTCTGGAATATTCAAGGGAGCCAAGCATGCTGTGGATGATGTTGCGGATGACGTAAAAGAATTTGTAGATGACACAAAACACGAAGCAGAACTAGAAGAAGAGCGGGCTCGTAAAGCTGCTGAAGCATTGTCTAAAGATGCTAAAGACACCAAGGACAAGGTTTTAAAAAGCGTTAAAGAGTCAACTGATAAGATTAAAGATGTCAAGGAAAAAGTGTCAACAGACATTGACAAATCACTAGAGAAGACAAAAGATAAAGTTGAAGAAAAAGTAGAAGATGCAAAAGATGGTGTAGCAGATGTTGGAAGAAAAGTTGCAGAAGGAGTTGATAGTGCGACCGATAAGGTGAAAAATGCAGCCACCAAAGTTGCGGATGGCTTGGATGATACAAAAGATGCTGTTGCGAAGGAAATAAAGAAGGATGCCAAAGTGACAGCGGAAACAATAAAATCAGGCGCTGAAGTTGTTTCTGAAACTGCAGAAGCCGCAAAAGACAAAACTGCTAAAGAGGCCAAAAAAGTAAAAGACAAGGCAGGTGGATTCTTTTCTGGAATGTTTAAAGGTTCCAAGCAGACTGTTGATGATGTTACTAGTGACGTTAAAGAATTTTTAGATAAAACAAAGCAGGAAGTAGAATTGGAAGAAGAAAGTGCTCGTAAAGCTGCAGAAGAATTGGCTAAAGATGCGAAAGACGTCAAAGACAAGGCGGCCAAAAGCGTTAAAGACTCAGTTGAAAAGATTAAAGATGTTAAGGAAACAGTGACATCAGATATTGACACTTCTTTAGAGAAGGCTAAAGACAAAGTCAAAGAAGAAGTTCACGATTCGAAAGATGCAATTAAAGGTGCAGGTAAAAGGGTTTCAGAAGGTGTCCATACTGCAGCCGATTCTGTTCAAGACGCAGGTTCAAAAATGGCGAAAGAATTGGAAGATACCAAAGATGCTGTTACTAAGGAAATAGGAAAAGATTCTAAAATTGCGTCAGACAAAATTAAATTAGCAGCAGAAGCTGTTTCGGAAAACGCAGAGGCAGCAAAGGAAAAAACTGCTAAAGAAGCCAAAAAGGCAAAGGATAAAGCTGGTGGATTCTTTTCTGGAATTTTCAAAGGAGCCAAACACGCTGTAGATGATGTTGCAGATGACGTAAAAGACTTTGTAGACGAAACAAAACACGAAGCAGAATTGGAAGAAGAAAAGGCTCGTAAAGCTGCAGAAGAACTGGCTAAAGATGCAAAAGACGCTAAAGACAAAGCCATCAAAACCGTTAAAGACTCAGCTGAAAAGATTAAGGATGTTAAGGAAAAAGTGACATCAGATATTGACACTTCACTAGAGAAGGGAAAGCAAAAAGTCCATGACAAAATACAGGACTCAAAAGACGCAGTGAAAGATGCCAACAAAAAGGTTTCGGATGGTGTAGACACTGTAACTGCTGCTGTAAAAGATACTGAATTAAAAATTTCGAAAGGCTTAGAAGATACAAAGGTTGCCGTTGAAAAAGAAATTAATGAGGATGCAAAGATTGTAAAGGATAAAATTAAATCGGGTGCAGAAAGTGTTTCAGAAACTGCAGAGGCTGCAAAGGACAAAACTACTAAAGAGGCCAAAAAAGTAAAAGACAAGGCAGGTGGTTTCTTTTCTGGAATGTTTAAAGGTTCCAAGCAGACTGTTGATGATGTTACTAGTGACGTTAAAGAATTTTTAGATAAAACAAAGCAGGAAGCAGAATTGGAAGAAGAAAGTGCTCGTAAAGCTGCAGAAGAATTGGGTAAAGATGTGAAAGACAAAGCCGTCAAAAGCGTTAAAGACTCAGTTGAAAAGATTAAAGATGTTAAGGAAAAAGTTACTTCAGAGATTGACACTTCAGTAGAGAAAACAAAAGATAAAGTACACGATGCAAAGGATGAAATGGTAGATGCTGGTAAAAAAATATCAGAAGGAGTTACTTCAGCCGCAAGTACTGTGAAAGATGCAAGTAAAAAGGTTTCAGAAGGTGTCCATACTGTAACCGATTCTGTTCAAGAAGCGGTTTCAAAAATGGCGAAAGGATTGGAAGTTAGCAAAGAATCTATTACTAAGGAAATACAGAAAGATTCTAAAATTGCGGCAGACAAAATTAAATCAGGAACAGAAGCTGTTTCGGAAACCACAGAGGCTGCAAAGGATAAAACTGCCAAAGAAGCCAAAAAAGCAAAAGACAAAGCAGGTGGATTCTTTTCTGGCATATTTAAAGGAGCAAAACACGCTGTGGATGACGTTACGGATGACGTCAAAGAATTTTTAGACGACACAAAGCACGAAGCAGAATTGGAAGAGGAACGGGCTCGTAAAGGTGCGGAAGAACTGGCTAAAGATGCAAAAGACGCTAAAGACAAAGCCGTCAAAAGTGTTAAAGACTCAGCAGAAAAGATTAAAGAAGTTAAGGAAAAAGTGACATCAGATATTGACACTTCAGTAGAGAAGGCAAAAGAGAAAGTTAAAGATAAAGTTTACGACGCAAAAGATGCAATGAAAGATGCAGGTAAAAAGGTTTCAGAAGGTGTCCATACTGCAGCCGATTCTGTTCAAGACGCAGGTTCAAAAATGGCAAAAGGATTGGAAGACACCAAGGATGCTGTTACTAAAGAACTAGAAAAAGATTCGAAGATTGCGGCAGACAAAATTAAATCAGGAGCAGAAGCTGTTTCCGAAAGTGCAGAGGCTGCAAAGGACAAAACTGCTAAAGAAGCCAAAAAAGCAAAGGACAAAGCTGGTGGATTCTTTTCTGGCATATTTAAAGGAGCAAAACACGCTGTGGATGACGTTACGGATGACGTCAAAGAATTTTTAGACGACACAAAGCAAGAAGCAGAATTGGAAGAGGAACGGGCTCGTAAAGGTGCGGAAGAACTGGCTAAGGACGCCAAAGACAAAGCCGTCAAAAGTGTAAAAGATTCAGCTGAAAAGATTAAGGATGTTAAAGAAAAAGTGTCATCAGAAATTAACACTTCAGTAGAGAAGGCAAAAGACAAAGTCAAAGAAGAAGTTGACGATGCGAAAGATGCAATTATTGGTGCAGGTAAAAAGGTTTCAGAAGGTGTCCATACTGCAAGTGATTCGGTTAAAGATACTAGTACGAAAATTGCAAAAGGTTTGGAAGACACCAAAGACGCTGTTAGTAAGGAAATAGAAAAAGATTCTAAAATTGCGGCAGACAAAATTAAATCTGGAGCAGAAGCTGTTTCAGACACTGCTGAGGCTGCAAAGGATAAAACTACTAAAGAAGCTAAAAAGGCTAAGGAAAAGGCTGGTGGATTCCTTTCTGGAATGTTTAAAGGATCCAAACATGCCGCTGAAAATGCAGCTGATGATGTTGATGATTTAGTTGAGAAAGGAAAGAAGGGAGGTGAAAAAGAAGTAGAAAAAGGTGTCAAAGTAGTAGATAATGTAAAACAAGGTTTAAAGTCAGATTTTGAAAAAGCAGCTGCAAATGTACAGGATAGTATAGACAAAGCTAAAATTGAAGTTTCAGATGCAGGGAAGGCTGTATCAGACAAAGCTGCAGATGTTGCTAGTAATGTCTCGGAAAATATAAAAGCAGGAACTGATGCTGTAAAAGACGCAGGTATAAAAGTTGAGAAAGGTTTAAAGGAAAAAAAAGATGGTGTTGCGAAAGAAATAGAAGTAGATGCAAAAATTGCGGCAGACAAAATTAAAACAGGAGCAGAAGCTGTTTCAGAAACAGCAGAAGCTGCAAAACATAAAATTACTAAAGAGGCAAAGAAGGGAAAAGATAAAGCTGGTGGATTTTTCTCTGGAATATTTAAAGGAGCCAAGCATGCAGTAGATGATGTAACTGGAGATGTTAAGGAATTCTTGGATGAAACGAAGCATGAAGCGGAATTAGAAGAAGAACGTGCTCGAAAAGCTGCAGATGAATTAGCTAAAGATTTAAAAGAATCTAAAGACAATGCAGTAAAAGGCGTTAAAGACTCAGCAGAAAAGGTTAAAGAAACAAAAGATAAAATTGTGACTCAGATTGATAGTTCTTTAGATGAAGCTAAACAAAAACTTGTAGATGGAGCACAGGAATCTAAGGAAACACTAAAAGATGGAGGCAAATTAGTAAAAGAAGATGTTAATGCTACGGTAAATGCTGTGAAAGATGTAGGTTCCAAAGTTTCAGAAGGGGCAGTCGAAGCTAAAAAGGCAGCTCAGAAAGAAGTTAAGAAGGATGCAAAGGTTGTAAAAGACATCAAAGACAAAGCAGTTAAAAGTGTTAAAGACTCTGCTGAAAAGGCAAAGAAAGCTAAAGATGACATAGCGTCTGATTTTGATAGTTCATTAGATAAAACGAAGCAAACGGTTTCTGATAAAGCGCACGATGTATCGGATACAGTTAAACAGACTGGAAAAGATATGTCTACTAAAATTACTGAAAGTATTGATGCCGTAAAGCAATCTGGCGATGATGCGTCGAAGAAAATTGAAGTAGTTGTAGAATCTACAAAAGATGCGGGTTCGAAAATAGTTCAGGACGTCATCGATGTAAAACATTCTGCAACAGATGCCGTAAAAGACGCAGGTGTAAAAATTGAGAAAGACTTAAAGAAAACAAAAGATGCCGTTGAGAAAGAAATAGAAACAGATGCAAAAATGGTATCAGACAAAATTAAATCAGGAGCAGAAGCTGTTTCGGAAACCGCAGAGGCTGCAAAGGATAAAACTGCCAAAGAAGCCAAAAAAGCAAAGGACAAAGCTGGAGGATTCTTTTCTGGAATATTTAAAGGAGCCAAACACGCTGTAGAGGATGTTACCGACGACGTAAAAGAATTTGTAGACGAAACAAAACACGAAGCAGAATTGGAAGAAGAACTGGCTCGTAAAGCTGCAGAAGAACTGGCTAAAAATGCAAAAGACGCTAAAGACAAAGCCGTCAAAAGTGTTAAAGACTCAGTAGAAAAGGTTAAAGAAGTTAAGGAAAAAGTGACATCAGATATTGACACTTCAGTAGAGAAGGCAAAAGAGAAAGTTAAAGATAAAGTTCACGACGCAAAAGATGCAGTGAAAGATGCAGGTAAAAAGGTTTCAGAAGGTGTCCATTCTGCAGCCGATTCTGTTCTAGACGCAGGTTCAAAAATGGCAAAAGGATTGGAAGACACCAAGGATGCTGTTACTAAGGAACTAGAAAAAGATTCGAAGATTGCGGCAGACAAAATTAAATCAGGAGCAGAAGCTGTTTCCGAAAGTGCAGAGGCTGCAAAGGACAAATCTGCTAAAGAAGCCAAAAAAACTAAGGACAAAGCTGGAGGATTCTTTTCTGGAATATTTAAAGGAGCCAAACACGCTGTAGATGATGTTGCAGATGACGTAAAAGAATTTGTAGACGAAACAAAGCATGAAGCAGAATTGGAAGAAGAACGGGCTCGTAAAGCTGCAGAAGAACTGGCTAAAGATGCAAAAGACGCTAAAGACAAAGCCGTCAAAAGCGTCAAAGACTCTGCTGGAAAGATGAAAGATGCTAATGATAAAGTAGTATCTGATATTGATGCTTCGTTAGATAAAGCAAAGCAAAAACTATCAGAAGGAGCACAAGATACAAAAGATGTTGTGCAAGACGCTGGTTCTAAAATTGACAAAGCTGTAGTCGACACAAAAGATGCTTTTACCAAGGAAGTAAAGAAAGACTCCAAAATTGTTGAAGAGAAAATAAAATCAGGTGCAGAGTCTGTTTCAGAAACAGCAAGGGCTGCAAAAACCAAAACTACAAAGGAGGCTAAGAAAGCGAAGGATAAGGCGAGTGGTTTCTTGTCTGGAATGTTTAAAGGTTCTAAACATGCTGCAGATGAGGTTGTTGGAGATGTTAAAGATCTAATCGATGATACAAAAAGTGCTGCTAAAGAAGTAAAGGATAAGTCTTTGAAGTCTGGTGAAAAAGTTATTAAAGATGCCAAAGATGCTAGTGATAAAGTTATGTCAGATATTGAAACAGCATCAGAAAAAAGTAAATCTAAAGTAGAAGAGGAAACACGCAATATATCTGAAGCAGTTAAAGATGCTGGACAAAAAGTTGCTACTGAAGCTAAAGCAGGTGTTGAATTAGTAAAAGACGCAGGTTCAAAAGTGGCACAAGAAGTCGTAGATGCAAAAGATGCTGCTACTAAGGAAGTAAAGAAAGACGCTAAGATTATAGATGAGAAAATATCAGCAGAGGCAGAAGCTGTTTCAGATACTGTTGAAGCAGCAAAAGATAAAGCGGCCAAAGAAGCTAAAAAAGCAAAAGAAAAAACTGGTGGATTCTTTTCTGGAATATTTAAAGGAGCAAAGCATGCAGTAGACGATGTAACTGGAGACGTTAAGGAATTTTTGGATGAAACAAAACATGAAGCAGAATTAGAGGAAGAACGAGCTCGAAAAGCGGCTGAAGAACTATCAAAGGAAGTAAAGGATTCTACCGATAAAATTATTTCCAAAGTTAAAGAATCAACAGAAAAAGCAAAAGCAAAAATATCAGCTGATTCACAAGCTGTTTCTGAAAAGGTGAAAAAGGCAGGTGATCAGGTATCAAAGGAGACTGCAGCAGTAACTGAAGGATTGAAAAAAACTGGAAAAGGAATTGTAGATGGTCTTTCTCATGAAAAGGATATTGGTTTTACGCAAATAGAACAAGATATTAAAATAGTGGAAGAAAAGGCATTGGGTGCAGGTAAAGATTTGCCATCAGTCGATACTGGTAAGGGTCCTGAAGCTACGATCATAAAGGATGTTAAGACTACCACCAAAGAATTTTTAGATGATACAAGAAAAGCTACTGCTTCTGATGAAGTTTTAACGCATCCAGGTAAATTAGATGACAGTGCTCATTCTTCTGATGAAGCAAAAGAAAAGAGCGGAGGTTTCTTTGGTATGTTTAAAAGTCCTAAATCTCACAAAAAGAGAAGTAAGTCTAAAGATAAATATTCTTCACAAGAAACTTCATTTGATAGTGGAGATGAAGAAGCAAAAATAATTACAGCTAAATTTTTGGAGGATGTTCGTAAAACTGCAGATGATCCTAAAGATACATTTGTTAAGCAAGTAAAATATGACGTGAAAGTTATTGACGAAAACGTAACATCAGGTGTAACAGGAGCTGCACAAGTAGTGGATACTGTTGGAGATAAAGCTGAGAAGGAAACCAAGAAAGCCAAAGACAAAACTGGCAAATTTTTCTCAGGTATATTTAAGGGTGTAAAACATACAGGAGATAATCTTGTAGAGGATGTTAAAGAACTTGAGGAAGAAAGTAGAAAGAAAGTTGAACGAGAAGAAGAACAAGCACGTAAACTTGTGGATGAAATTGCCAAAGATATTATAGATGTAGGTGATAAAAGCGGTAAGGAAGTTGGAAAAGTTGTCGATGACGTGAAGGAAGCAAAAACTGCTCTTATGCAGGAAGTGAAATCAGATGCAGAAGCTGTAGATGAAAAAATATTAGCAATCACTGAAACTGCTTCTACAGTTTCAGATGATGCTAAGGATAAAGTTGAGAAGGAAGGTAAAAAAGTTAAAGATAAAACAAGTGGATTCTTCTCTGGTATTTTTAAAGGAGCAAAACATGCTGTAGACGATGTTACAGATGATGTTAAAGAGTTTTTAGATGAAACGAAACATGAAGCCGAAATTGAAGAAGAAAAATCACGTAAGGCAATGGCAGATTTGAATAAAGACATAAAGGACACTAAAGACAAGACTGTTTCTGATCTTAAGGATTCAGCTGATAAATTAAAACAGAAAATTTCAGAAGAGGCTCAAGATGCAACAGAGAAAGTTAAAGACGCAGGTGACAAAATTACTAAAGGAGCAACACAAACAGTCGAAGACGTCAAGGCAGCCTCTAAGAAAGCGTCAAAAGAAATCGATGAAGCAAAGGATTCTTCAATTAAGGCTATAAAGAAAGATATGAAATTTGTTGAAGAGAAGGTTGGTTCCAGTGTGGAATCTCTTTCACATAAAATTGATGATGCAAAAGACGCAACTGTGAAGGAAACGAAGAAAGCAAAGGATAAAGCAGGCGGTTTCCTTTCCGGTATTTTCAAAGGAAGTAAACATGCAGCAGAAGGTGCCGTTGAAGAAGTAAAGGAATTTGTTGAAGAAACGAAAAAAGAAGCCGAAAAGGAAAAAGAAAAAGTTGATAAAACAGCAGAAAAGTTGTCGAAGGATATAAAGGATACTAAAGATAATATAGTATCCGACATTAAAGATGCTAAAGAAAAAGTGGTATCAGATACTAAAGATTCAACACATAAGGCAATGGCTAAAATATCTGATGAAGTGGGTAAAGCATCCGAAGCTATGGAAAAGGCTGGAGAGAAAGTTCATGAAGGAGTAGTAGCTGCAGTTGATGAAGTCGAGAAAGACGGAAAAATGATTAAAGAGAAGGTGTCGTCTAGTGCAGCAGATGTAGCTGAAAAATCACGCGATGTAAAAGATAAAGCGGTTAAAGAATCTAAGAAAGCAAAAGACAAAGCTGGTGGGTTCTTGTCTGGGATATTCAAGGGAGCCAAACATACAGCTGATGAAGTAAAAGATGATGTCAAAGACTTCTTAGTTGAGACAAAACACGAAGCTCAACTGGAAGAAGAACGTGCTAAAAAGGCGGCAAGTGAGTTATCTAAGGATGCGAAGGATATCAAGGATCATATTGTTTCTGAAACAAAAGAATCAGTGGATAGTGCGAAAAAAGCAGTGGATGATAGTGCTCATGCAGTATCTGAAAAAGTAAAGGATCTAAATGAAAAAGTGTCAAAAAAGACTGCAGAAGTTACTGATGAAGTAAAAGAAACTGCTGATAGCCTTGGTCAAAAAGTAGCTGATGTAAAAGATTCGGTAGGCCAGAAAATTGAAAAAGATACTAAGACTGTTGAGGAAACTGCAGCTGGTGTTAAAGATAAAGTTGCAAAAGAATCAAAGAAGGCTAAAGATAAAGCAAGTGGTCTTTTTTCAGGAATATTTAAAGGGTCTAAACATTCATCTGAAGAAGATGAAAAGGACATTAAAGAATCCACCGACAAGGTAAAAAAAGAGACGAAGAAAGGAAAACATCGTGGCCAAAAGGTAATGGATGATACAGCCAAGGATATCAAAGGATCTAAAGAAAATGTGAAAGAAAGTACAGAAAAGGTAAAAGATAAGGCAACAACTGAAACTGATAAAGTAAAAGATAAATCAGGTGGTTTCTTTTCTGGTATAATAAAGGGAGTAAAACACGCAGTTGATGAAGTTACTGATGACGTCAAAGAGTTTCTAGACGATACAAAACATGAAGCTGAATTGGAAGAAGAAAAATCACGTAAAGCTGTTGAAACTGTAACCAAGGACATCAAAGACACTAAAGATAATGTAATTTCTGAGATAAAGACTTCAACTGATAAAGCAAAACAGGAAATATCACAAGATATTCACGACATTTCGGAAAAAGTTCAAGATAGTAGTGAAGCAGCATCAAGAAAAATTGAAGATACTCTAGTTTCTGGTATTAAAGATGTTTCAGAAACTGCAAAAAAGACCGGTGAACATGCAAAGCAAGAAGTAGATGGTATTACAAAAGATGTTAATAAAATGTTGGATGATGTTGAGAAAAAGGCAAATGAAAAAGAAGAAAGCGCTATAAAAGCCGCAGATGAATTAACAACAAATATTAAAAAGACTACAAAAAAAGTTGCAACTGATGTAAAAGTTGCATCAAAGAAAGATTCCGATCAGTCTACGTCTGAAAAATTAAAAAATGCAGGTGACAAAATGTCTAAAGGACCTGTCAAGGGAGCAACATCAACTGTTAAAGGAACATCTGCCAAAGGAACAACACCTGTAGCTGCTAAAAGAACTGTTACTAAAGATGATATTAAGAAAGATACAACTCCTAAAACTGTTAAAAAGGACCTGAAACCTATTCAAAGAAAAATATCCTCAGGTTCTGATTCATCAGGTAAAGTAGCATCTGTTGCTAAAGAGAAAACTGGTACAGAAACTAAAAAATCGAAAGACAAAGCTGGAGGATTTTTGTCAGGTATAGTGAAAGGAGCAAAGCATGTTGTTGATGACGTTACCAGTGACGTGAAAGACTTTATGGATGAAACAAAAGTACAGACAGAAATGGAAGAAGAAGAAGAGATACGACAAGCTGTTGATAAATCAAAAGACAGTAAAAAAGATTCTTCAGATGGAGAAGTTTCGAAGAAGACCACAACTGTTCAGAGGATAACGAAAGAAACAACGCCTCCAAGTACAAAAGTTAAAAAATCAGGTCAAGAAATTTCCAAATCAGTGACTTCCGTTAAAACAACAACTTTAACAAGTGTAACAAAAACCACTAAAACTATTAAAGAAAAATCTGCTAGTCCCACCTTACCTGAAAGAAGAAAATCAGGAAGTGTTCCAAAAGAAACTAAAGCCATCAAGCAAGACTCAAAAACAACACCAGAATCAACTAGACGTTCGTCTGCTGAAAAATCGTCCAAAGTACCAATTTTTGGGAAGACAAAGACAACGACAAGTCGTGTGACTAAAGAAAGTTCTCCAAAAGAAAATGTTAAATCTACAACAAAGACTACACAAAGAAGTAAAGAATCTGTTTCTAAGCCAGAGACTATATCTTTGGATCCCAAGGAAGCAAGCAAATTACTTTTAAATGAAGAAAAATCTACAGCAGAAGATATTAGTCAAGAACCTAAAGAATCTCGTATTCCTCAATTGGGTTCAGGAAGAAGTTCTTTGGAACGAGATTCGTCATCAGATTCTGAAAATAAGAGTAAATCGAAAAAACCTAAGAAAAGCGGTATCATATCCAATATCGTGAAAACCACCAAAAGTGCAACCCACAAAATTGCAAAAGAAGTGGATCATGCAAAAGAAGGCCTAAAAGGTGTCACCGAGAAATTCTGGGAAGACACAAAACGTGAAAGTCAAGAGGCATCCATTTCTGGTAGTTACGATGTCTCATCACCAGAGAGCAATACTGACACAATAAAAGATGAAATTGCAACGACCGAGTCAAATATTAATGTAGAAACGTCAGGCGCGTTAGCTAGGTTAGTTGACACTGAAACAGATCGTCCAAAAATGATTTATGAATTCAAAGAAGTATCAAGCATTCCAGAAGTAACAATAGAATCTAGAGAAGTTAGGGAAATTAGATTTACTACAGTAGGTGACTCAGGTACAATTGTAGGGACTGATATTTTGAGTGAGTTAGGAAACATCGAGCCTCGCGCAAGTCAAACCGTCACCACAGTCGTTACAAAGTCTGTGCGGACGGCAACGACCCCGCCACCCAGCCCCGCCGAGTTCAGTGACAATAGCGTTAAAGGTACCTTGCAATAATTGTGTTATTCGTATATATATATACATATAAATTACATACCAGCTGTGTGTAACATGATTAATTGATTAAGTTAATGCTTTAATGTAACCTCAGTTTACACAATTCATGTTAAGTCGGCAAATTTAATCATGCACCACTGTTTCATTCCTAACTGAACCTAATAACCCAGACCTTAAAAACTTATAAGGGATCATACTGACGTTCATATACGCAAACAAATTTATTACAGAAATAGATTTTTAGCTGACAACCTGCTGCCCACTTCGATTTTTTCCATTTCCACTGAAGAAATTTTTACTGATAATTGAATTTACAGACTTGTGAGTAATTTACAAGAGGAACATACGCCAATGTTTTGATACTTCTTGGTATATAAGATTTTTCATCATTTCTTACAAAAGACTGAATACAGTCTTCAATAATGATATGAGAAAATTTATTTCTAGAGATATGAGAACATTGTCATGGTTCCTTTAAATGAAAATAAAGGCGGTCAACAAGAGCTTTGGATTTTAAAATCAAATTCTAAATGACTTTTTTAAATTACTTTTATTCAATTAATCTGAATATTGAAATTAATATTTTGAAAAATTCTTCAAAGAGTTGTTAAAACTTTAAAATAGTCTTTAAAAACTTTTTTCTAAACATGAAAACTCTTGTGACCCTCTTCTATTTTTAATTTTGCAAACAATTTTACTATTTTAGATGACAGAATACAAATTCTTTTTAATTTCAAATATAATAATTTTGAATAAGTTTTAATTTTTTTTTTTAATTTAAAAAATCGGTATGTACCCTTTCCAATCATTACGATCTCTATTTCATATCATGAGAAAAATTCATTAAAAAAAAAACATTCATACTAGAAAGTGTAGAATACCTTATTTTATTTGAAAAAATTTCTCTTTTATGCATTATTTTTTATGAAATCCAAAATAAAAGTAAATAAAATTTATTTAATTATGATTTTATGCCATCACTTTGTAGTCTGAATGTTAGGAGCAAACCTTCCAAAAACCTTAATTTCCGTACTGATTAAAGTTTCAAACCTTCTTGAAAGTTTTCTTCATAAATCGCTTCATTATAATAAATTACTTTATTACTTACATTAATTAATATTAATAATTTAATAATATTATTATTAATTATCACTAATATTAGTGTTTCTAACAGTATTTTTAATTATAATTATTATTATTACGAAACTAAATTTGCACTAGTTAATAAAAAAAAAATAATAACCGTACTGACTGATTAAGAAAATTAATTTTAGTATTTGTATCTTTTTCAACAAGCTTTTAGAAATCATGATCTCTACAAAAAAGTGATTTATCGCGGAAACTATTTATAGAAGGTTCAAAACTACTTTCAGTAAAATCCAAATTTTTTTTTTTTTAAGTAAATTATATATTTGATTGCTGTATATGAGTTTATAAAGAGTAGATCAATTTCGAATTTCTTTTCTATTTATTCCAATATATTTTCCCATTGGTCAAAAATGAAATTTTATTAATTTAAAAAAAAATATTACTTTTTGAAATAATTGTAAATAATAATAAATCTTGTCTTGTTTTTCGATAAAAAAAATTAAGTTATTCATTTCTTTTTCCCAATGGGATTATATAGAAAAATAAATTTGAAAGAGCCAAACGAAATTTGAAATACTCTATTAATTATAATTATTTTGCCTATTTGCGTTATATTATTTAACTTGTTTTTTTTTATTTGAGTTTGATGCATGTTTTCAGGTTTTTTGCGCTGTTTTTTATTTACAAAAAAAAAAAAAAAATAAATAAAGAAAGCCACTACCTCTTGTGGCTTTTAACTTGAGAAAACCGCATAACGTTTTTTAATTTTTTGTGTATACTTTTTTCTCCTCTATATATAGCGTATAACATAGAGATCATGTTATAAAAAAAAAAAATTACGCAGTAAGTAATTCTCTATCATTCAATTAACAGGAAACCACAATCTAGTGAAGCATGATCCGAGGTATGCCATGCAGGGAAAGATCATTCATCTAATCTTTGTCGACTCACTGCTTTTAATGTAAATTCGTTTTATTCTTCATTTCTCAAATCAAAATTTTCCCTTTATTTTCAGACGTTACCGAGGAGGCAGAAAGACGAGCCCAAGAATTAGCAAGCCAAGCACTCGAACTCAGACAACCAGGTATTGTAATGAAATTTAATTCTCACTAAAGAAAAAAAAACGAAAAAAAAAAAAATGAAAAAGATAATCGCTGACACAGGTCAAAAAAAAAAAATTATTAGTCAACTACTTTTTTGGTGCCCTCAGTTATATTTAGCTTTATCTTTCATATAGTTAGCACTTGCTGACGCTTTCACACTAACTAATATGCAGTGCGTGTATTTTACTTAAAAGGTACAATATCCATTGTAATTAAAAATCTTGTATCTGTAAGTATGTACAGTTCTTTCCTTTACATATAGAGATCATCTTTATATATATAATATAATACAAGAATGCAAGGCACTTTCCACTCTTGAAATAAATATATATAATTCGTTATAGCTAGAAATTGAATGCAAACATGTATTTTATAGTAATTTTCATTTGAAAACTAATATCCAGATGGTACGTAATTATGTGTTATCTGGATAATTTCATTTGGAACAGAACTATTCGTGTAATATTTATTATTGATTAAATTGGTGTTATATTCTAGCTCATTTTTTTAAAATGTTTGTGATGAAAAATCACTAAATTTAATATTTAAATCAGTAAGATTTCATTGATCAAATTAGTTGGAATTTAGCAACTTACTTTAGTAAGATTTTCACCGTAATTCAGTCATATTTCATTGACAATTAGTAGAATTCTTTTAAGATTTAAACAATTATCTGCTTTACCGATTAACGATAATGCAGAAGGGACAGTTAAGTCTATTTTACTGACTGATGATAATACAAATGTAACCTGCAAGTCTGTTTTACTGACTGACGATAGTACAGGTGTAACCGTCAAGTCTGTTTTGCCGACTGATAATAATGCAGATGTAACGTTAAAGTCTGTTTTACCGACTGACGATAGTGCAGATGAAACAGTCAAGTTTGCTTTACCGACTAATGATAATACAGATGGATCTTTTTAAATCGGTAATAATTCAACTGCTTTTTAATGAAATGTTACTGAAGTGTTTTAATAGTAAAATTCCAACTATTTTCATCATTTAAATCCCACTGATTAAAATTTAGAAGAGTAGACATTAAATAAGTGAGCTAATAAAACTAATTTTGTCTAAAACATTCTAGAAAAATCATTGCATTAAACCACTTGTCTATACTTGTAGTACACAATATTGAATTTTCTTTTAGTGATATTAGTAGAATAACTTGGTACCTTTTGATTAAATGCAGGCATACATTTAGACACCGTTTCATTGAGTGTTCTTTTTTTATAAAGAGACTAATCCTTTTGCAATGTTGATACTAACTAAATTTTGACATCGTTCCATGATTTCATTAAAAAAAAAAAATTGAAAACATACATAAAAAAAAACATTGCTGAGTCTTAGACCCACCTTGCAGCTGGGCTAGAGTTACAATTTATTAGTGTGTATCAATGTGCTTTATGTCCTTGCTCCTGTTCTTGTCCGTGTCCTTTTGGATGGGTCAGGGCATGATTCGGCTGAGATTGATGGGACTGTAGAGAGGCATGCTACTTCTGCTCCAACAATGCAACCTGTTCCTGCCCCTCGTTTTACTGTCAACACGTCTAAAGCTAATTTGGAACTAAATATTAAGGACGCCGCATCGCCACAAACACGGAAGACAACTAATAAATCCAAGATACCAGCACGTAAAATTGAAAAACCTCATATTGATGATGAAAGCACAAGTCCAAAAGAGACGCTTTCTCCAAAAAGTAAAATTCCCATTAAGTTAAAGAGTCAAGATGATATTTTATCGAGGGATGAAAGAACTATTGAGACAAGAAGATCAATTGATTCTAAACTTGGTTTGGAGAATTTTACAGAGACTATTACAACTTACAGTAGTCATAGTATTCCATCGGAGGAATTGGAGCATTTACAAAAAATGTTGCCATCTGGATTTGAAACTGATGTTTCTAGACAAATTGTCACGACTAGTTCACAAGAGACTGATCCAGGTATTGATGAATTACTTAAAGACGGCGAAGTGGTGACGAGTAAAATAATCAAGAAAACAATGATGACAACATCTGATAGTTTGGAACCGGAGGTATGGACAGAAACAACGACAAAAACTCTACCTGATGGAAAACAGGAGACTTGGCGATCCGTTACGTCTGGTAGTTTACAATCAGAAATTTGGGATACACAGTGTTCATTGGATACGTCACCTGGTTCAGGAAATGGTGATTTGTATCCAAAAAATGAAAACTATAGGCATGAGGTAAACAGTGATACTGATAGCGAAGGATCGCCACAACCAAGAAGAAGATCATTGAGCAAGAGAAGAACTTTGGGCAGTTCTAGCGGATCAGATGTGGCACTGCATGAAGGTGCTGAGCTCTCCCCATTGGAAGACGACCAAGGTACCTCACTCACAGCTAACATTCTAAGTAAGCAATGTACATATCCTGCTAACCCATTTTTTTTTTTTTTAATAATTGCCCGTTACAAATTTTTTTTTTTAATCAGTACACCTTAAATCGTAAAACGACCTGCTTGTTAAAAGAGTAGATCTTTAATTTTCATTTTTACAAAATTCTTCAAGATATCTGTAATTACAGATTTTTTTTCACCTGTAAAAAATGATTCGATTGAAGTTAGTATTAAGGAATTAAAGATATACTCTTTTTTTGATCACAATCACAAAATCATATTTTCGTATTCGAAAGCTTTCATCAAATATGCGTGGCGCAGTATATCGAATTACGAATTAAGTGTTGCATGCTTTTTTCAATTACCTATAAGATTAGCACGATGCACGTTCATTGCATGTGAATGATTTTCACCAATTTTTTTTTTTTTTAAAGCGCAAAATGCTAAAGCAACTTTTCAGGTGTTATATATAATTAAATATATAAGAAACAGAAAAAATGACGCTTATAATTAAATACAGGTCTTAAAAGGCTTTGAAAACTATTTATGCGGATATAAAATCACTCGACCAATCTCATCGACTGGATATATTTTATTCTATGGTTTGCTGGGATATTCAATTATACATTTCAATAAATAACAAACAAACAAACAAAAAATTCAAGATTGAGTGAACAATGTGTGGTTTTCCTCATTTACTTCTGGCCACGGGATCTGACCGGGTGCTTCTGGGCCATCATATCATCGACATTTTAAAGTAATATTCTCTGAAAATTCACATTTTGTGTAATTAAATATCAGTGGCATTTGTTTTTTTTTATTTCATATTTTTACCAATTGATATAAACATTTTTTTTAATATAGAAAGATTTAATGTGTTATTCAAGGGAAAACTTCTGTGGTACATCTTTATATATATATATATATATATCTGGTTTATGTTTTGTAACTAAGAAATCTATTTTTTTAATTTAGCTATGCTAAGTTTGCAACGTTTGAGAAATGAAATTTATATAACCTATAATTCATTTGCTTCTAAGGTCCCTTTCTTCTGATCGCGTCACATTTATTGAGCAAGTCGTCAGAAATAACGAATTTTATGAAATACCACTTTTGTGTCAGTGCAACACTGTACATGTGATACTGTAGGTAAAAGTAATCTTCTTTACCGACAGTTGATAATTTCTATTTTTGAAGAAGAAAACTAATATAATTCTTATGATTATATTTCTTTTCGTAATAATTATTTGTTTTCTTCTTAAAAACTAGAAATTATCAACAGTTGGTAAAGAAGATTACTTTTATCCACAGAATCCACATTTACAGTGTTGCACTGACAGCAAAAAAGGAATATTCCCAAAAACTCTTTGTTTCCGACGATGACAGATACTTTTATACTTTTTTTTATTTTTAAGTCTTCTCATGAGAAAAGGGACCTAAAAGCCAAAACATTTTAGGTTATGTTAAGTGATACTTTTAGTTTGATTAAACGTTTATTTTTAATTACGTAAAATCAAAATCTGTTTTTAATGAATATTTTGAATCTAATGAAGATCCAACAAACAAATATCATTGATCCTTTTTGTGTCTGATCAATCAAAAAATTACAAACATAACCTAAAACTTTTTACCTCTAAGGTTCCTCATCTCGTGGAGCGTAACATTTATCTATTATTATCCATTTTTTTCAAGTTTTCTGTAAGATTAAGTTGGTTTTTCACTTTTTTTAGTTGCGAAGAACGTGTAGGATGATTTTTTTCGATTATTCAGTACAGTAAAAAATTGAAATTACCAATAATAAAAAAGCACTTTGTTGAAAACAATTAATTTATTCGAAATGACAAACCTCTATAAAAACAACATTTTGTTATTATAACATTTCTCGAAAGTGGCAAATTTTTTTTTACTCTCAAATTTTGATTCTTTTATATATAGCTTCATATGTCGAATAAACTAACACGATTTTAAATGTCAGAATCATCAATAATAATTGTTGTTGTACCTTGAATAACAGCGTCTGCTATTTTATTACACAAAAGTGGAATTGAATCAGCGAAAAATAAAAAATTAGATAACATGAAAATACTTGTTGTACATGAAAAGCATATTAAATATTTATACGTGGCAGCGAGACACAGTTCAATAGAGTCAGCCAGATCAAGTGTAGAGAACAATGTTGTACAAACGATGCCTAGGATGAAGAGAGGAGGTAAAGAAAGCTGTTTCTATTGGATGGCCCTGACATTCGCGGTATTGATGCTCGTCATTGCGGTTATTCTTGCCCTGGAGCCGCGTACCCTACAGCACGCCATCCACACATTGTCCAGTCATGCCCCAAGGCACGCTGGGTACGAATTAATTATGTTTTTATTTACATTTTTTTTCTTGCAGATATTTCTCCTTACTCTTAACAACTATATATTTTACACTATTACATAACACTATTCCATTACAAAGATGGCGACGATTCGCACTAAACGCAACTGCGCTTGCGCTGCTATAATTCTCTTTAGGCGCTCTCACACCTTTTTGGCTGCCTGCAGGTTACCATGGCAACGCATGAGAGTGAGTGCGACAGAACATTTAAAAATTTGAATATTCAAATTTTCTGTCTCACTCACACTCGTGCGTTGCCATGGTAACCTGCAGGCAGGCAGCCAAAAAAGGTGTGAGTGCGCCATTTGTCATTGGTAGAAAAAGGCGCTATTATTTAAAATGCTTTGATAAAAAAAAATGTTTAAAATACAATAAAAAAATTTTCAAGTGATAAATTTATTGTTTTTGTGTTTAGTAGTTATGTTTTTTAATCAAAATTTATTTTTATTAACTATTTTGGAATATTTGATCTTTTGATAATTTGATCTTTTTGAGATCTAGGATAAAATATCGCGACTTAACTAATGTATGAATTAATTAATTATTAAGGGAATTTTAAAAATTTATTTCTATAAATAATAATAATAATTACAAGAAAATATTTTTCCTTCTTTAAGGTTTTTAAAATTATTCGCACTTAATATCAATTTCAAAATAATTGATAAAAATTAATTTTGATTACAAAATATAACTTTAAACAAAATCAATAAATTTATAACTTAACAATGTTTTTTTTTATTATTTTAAAAATACATATTTTCTTGTATTAAAGTATTTTGAATACGAGAGCTTTTTTACCAAAGAGAAAGTTATAGTAAGGCAAGCGCAGTTTGTTTCGTGGTAATCACAAATTTTTTTAATGTGACATCATCATTCCTACCAGGTGGTAATTTTCGGCAGATATTTATTTTACCGACACATATATATGTATAAAAACTAGTGTTATTGTTATATTTATATATTCGTCGGTAAAACAGATATCTGCTCAAAGCTATCCCACATCCTTAATCTTAACATTTTTTCTTTTTTTACTTCTTATTGTAAAAAAAAAATTTCCTCTTCTTAGAGTCAATAATTCTCTAAACCAGAAACAAAGTAAATCGTCGATTTTTAAAAAATTTTTATTATAAAGACTAGATAATTAAATATGAAAAATCTGCTTCATCTCTTTTCTTATAAAAAAGCTGAAATTATTACAATTTAGCAATATTTAAAAAAAAAATTTTTTTTTGAGTTTTATTTTAGAGTTACTACTTTGAATTTTTCACAAAAGCTAACAACAGTTTCGTAATTACAAATAAAAAATAATAATTCAGGTTGTGATTAATTTCATGAGTTTAGATAAACTTTTTGAGTTTTTGTCCGCCATATTGGGACGCCATTTTGAATTTTCAAATCTTCTATAAAATTCGTAGTGACATAAAAATAAATTTATCGCATTAATACTAACTAGTGAGATTAGTTTCAGCTTTTTATGATCGGAACAGATTTTTCATGCTTATTTCGCTACACAGAAAAAACCTAGTTTCATTTTTGTTGCATCTCAAAATAAGCTAATGCTAAACGACATAAACAGTGGCGCCACCAACCTGGCTCTTTTTTGTTACACTTCAAAATGAGTAGCAGGTTTTTTCTGTGTAGGCCTTTGGTAAAAATTGAAAATTTTGATTTTCTTATTGAAAAGTAAAAAAATTTACCACACTGCAAAATTCTAGGTAGATTTTAGTGAAAAGTAGAAAATGAGATGTATATGACCAAGGGAAAATTTATTCTAAACAACCTCCAACTCAAAAAAAGCAAACAGCGTAGAAAATAGAGTTGAAAAATATTAATAGACGATTTTTTAAATATTCCGTAGAAAATAGTGAAGTATTTCGTGGCCAGATTAAAAAAAGTAACACTCTAGAGTAAAAAAATCCCAGTAAATTATTAAATATATTTTTTTACTTTTTTATCCAATTCAATATAGTAATTAAAGGTCCAGAACGCCAGTTGGTTCCACTAAACTGTGGCGAAAAAAAAAATTCTTTTTTTTTCTATATTCTTTCAGGTAAAAAGGTTTTATTTACAACTGCAAGCTGCATGATTTTTTTCTTACCCCCCCCCCACTCTATGATGCATGATCATTTTCGAATTTTTCAATTTTGCACAACAAATTTAACAAATAACAAAGAGTGAAAAAAAAACAAAAAATTCAAGGAATGTCTTTATATCACACTTTGCACGCAGTTACAAGTAAAACTAAACTTTTAAAAACAAGTTGTCTATGATTTTAATTTAATAAACAAGTATACTTCTTAGTTTTTGTTTTCAATATTCTTTTAGCTTCTACATGAGCATCTCAAGATAAAGCTAAAGTGTAGAGGGACCAACGAACATGTTTAGGTATGATGAGGTTAGGGTTGTTAGGCGAATGTGAATATTTTTTTTCCTGTTTTTTTTTTCACCATCAAACAAGAAAATATATGTAGATAATTTTATGTTTAAGATTTTCGACGTAGGTATATTCACTTTAAATAGCACTTAATTTTTTTTTATTTATAGCACATGCTGAAAAATATATCGTTTTCTCTATATTTATTATATGTATAACTATATAAGATAACTCAGCAATATTTTATCTAAACTTTTATTATTGTAACTATTATTGTACTTATTATTAATATAATAATAATAACAATAATTATAATAATTAATTATTATTATTAATTATTTTAATAATAATAATAATTATTATTATTACCATAGTAATAAATTAATTTGCTTAAATCTAATTATGTAGAAAGTAGCTAATCTTCCTTATAACCAAACTAAGAATTTTTTTTTATATATTTCTAAATAGTAGAATTTTTTATATTATTAATTCGTCTAACAACACTAACATATATTTGTAGTTAGAATATATGCCCCTTGGAATAAAAAGCCATGATATTTATATATATATAGTTGAATTATGATTTTGTTTATGAAGAAGATTGGATATAATCTTCGTATATTACAATATACATATAATTAATAAACTGCTAAATGCCTCAATCAGCAGCTTTTGTCAGCGCTTTACACGAGCTCGCTGCGTGTAGCACTACTTATATTATATACAGATATATAAAATAATAATAACAGTCTAATTTGGCATAATATTTTCTTGAAAAATTTAATTTGCATATTTAGTCAAATATGTTCTGGCGAAAAAAATTAAAATTTCAAAATATTTTATTTCAAATATAAATAAAATTTCAAATAATTAAAAAAAATATATATTTATTAAAAAATGCATTTTAAAATTTAAAAAAAAATTATATTAGAAAATGCCTTTTAAATAGTAAAATATAGTTATTTTTAAATATTTTTTTCAAAATGCTTTTTCAGTAATTCGATGTTTATTATTATTTTTTTCCCCAAATGATTCATTTTAAAAGTATTAAGAATAAGAATAAAAATTAAATCAATATAGTCTAGTAAAAATAGTATCCTCAGATAAAAAATAATATCCTTAGATAAAATAAAATTATTAAAAATTAAATTAATTCCAGAACATAGTTACTTGACTAAAAATGCGTTTATTATATTTGCATTGTAAATTATTTAGCAATGTTGTCACTTTTTTTTTTTATTTGTGTCTAGTATTATTATATAATTATTAATCCCCTTGTTTGGGCATGATGTAAAAAATTGAGAGGTAATCACAGTTGTAATTGTCTTTAAATGTATATCGAGTCGAAATACGGAAATTGATGCGAATAATAAAATTGATTTTGTACTTTATTTTTTGATATGCTTTGTTTCTTTTTTTTTGTTCGACAGAATCTGACTTTTTACAACAAAGCGAGCCTTCCTATATGGAAACGACAACGACAGAAATTGATCCTGAAACAAACGAAAGGTATTTTTCTTTCAAATGTACAAAAAAAAAATTAACATAATTATATAATTTCTTTTTATAAATACATACATTTTTCAGATAATTTTTACGAAAAATTGGATTTTATCCACAATAACTTTAATATTAAAAGAAACATTTATTCTTTTTTAAATCTTAAAAAATTGGTAAAAAATGAAGAAAAATGGTATATAAATCTTTTTAATATACATAGATTTAAAAAAAGTTATTTTAATTTTAATTAAAATTAGAAATAAGAAAAAAGGTAAAAAAAATTTTAATTTTTGAGAATTTTAAGAATTATGTACAAAAGTTTTAATATTTTTTTTCATTACCTTCGCCATACTGGAGGTTTATTTTGTTTAAACACATAATTGTTCTTATTTATTAATTAATTGTTTACTTGATTAAAGATAAGGAAATATCATTTCCTACCTCAGTGTAATTTTTTTTTACCATTTTAATGTAATTCAAACTCTATAATATGTAATAACTCTTAATTAATTAAATATTATTTATTTATAATTATTTATTTATAATTATTTATTTAAAATAATAATATTATTATTACTATTATTTTAATTATTGTAGCAGAAAAAAGCAATTGTTTCTATACTTTTTGGTTATTTTTAGGTATTTGTTTATGACAATTGTTAATAACAATTGAAAAAAAATTTTCATTGTGCATTTTTTATCCTTGGCCAAATATGTAACTGAAAAGATACTTAAATAATTTATTTAAACATTTTTTTTCAAAAATATACAACAAATATTGTTTTTGTAGGCTCATTTTTTAATTTATTTGTTTAAATAAAAAATTTTGCAAACTGAAATTCAAAAATCCAGCCCAATGGCGGGAATTTGGGAATTTATCGCTGAAGATTTTTAAAAATAGTACGTCAAAATCCATCAAAAATTGAAGGCTGCAGCCGATCGTTAACAGTAAATTGCAATTCTGAACCACTGTGGCTCTGTGAAAATAGTTAATAATTATACAATTATTTGTTTAAACAATTGTAAATTTTTTTTTTTAATTTTTATCTACTATTATATTCTGTTTGATAAGTTGTAAAATTAGGAAAGAAAAAAAATTGTAAAAGAAGGTAATAATTAACAACAATTATTTGTTTAAACAATTGTTAAAATAATGATTTCGGTTCAAATTGTTATATATTATTAAATTTAGTTTCTTAAGTTGAAAAAATAGGAAAAAAATTATTATATTTTTAGATGCAATTTAAAAAAAGGCAATAAATAATAATTATTTGTTTAAACAATTGTTGACATTATGATTTCGGTTGAAATTTATCTATAATTAAATTTTAGTTTTTTAAGTTGCAAAATTAGTAAAAAAAAAACTGCATATATGTTAATAAATACAAACAATTTTGCTTAAACAATTGTTGAAATAATAATTTCAGTTCAAATTTTTATTTATTATTAAATTTAGTTTTTTAAGTTGAAAAATTATAAAAAAAACTGCATATTTCTCAATGCATGTTAAAGAAAATATATTAATAAATTACAACAATTATTTGTTTAAACAAATATTTAATTAATCCTTTGGGTGTCGATGACGTGTATACACGCACATAAATTTTGAGCCCAATAATAAGACGGAATTAGCCTAAAATTTGTTACTCGGGGGTTTTTGGGGTCGCTGCTTCCGAATTTGATGTCAGAATTACAAAATTTCAAAATTCAAAATGGATACAATAATAATCACACCCATACTATGCTATTTTAAATTTTCAAAATCTAACTTGAATATCGTAAACAGCGACGTTCAAAACCCCTGAGTAACAGATTTGAAGTAATTTTAATTAATTTTTGAATTTTTAGAAAATTATCTGCCACTTCGTTAACGCTATTTTGAATATTTGAAATCTGACTATATAGATTCGTAATCAGCAATCCTCAAAACCCCTGAGTAATAATTTTTAAGTATTTTAAAATCATTTTTGTAATTTTTTGAAAAAATTGTCCGCCATATTGGTTCCGCCATTTTGAATTTTTGAAATCTCAATTTAGATTCGTAATCAGCGACCCCAAAAACCCCCTAAGTAACAATTTTTAAGTATTTTTAAATCATTTTTGCCATTTTTTGAAAAATCGTCCGCCATATTGGCTCGGCCATTTTGAATTTTTAAAATCTGACTTTGGAATCGTAATCAGCGACTTTAAATACCATAGTATACACATTTGTACAAATTTTGGTCATTCAAAAATTTACTGACATTTTGGGCCCACTTATGAGATTTTGGCCTTGACTGCGAAGGGGTTAATAGTTGTAACAAATTGAACTCAATTCTTTTTTTTTTTTTTTTGATTTACGAAAAAGTAGTGCTAAGAAATGTTGATAAATTTATAGAAAGCTATTCACATGTTGATTTGGAAACGGTAGATAAAATATTTAAAAAAAAATGTAAAAAAAATATAAAAAATTGTTTAAACAAATAAAAAAAATAAATCGTAACATTAGTAAAATATATTATTTGGCAACATAAAACTTGTTTGGGTCACTCGAGGTGAGAATTTTTATAAATTACTTTTTACAAAAAAGTAAAAATTTAATTAAATGTAGGTATAATGTGATTAAGATTGTTTAAATTTTAAAATAAAGAATAAATTAATAATTGGATTTTTTAATTGAAAAGTAATTAAATTAATTAAAAAGTATAATAGAATTTAGCTTTGTATCATTCTAAAAATTAGAACAACGAAAAAATAATAATAACGAAAAATACTTTTAAAAAAAATAACCCAAGTTGTTGGTAATAGAGTATAATAGAATATTGTTGCTATTTTTGAAAAAAAAACATAAAAATAAAGAAGGAAGGAATTAAAAAAAAATATATTAATTACTAAGAAAATAATTAATTGAATTAAATTTTTCTTTTTTTTAATTTTCAGAATAACGAGAACAACGCGAGTAGTTACAACGACAGGATCATCAGGCATTACTGGCGGTGCAGACGAGCTTCGAGAATCAATGCAAAAAATAGTGGATCAATTTATGGTGGAAGATAGAAAGGGACAGTGAAGTGTCGATTTATCTTTGACAAACTCTGAGCAAAGTAAAATTCTTGACACTGCAAAAAGAAAGGGGCAGACATTAAAAAAACAAAATTTTTTTTCTAAATAAAACACTTTTCAAAAAGAGCACACTCTGTATGAATTTAGTTCGATATTTCCTCGCGTCGAGCTTTATCTCATACTCTTAAAAAAAAAAAACAAACAAAAAACCAAAAAAAGCAGAAAAAAAATGAAAAAAGCTAAATAGCATTAATATAAATATATATATTGTACCTTGGCCTAATGGCAAAAAAAAATCGAATTTGTTTTAATAAAAAATATTATTCTCTTTGCTAGATAGACTAGCATTTTTCGCTAGTCTTTACTACGCCAGCCCGTCCAGTGCTTTTCTTTGTAAAGTGAAAGAGAAAAATCTTGCTTTGCTTCCATCAAAATAAAAAAAAAAAAAAAAAAAAATGTTTACCCTTGAATGTCGCTTCTAAACATTTTTGTGCAGATAGATTGTACTCTATGATTATGAAGAAAAAAATGAAGATTAAATTATAAATAGATTTCTATTGAAAGAAATTACACTCTGTTATCAATTTAAGAAAGTGGATATATCGTTGTCCGATTAAGAAAAATAAAATTTAAAAAAAAAAAAGGAAAATTAAGTATTCTTCTCATGTTGCTCGCTGTTAAAACTCAAAGACTTAGAAATTGTCTAAGTTGCAAATTTTAAGGCAAGGAAAAAAAAACGTCGACACTGCTTATAATAATTATTACTCGCGGTGTTTTCTAATTTTTATTTTTTTAAAAAAATAAATTGTTCATCTTGCTGTCACACAAAACACAAACAAAAGCACAATAATCTTTGAGACTCTAATACTGTTTTTGATTTGAGCGACGGCAAGATTTGAATTTTTTTGTTTTGTCAATCATCAAATTATATAATGTACATTTGAATTATTTAATTAAATTTTTTCTAACAATTTTTTTTTTTCATTGTGTATATTTATATAATTATATTTACTTTTAGCGTAACTTATATACTATTGTACTATTTAAAAGAATTGTAATAATAATTATTCGATCTTGATATATATGAGGAATATTTTATTTATATATAATATATGGAGATAATGACTGTTTTTGAATTGTTACTTTTCTCGCAGGAATAATAATAATAATAATATAATATAATATTATTGTGAGATATGAAATGATGAAATATAGCGTATTTTTTACTATCATTGTAAAAATTACGAGAAATAATAAAAAAAAACATATATAAAATTATTGCGGACATTATGTCAACATTATAAATTCAATGACCGAGAAATTTCTTTAAATAATTAGCTTACGTGAATTTAGCTAAAAACTTGTGTCATTGTTTTTCTTTTTTTAAATATGGGAGAAGAAAATCATATATTGTATCTATTATAAATACATTATATGTATATAATATATGAATTAGAAAAATTTTCTAATATGAAGATATTCTATTGATATATATATTATATATATATATATACATAAAAATGCTATATTGAGAAATACATAAAATGTCTACGCAAAATAAAGATTTATAAATTATTAAGCTGCATACAATAGACTTGCCTAGAGCCCACCCGACTTAAGGACCAAAGGCACAATCATATGCATATATATATATATATATAAATATAAAAAATACCGAAAATGCTCCTGTGTAAATCTGTAATGTTTAATAAATCTTTCATGATTCACGTGGTATTGGCGTTCACTATTATTTTCATATTTCATTATATTTCAAAATTTATTACATGAAACTACAATAATACTTTAAATATATTTTTTAATTGATAATTAAGTTGCTCAGATATATTATATTCTTTAATTGAATTCTAAACGCAGCTGTATTTAATTGCGTTAAAATTACTTCCAATATATTGATTATACAATAGGTACATTTATGCTATTTTGTTTATATTTCCCATCTGCAACAAATTTTCTAGAAAATATTAAAAATATTAAGAAATAAGAAAAATTTAAAATAGAAAAAATTTATATTGAAATAATTTTCATCACTTAATTTTAACTATTTTTAAATTTAGCGCCATTGTCAACAGTTTTGCGTTATATAGTTGGTATTTGTACTTGTTAATTCACAAGATTCCTAACCTAAAAATTCATTTATTTAATTTCGTGAATTTTTGTAAAGCAGCTTCGAGAATTAAAGTTATATGTCTATATTTATGAAAAATAATAATTATTTTATTTAGAATTTAATTTTTTTTATACCTAACTAATAATATAATTGTGATTAAAGACTCGATATATTAACATTCAAATGAATTAAAATCTGCCCTTTTGTAAATTCCCGTATGAGATCCCGTATATGGAATTCTATATAAGATCTCATATAGGATCCCACATGGGAATATGTAGTATACTTATTTAAAAAAATATGAGACATATTTTAGGTTTTAAACACAAAATATTTTTGCTTTATATAAAATGAACTCAAAATTTTGTCCGATTTTACGTAATTTCTTACCGTTTTTGAGATATTCACAAATCTTATTTTTCAAATTTCGACCCCATATGGGATCCTATATGGAATCCTGTATGGACACTGATGAGATTCTTCTTACGAGATGTTCTTATAAGATTTCGTATAGAATCTTATATAAGAAACCATAAGCGATCTTACAAAGGATCTCATATGGGAATTAATAGTAGGGTGCCTAATAAAATTTTTATCTACAAAATAAAAATAATATTACAGATTACACTCAATACTATTTTATAGAATTTTAACAATATAACTCTTATGTCCTGTTCCACTAACCTAAAGGGCCATCAAATTTCTAATCGCGTTTCATTAACTTTTAACCGGCCGTTATCTCAAGTTAACTTATGTTAACATTGACATATATATAATACTTCGTATTTATAAAAAAATGTAATATTTGGACAATTTGTTATTATTGGATTCTGATGGTGACTTAAACCTAATTTAGCTCGAAAACATGACATTTTTATTAAAATATGGCTCTGTACCTGAAACAATAATTATCTCAAGTATTTAAATCTAAAAAATTATGTAAATTCATTGAGAATTGTGGCGTCAATACAGAATTTTGTAAGTAAATATTGTGCACTTGTAGCAAATGACAGTCATGTTGTCTGTGATTTTGGGTCCAATGTAGGTATCTGACATCTGTTGGCGAGCGGGCGTAGTACCATGCGTACGCGAGTTATCAAGTGAAAACATCTTCGAATGTGATTAGAATATTAATATTCTAATGATAGGTGAAAAGTTTCTCAAAGAAAAGAGAAACTTTTCATTTCATAAAAACTCAAAATTTTTTGTCAGGGGAAAAACAGAAAATATCGTTGATAATGATTAAATATGAAAATATAATTGAAAACCGAGAAAGTGATGTAGTTAATGTAAAAATAAAAAATGAAACGTGGGTAAAAATAGAATTAGAATTAAATAGCCATAGCAGAGCTGTTTATCGTGATTGAATCATTGGTGGTATTGCTTGATTCGTATAATTTTATATTCAATGAATATTTAAAATATATGATGTATAAATTAAAAAAAAAAAATACCTTTCTGTCGCAGGTTTTCAATTTCTTGTAATAAATGGACCGGGCATTAACCTAATGAACGCAACAATAATATTATTTTTAGAATATTTATATCAATAATATATTTATTAGTTTTCATTAAATGTATATCAATAGTTAGATAAAAAATACAAAAGAACTGAAAAAATTACGTCTATAATTTTTCAATTGTCATTAAATTTGGAAATATCTTACGTAATTTGTAACAGTCAAAATCTATTAAGAAATCATTACATCGTAAATTATACAACAATGATGATTGATAAGTAATTCTTTAAATACGAGTATCTCAACATGAGAGTTATTCAGTCTACTAATTCGTTGCTGACACCACTTCTGAGAAGCAAAGTAAGTTAGTTATCTTACTACTTTTCGAAGCAATTTCACCACTTTTCATTTTACAATCGTGTTTTTGTATAGATTTGCACAATCTTTCGGATTAGGAAATTTATAAGATAAGGATCCTTGGTATTTTTTCCGATTTTGAAAAAGTGTCCGCGTTTTGAGAAAAAAGTATTTTAAAATCAATGTTTATCATTCTCACGTTCAGTGCCATTTTTATAGGGCGATTATTAAATCCCAAAGAATTTCAGAGACCGTTCGACACTCTTAACAATTGGTAATATGAAATTGGTTAGTCTGCAGTTTTAGGAAGACAAATTCGGAATAACGAGATGCTTAAAATATGTTATTAACATTTTTTATTATTTAACAAAGTTATTTAAATAAATTAAGTTAACTGTTGAGCAATATGTTAAATTAAATGATTTACGGACTAAAAAATTACATATGTTGCATTTTTTAATATTTCCAAGATACACCAATGTTAGAACAATTGACACACTTAATATTTAAATAATTCTTCACTTGTTTACAACTAATTTACAATTCAATGATCAGCTGTTCTGTCGTGCGCGCGACTACATGGAGAAAAAAAAGGAGAACCGCTTAACCCGCCGGTAAAGCAGTTCTCTTAAACGAGAGTCAGCTGTTTGACCGCTTGGAAAGTGAGCCGTTCGCTTCTCGAAGAGTGAACGAGTACGCTTTTTGAGGAAAGCGGGTTAGCTTTCCTGAAGGTGAAACGACAAAAGGTGAACGGTTACTCCTCAAAAGATAAACGGTTCTCCTTTCGCGGCGAAACTGCTGCTCCCTGACGAGTGAGAACAGCTCACAACTGCCAAATCAAGCGGTTCTCCTTTTTTTCTCCGTGTATAGTTCTACGTCACGTCCGTTTGTCGATGCATGATGCTCGAAACCGTATATAACCTAACTTTTTTTTTGTTCATAAAACATAAATTGAAACAAAATTTCTTTTGCGATTATTGTAAAATATAAAATGCAAAGAAACAACATAAGTTGACAAACTAAATACATAATAGTACAATTAGTTTTTTAGTAACTAAAACATTTTTTTAATTTTGTTGTAATTGTATTAGGTTACAATAGGAAAAGGAAAAGAAGAAAGAAAGTGAAAATCTAGTTTCGATTGAAGAGCAGCATACAATGTCTACCGGAGAAGAGGATTATTATTGTAGAGTCGAGAATGCACCCGTCAGCTCAACAACACATGTAAATAACACTGAAGCAGTTGCTGCAACCGCTGGTTCAGATAATGCGAAAAAGGTAGAGAAGAAAGAGAGTGAAATTTTAGATTCGACTAAAGAGCAGGAAACAACCAATACCGAAGAGGAGGTTAATTACTGTAGAATAGAGGATGCACCAGTCAGCTCAAAAACACATGTAAATAACACTGAAGCAGTTACTGCAACCGCTGGTTCAGATAATGTGAAAAAGGTAGAGAAGGAAGAGAGTGAAATTTTAGATTCGACTAAAGAGCAGGAAACAACCAATACCGAAGAGGAGGTTTATTACTGTAGAATAGAGGATGCACCTGGGTACATAAAAAAAGATAAATAACACTGAATCAGTTACTGCTGTTACATCACTATAAAAATTTAAAAATTCTTCCTTAATGTAACACATTTGTATAGGCAAATCAATGTATATTCAATAAATGTACATATAATTGTCAGATTTAAAGTATTAAACATTATTATAATTATTAATTATTGATTGCGACAAAACATCGAAGAATATTAAATATTAAATAAAGCACCGAAAATTTCCTTAAGATTCATTGAAGGTTTAAACGTTAACTTGGGAGTATTGAATCGCCAAGTTAAGGGGGAAACCATATTACGACGCTGTTTTTTAGCCGTTTTTCGGGATTTTTTTCAAAAGGGATAAAATTTTTTAAATGAAATGCAAGAATCACATTATATTGCACATATATTTATCTGTGTCTCACAATTTTTTTAAGCATTTTTATTAAAAACATTCCAAGTTAGCAGCCATTAAACCTGGAGCTGTGCCGTCTGAGTTTATTATTGCTGTGCAATGTAGAGTCCACAAATTTGATCTAAAAGCAAAAAATGAAGGTTATTCACGATTTATACAAATTTTATTATTAATTGAACTAACTTTTAAGGGAAAATATTGAAAACTTGACACTACTTTTAAGTTATTGTTTGATTTTTGGCATATTTTTTTGCGTCTTTGAGATTAAAAAAGAAGGTATTAAAATTTTTTTTCTTTCTAACGTTTAGTTCACATAATAATAAATTTAATAATAAACAATTTTTTTTTTGAAATCGGTCAACAACATTTTGAACTATCCTGCATAGCAATTTTAAAAAATCCCGTTTCGTGAAAAATGCGTTTGAAAAAAGTATCGAAAATTTATAAATAATGATAAGAAAAAAACCATTTAGTGCTTACACTTTAATCTGCTATTCCTGCACCATATATTAGTCCTTTCTCTTCTTCATAAGTCAAATAATAAATTCACAAAGGGACTTCCTCAGCGACGCCGTTACCAACCTGCTTCGCTACTCGGAGCAAGCTTCATCTGCAAAAAAAAACAATTCGATTTTTTCAACCCCGTAATGTGGTTTCCCCCTTAACGTTTAAACCTTTGTCATTACTAAGTAAAAAGGATTCATCAGTATATTAAAAAATTACATTTATTACAAAATTGGGTATACGAAATCACGAATTAAAAAGTTTGAATAATGAATTATTTTTGTACAAAACACACTCTCTAAATCTGAATTAGTAAAAATGTTTACTAATTTAAATTAGTGACTCACTTTTTGCTTTAGAATTAGTTAAATTTTACTAATTGTTAGTAAAAGTTACTAATAGTTAGTAAAATTTTACTAATTTAGAAGCAAAAAGTGAGTCACTAATTCAAATTAGTAAACATTTTTACTAATTCAGATTTAGAGAGCATCTAAATCTCTAACACGCTCCTGGAACTTCAACAAAAAAGGTATGTGATCTAAAAATGCTTAACATTACAATCAAATTTATTAAACCACAACCAGGACTTCCCCATTTATTTCGCATTGGTAAATTTGTTAGGATGTAATGTGCGTTTAAATTTGTTCCTTGAATATTAGGAGGAACAAGTCCTCTTAAAATGCATTGACGACATCGCCATGATGGATTATCACTATTTATTAAGATCCATATGTTGGCGGTAACAGAAACATATGGCATCTGCAAAAATCTAATACAATGATTTTTATTGCAGAAAATAATCTTTCCACACTAAATTGAGTCATAGGCTTAGCTTGTACAATTTTGGAAAGAATATACCGTTTTGGGTACGTATCTTTCCTACATTTGCAATATTTCAATGTGTCCTCATCTACGCTTCAGCATCTTTTTCCTGCATCATTAATTGAAGAAGATCTTCAGAAACTTCTTCGCCTTCGATCATTTAAAAATAATTAAGCATAATTTAATATTATAGCAAATAAAAATATATTTTTTATTAAATTAAAGATATGATTATTATTATTCATAATACCTCTATATCTTCTTCTGATAATCAAGATAAAGCAGTAGATATCCCTATTGATTCTACTGGTTTTATATTAATTTATTACAATTTTTTTTAATATATTTTTTGTAATTTCACACTTTTTTGGTGTTAAAAGTGGCAAGTATCTTGCATCGATGAAAACGTACACTGTAAAAAATTTTTTCGAAACTTCTTTCGACTTTTTTCTAAATAAAAATTGAGAAAATTTTCTAAAAAATATTTGATTTATTTCGAATAAAGCGTTAAGAAAAATTTCAAAACTATGTTCGGTCTTTTTAGCAAAGTGTTAAGATAAATTTTGTAACTACTTTTGATTTTTTCTAACCAAGAATTGAGAAAAATTTCTAAAAACAATTTGATTTTTTTTCATTAACTATATTTGCATTAATGAATATGTGTGACAAAGTTTTGATAATTTACAGATATTTATAATTTTTTTAAATTAATTAATATAAAAAACTTTACATTTGTCTTACAACTAGATACAATTTATATATTTTTCAAAAAAGTTTATAAAATTTAAGTTATACATATTTTTCAATTATAACATTAATAAAATATTAAAATATTTAAATATTTTATTTTTATTATTATTAAAATATTCAACTTATAGATACTCGTAACTTAAGGGGAAAAACTTGTGTAAAGGAAAGTTTTTTCAAGATTTTTTTACAAAAAAATTGTAAAGTTTATTGAATCTAAAAATCTTCCAATATCACAGCAACACATGCGTTTAAAGTTAGATCTTTGGTTTTGCGCCGTGCAGCCTACTGGTCTCAAATCTCAACCAAAATCAAAAAATAAAACTTTTATCGTTAAAATACACAAATACGCTTTGCATGACGAAAAAAAAATTTTGTAAAAATTTTTTTTACACGAGTTTCCCTCCTTAAATACATTGGTTTATATGTTTTATTGCATTATTTATTAATTTGGCTGTCCTTGAATCCTCTTCATTTAATTTTTGGGATTTATTTTTTCTTTGCCTCCTACTGCCTTTGCTTGATGGGTTTATATCTAAAAGCAGTCTGAAAATAATGTGAAAACATTTTTAATATTAAATTAATAAATAATGATTTAAAGGAAAATTTGGATAAATACATAAGTATAATATAACATATATATATATATATATATATATATATATATATATATATATATATATATATATATATATATATATATATATATATATATATATATATATATATATATATATATATATATATATATATATATATATATATATAAATCTTTACCTTTGAATAAATTCGAAGCTCGATGCCTTCTTCGCTTCATAATTAAACCCATAAACATAGTATGATAATACTAATAAGAAAATCCCTTGTAAGACATTGGAAGTTCTTATTAGAATCGTATCTTCGACTACTATTAGACACTGTGAAGATTCGTCAAACAGACTTCTTCCTAAAAGAAAACGTAAGAATATTATTATTAAGTAATTATTGTTACATGTGTACTAATATTTATTAACTACTTACTAACATTGACAAAGATTTTATGTATAAATTATAAATAGAATTAAACATGATATAAACCTTTTATGATGAGAATAGGACGTGTAATATTAGCCATTTTTATAATTTCCTCATCCGAAGCGTCAATATCCTGAAAAAAAATTTTTTTAGTACAAATATTTGTTAATTTTAATTGTCAAATCATAATTTAAAAGATAGGTTATACTTACAGCCAATTTAAAAATAGGCTCTTCGTTAAAAAAAGAGGCTAGAAGTGGAAGAAATCCAATCGTTTTTGGAAATGAAGAATCCAAAGTTGACGAAGCATTTTTTATTTCACTCAAAACTGACTCCAAATTTTTGGCAATTATAGGTTTTATTGTTTCCTTTTTGTATTTCGTGTAATAATCTCTGAAATATTCGTAAATTGCAGGAATTTTATTTTTTGCGTTTTCAAGCCATATGTTTTGAACTGTTTTGCCAAGCAAAGTTTCAGCATGTGCAAGAAAATGTTTTTCTTGTTTTAAATGGGGCCAATGATTTTGAAATATATCTGCCAAATTCAAGTGAAGCTGTTCCCTTCTATTTAAATTAATTCGCTGGGTAGCATACGTAAGATTTAAATACTTTGCTTCATTTTCAACTGGTAGTGAAATGGTCTCCGCAATTGTACTATTAACAAAATATCTGAAAAAAATTCGTTTAATTTTGAGTCGATTCAATTCGGCCATGATTGATATAAATTGATTAAATTTTTTGCATCAAAAAATGAGACCGTTTCGTGTATCATTTCTAAAAATGATACACAAAACGATCTCTTTTTGATATAACTTATGTGCATCAAAACGTTGCAAACATTTGATGCAATTTTTGGTCTCAATTTGATACTTTTAGGAAAACTGTGTACTACACGTGTTAAAAAGAAGAGTCAATAAACTCATAGGTAAATAGTATACAGCGTGATTGGGAAGTCGTGGACAACCTCTTATAGATCGATAGAGAAAAAAATTCTAAGAGGGACCATTTGGTTAAAAATTGAAAATTGTTAACCAATTTCGAATAAATAAAATTGGCAAATGTATAAAAATAAGAATAATTATGACGTCATTTTTGTTATCCGTAATGTATTCCGTAAAAAAACAAAAGGCTAACTTCCCATTGAACGAAATGTTGTGATTGGTTAGTTTAAGAGAAAGTTACTAGAAACTTTCGTGATTTAATTTGAAAATGTAAACAGAAAATGTTTACAAAATTATTAAATTAAAAAAGTAATTGTGAAATAAAAAAGTGAAGTGAATTTATAAAATTAACCCAAAATGGAATACCAGATGTTTTCTGCGATTTGTTTAATTCAAGGTAAGTGAAGAAAAAAAAAATAAAAAAAAAATTCCAGGTTAAGTAGGGTTAGTTTGTTTACATTTTTTTCCTTTTAAAAATATTTGTTGATATTAAATTGTTTACGTAATTTTTTTTTTTTTGAAGAGTAATAAATAAACTAATATTTTATAATTAAGAATTAATTCTGGAATCAATCTCTGAATTGATTTCAAATCAATTTATTTTCGATAAAAAATTTTTTCTTAATTATTATTATTATCTGTAAAAAAATTTATTTCAAAAAAAAAATTAATGGGTAAAAAATTCCTTAAAAAAAAAATTTGCAGGTTTTTCGATCATTAAAGAAACGAAAAAAGATAATTTTTTTCCTCTTTTTCATGAATTTGTAATTTTTGAAAAAAACGACCGTCATAACCTGCCATCTGGTGTCTGGTTTCATTACACAACACAAATTATATTATTTTTTTTTTAAAGAAAATTTGACAATATCTTACTATTTTAAATTTTTTAGAAAATCTAATAAATTCTTTAATTTTATCCAATTAAAAAAAATTGATTCTGGAATCAACCTTTGGGTTGATTTCAGAATCAATTTTTTTTTTGGAACGAAAAATTTTTCGTTCCTTAAATATCATCTGCATGAAGATAACCGAAACAAGGTCTAATAGACAAGTGGATACTGCACTCAACTGCGAACCCAAAAATCGTGGGTTCGATTCCTGGTTGTTTCAAATTTTTTTTTTTTTACTAAAATTATTATCTGTAAAAAAATGTCATTACAAAATAAAATTTTTCTAAGTTTGAAAATAAGTAGATAAAAAATGTGTACAGTTTTGGATTTTCCAAATAAATGAAAAAAACGTAAAAATTTTTTTTTCTCTACATCATGAATTTTCAATTTTTGAAAAAAACGACCGTCATAACCTGCCATCTGGTGTCTGTTTTCATTAAACAACACAAATTATATTATCTTTTTTTAAAGAAAATTTGACAATATTTTAATTTTCTCAGGAAATCTAATAAATTCTTTAATTTTATTCAATTAAAAAAAATTGATTCTGGAATCAACCTTTGGGTTGATTTCAGAATCAATTTTTTTTTTGGAACGAAAAATTTTTCGTTCCTTAAATATCATCTACTTGAAGATAACCAATACAAGGTCTAATAGACAAGTGGATACTGCACTCAACTGCTAACCCAAAAATCGTGGGTTCGATTCCTGGTTGTTTCAATTTTTTTTTTTTACTAAAATTATTATCTGTAAAAAATGTCATTACAAAATAAAATTTTTCTAAGTATGAAAATAAGTAGATAAAAAATGTGTACAGTTTTGAATTTTCCAAATAAATGAAAAAAACGTAAAATTTTTTTTTTCTGTACATCATGAATTTTTAATTTTTGAAAAAAACGACCGTCATAACCTGCCATCTGGTGTCTGTTTTCATTAAACGACACAAATTATATTATCTTTTTTTAAAGAAAATTTGACAATATTTTTATTTTTTCAGGAAATCTAATAAATTCGTTAATTTTATTCAATTAAAAAAAATTGATTCTGGAATCAACCTTTGGGTTGATTTCAGAATCAATTTTTTTTTTTGGAACGAAAAATTTTTCGTTCCTTAAATATCATCTACTTGAAGATAACCAATACAAGGTCTAATAGACAAGTGGATACTGCACTCAACTGCTAACCCAAAAATCGTGGGTTCGATTCCTGGTTGTTTCAAATTTTTTTTTTTTACTAAAATTATTATCTGTAAAAAAATGTCATTACAAAATAAAATTTTTCTAAGTTTGAAAATAAGTAGATAAAAAATGTGTACAGTTTTGGATTTTCCAAATAAATGAAAAAAACGTAAAAATTTTTTTTTCTCTACATCATGAATTTTCAATTTTTGAAAAAAACGACCGTCATAACCTGCCATCTGGTGTCTGTTTTCATTAAACAACACAAATTATATGTGTCCTGACGCGGTGAAAGGGACCTTATGATTAAATAAATCGATTTTTATTTTTTTATACCAATCGATAGTTTTTGAGTTGCTTTTTCATTTCCAACAATTAAAATTTGTCTCCTTCAAATACTTATTGTGTTATATAGCTTTAAACATAAGTACTTTTCCGCGTATTCTCGGGCGCCTCGTGGCTACTGCAAAACCACTACCACTGCTCACCACTACGACGCTACCCTCGTATATCGGTGAGCGTGTTTCCTTCGTGCATCTTCGGCTCTACCATTTCTTGTCTCTCCCCACTAGTTCTAAGCTCTGATGTATACATTGCGCTGGGCCCGGAAAATGGATTTATCTCATATTAAAGCCAGTAAAATTGCAATAAACAATTTATTAGATTTTCATTATTTTAATAATGTATAATAATAATAATAATTTATATTATAAATTCAAGACATATAACTTATTTATACAGCAAAAGTAATGTTATTTTTACTGTTAAAAGTAAAAATTGAAAATTTCTCTGTTGATAAAATAAATAATAAAAATTAATTTTATTTGATAACAACGATTTTCAGAGAATTAATAAATAATTATTAAAAAAATGTTTAAACATTGTCAAAAAGGGGTTTCGTAAATTTCTTCTCATCTTTAAAGGATAAAGTATTTCGAGTTGGCATTTGGAGGAATAATAGAGGAATATTATTTTTGCAATAATATTGTGAGGAAATTATTTTATTAAAGATTTAAAGTGGAGTAATTTGGGGTAAGTTAGTTCAGCAGCGGCCACTAGCTAGAATTGGCGCCACCTTCTGGGCCACTGACACATAGATTCAATGTCTGTCCCCACTTCTGTCAAAAATCCAACTTTTATAACCACAAAATTACTTTTAAAAATGGAGATGCTTCTTAATCAGCTCGCCCTCATCTAATTAATCCGACAAATCCGAACAAGATATTTCAAGTTATTTACGTATTATTTTGTCAATCAAAATTAATCAATTAACTTTAATATAAACTGAATCCATTTGCCGGGCCCAGGGCAATGTTTACATCAGAGCTTAGAAAGAGTAGGGAGGTACAAGATATGGTAGAGCCGAAGATGCACGAAGGTAGCATGCTCACAGACATATGAGTGTAGCGTTGTAGTGGTGAGCAGTGGTGCTGATTTGCAGTTGTACGTCCCCACTACTCAAATGTCTATTTTCGTGCTACACTTCGAGCGCCTCTCCTGTAAAATTTGCTTTGGAACCGTAAGGTCCCTTTCACCGCGTCAGGACACATATTATCTTTTTTTAAAGAAAATTTGACAATATTTTAATTTTCTCAGGAAATCTAATAAATTCTTTAATTTTTTTTTGGAACGAAAAACTTTTCGTTCCTTAAATATTATCTGCTTGAAGATAACCGAAACAAGGTCTAATAGACAAGTGGATACTGCACTCAACTGCTAACCCAAAAATCGTGGGTTCGATTCCTGGTTGTTTCAAATTTTTTTTTTTACTAAAATATTATCTGTAAAAAAATGTCATTACAAAATAAAATTTTTCTAAGTATGAAAATAAGTAGATAAAAAATGTGTACAGTTTTGAATTTTCCAAATAAATGAAAAAAACGTAAAGATTTTTTTCTTACTTTATCATGCATTTAATTTTTAATAAAATATACCGTCATAACCAGACTATTTTTATTTAAAAACACAAATTCTATTATTTTTTTTTAGAAAATCTAATAAATTTTCTAATTCTATAAAATTAAAAAAAAATTGATTTTGGAATCAATTTTTAAAATCATTTAAGAATCATTTTTTTTTAATTTTCAGTTAACCTTGACGAGAAGCTCGCAAACTTTGTCAAAAAAATTTATATTTTTCCAATTTATTAAGATTTGAACCTTGGAAAAAAAATCTTTTTTTCCAAGATTTGAACCCTCGCGGAAAGATTGTGAACTAAGGCAAAAAAAACTTTTTTTGCGATTTTTTAAAGATTTAAACCTTGGCGGTAAGTTTGCAAACTATAACACAAAATTTTTTTTTTCCAATTTTTCAAAATCTGAACCCTGGCGGGAAGATTGCGAATTATGGCAAAGAAATTATTTTTTTGCGATTGTTCAAGATTTGAATCCTTGCGGAAAGATTGTGAACTAGGGAAAAGAAAATTATTTTTTAGAGATTTTTTAAAGATTTAAACCTTGGCGGTAATTTTGCGATCTATTACAAAAAAAAATTTATTTCCAATTTTTCAAGATTTGATCCCTGGCGGGAAGATTGTGTACTATGGCAAAGAAAATTTTTTTGCGATTTTTTAAAAATTTTAACCTTGGCGGTAAGTTTGCGATCTATTACAAAAAAAATTTATTTCCAATTTTTCTAGATTTGATCCCTGGCGGGAAGATTTTGTACTATGGCAAAGAAAATTTTTTTTGGGGGATTTTTTAAAGAATCGAAACTTGTCGGAAAGCTTGCAAACTATGTCAAAAAAATGGTTTTTTTACAATTTTTCAAAATTTGATCCCTGGCGGAAAGATTGTGAACTATGACAATGAAAATGTTTTTTTTGTGATTTTTTAAAGATTTAAACCTTGACGGTAAGTTTGCGAACTATGACAAAAATTTTTTTTTTACAATTTATGAAGATTTGAACTTTGGCTGTAAGTTTGCGAAATAAAGCAAAAAAAAATTTTTCTTGAGATTATTTCAAGATTTAAACCTTGTCGGTAAGTTTGCGAACTATGGCAAAAAAATTATTTTTTTGCGATTTTTTAATGATTTAAACCTTGGCGAGAAGCTTGCGAACTATGGCAAAAAATAATTTTTTCTTGCAATCTTTTCAACATCTGAACTTTGGCGGTAGGCTTGTGAACTATGGCAAAAATAATATTTTTTTATTATTAGTTTTTTGCGATTTTTTCAAGATTTGAACTTTGGCAGTAAGCTTGCGTACTATCGCCAAAGTTCATATCTAGAAAAAGTCAAAAATAAATGATTTTTCATTTTGCCATTTGTTCGCAAGCCTACCGCTAAGGTTCAAATCTTGAAAAACTGGAAGAAAATAATTTTTTTTGCCATAGTTCTCAAGCTTACCGTCATGGTTCAAATCTTGAAAAAATCTCAAAAAAAAGATTTTATCCTTCGAAATCCTACTGTTAAGATTAAAATCTTGATGAACATGATTCTGAACCATGGGAAACAACCATAAGCAGTGTTCTGATAGATTTACCCCATAGTTCGAGTATGGGAAAAGTATGGGATGCGAAAATTATCAATTTTCTTAAAAACTTTACTTTTTTCGTAGAATTAATTAATTTTTTTAAAAAATGGATAATTTTCTAATTCCATACTACTCCATACTTTTTCTTAACCGTGGGCACAGAGTGGCTGTTGTCTAAATCTACCTTGGGCATAGAGTGGCTGTTGCGTGGATCCACCGTGGGCATAGCGTGCCTGTTAAGTAATTCTAGCGTAAGAATAGAGTGGCTGTTGCGTTGGTCTACCGTGGGCATAACGTGGCTGTTGTGTGGGTCTACCGTGGGCAAATCGTGGCTTTTGCGTGGATTCACCGTAAGCATAGCATGGCTGTTGCGTGGATCCACCGTAGGCATAATTCTTTTTTTTCAAAATAAATTGCTTTTGATTCTGCCTTTTGAGACGACAACGAAGAACATTTGAAATTTTGTCTACTTTTCTCATTTCTGGAAAATATATTTTTTTTGTTATAACTAAAAAAAAGTACCAATATTTCTGCAAATTGGCATCTAAGTCAAATTCATCGGTACGAAGGGAACCTACTAAATCTTTTTTTTAAGAGAAATTGCTTTTGAAATTCCAAAGAAATTTCAAATTTTACCTAATTTGGTCATTTCTAGAAAATATTATTTTTTTTCTTATAATTACAAAAAAATGCCAATATATATGCAAATTGGCATCCAAGTGTAATCCATCGCTACGAAGAGAACCTCATAATTCTTTTTTTTTTCAAGTGAAATTGCTTTTGATTCTGTATTTTGAGACGAGATCGCAAAATTTTCAAATTTTGCCTACTTTTCTCATTTCAGGAAAATATTATTTTTTTTCTTATAATTACAAAAAAATTCCAATATTTCTGCAAATTGGCATTCAAGTTTAATCCTTCGCTACGAAGAGAACCTCATAATTCTTTTTTTTTGTGAAATTGCTTTTGATTCTGTATTTTGAGACGAGAACGCAAAATTTTCAATTTTTGCCTACTTTTCTCATTTCTGTAAAATGTTATTTTTTTTCTTATAATTACATAAAAGTGACAATATTTTTGCAAATTGGAATCCAGGTGTAATCCATCGCAACGAAGAGAACCTCGTTATTCTTTTTTTTTCAAGAGAAATTGCTTCTGATTCTGTATTTTGAGACGAGAACGCAAAATTTTAAATTTTTGCCTATTTTTCTCATTTCTGGAAAATGTTATTTTTTTCTTATAATTACAAAAAAGTGCCAATACTTCTGCAAATGGGCATCCAAGTGTAATTCATCGCTACGAAGAGAACCTCATAATTCTTTTTTTTCAAAAGAAATTGCTTTTGAGTCTGTATTTTTAGACGAGAACGTAAAATTTTCAAATTTTGCCTAACTTTCTCTTTTCTGGAAAATAATATTTTTTTATTTAGATTTTGTTCGTCTACAGGATTTTTTGGAATTTTCTACAAAAAGCGGGAACGCTGGATATTTAAAGTTAATAAAAAAATTTTCAATCTTTAGATTTCAAAGAGTTGCAACCCCTCTACAATTCCCGAGCAATAAATAAATTTTTACTAAAAAATTATTGGAGTAATTTATTTCTATATCGACTTTTTTCAATTATTTGATTTTCTGCTGCGAGCGAATAAAGTGTGACCAAAAATTTTATTCTTGGTTGGAAATTGAAGAGGGATTGAAACTCTTTAAAGTATGGCCTACTATGGGTAAAGGATGGCATAAGATGACAAAGTATGGTCAAGAAGACTCGTGTTGTATTTCTCTCCCTGTCTGCCATTACTTTCTGCTCCTAGGGAGCATTTTTCTCCCGCTACACGTAATCTTTCAAAAAATGTGATTTCTGCCCAGCCACGACCCGCGTGGAAATGGAAGTATGGGCAAAAGATGGCAAACTATGGGTTAAACATGGCCAAAAGCTGACAAAGTATGGCAACAGTATGGCAACAGTATTGCTAATGACCGAATCCTATAGTTAAAATATGGCTTCAAAAAAAACCATTTTTTTCAATTCTCCAACTATGGGCGAACTATGGGCAAAGTATGGCGAAGTATGGGAGGCGAAAAAAACACTTTTTTTTAAATTTTCGAACTATGGGCGAACTATGGGCCAAGTATGGCGAAGTATGGGAGGCGAAAAAAACACTTTTTTTTAAATTTTCGAACTATGGGCGAACTATGGGCCAAGTATGGCGAAGTATGGGAGGCGAAAAAAACACTTTTTTCAAAATTTTCGAACTATGGGCGAACTATGGGCCAAGTATGGCGAAGTATGGGAGGCGAAAAAAACACTTTTTTTTAAATTTTCGAACTATGGGCGAACTATGGGCCAAGTATGGCGAAGTATGGGAGGCGAAAAAAACACTTTTTTTTAAATTTTTGAACTATGGGCGAACTATGGGCCAAGTATGGCGAAGTATGGGAGGCGAAAAAAACACTTTTTTTAAATTTTCGAACTATGGGCCAAGTATGGCGAAGTATGGGAGGCGAAAAAAACACTTTTTTTTAAATTTTCGAACTATGGGCCAAGTATGGCGAAGTATGGGAGGCGAATAAAACACTTTTTTTTAAATTTTCGAACTATGGGCGAACTATGGGCCAAGTATGGCGAAGTATGGGAGGCGAAAAAAACACTTTTTTTTAATTTTTCGAACTATGGGCGAACTATGGGCCAAGTATGGCGAAGTATGGGAGGCGAAAAAAACACTTTTTTTTAAATTTTGAACTATGGGGAACTATGGGCCAAGTATGGCGAAGTATGGGAGGCGAAAAAAACACTTTTTTTTAAATTTTCGAACTATGGGCGAACTATGGGCCAAGTATGGCGAAGTATGGGAGGCGAAAAAAACACTTTTTTTTAAATTTTCGAACTATGGGCGAACTATGGGCCAAGTATGGCGAAGTATGGGAGGCGAAAAAAACACTTTTTTTAAATTTTCGAACTATGGGCGAACTATGGGCCAAGTATGGCGAAGTATGGGAGGCGAAAAAAACACTTTTTTTTAAATTTTCGAACTATGGGCGAACTATGGGCCAAGTATGGCGAAGTATGGGAGGCGAAAAAAACACTTTTTTTTAAATTTTCGAACTATGGGCGAACTATGGGCCAAGTATGGCGAAGTATGGGAGGCGAAAAAAACACTTTTTTTTAAATTTTCGAACTATGGGCGAACTATGGGCCAAGTATGGCGAAGTATGGGAGGCGAAAAAAACACTTTTTTTTAAATTTTCGAACTATGGGCGAACTATGGGCCAAGTATGGCGAAGTATGGGAGGCGAAAAAAACACTTTTTTTTAAATTTTCGAACTATGGGCGAACTATGGGCCAAGTATGGCGAAGTATGGGAGGCGAAAAAAACACTTTTTTTTAAATTTTCGAACTATGGGCGAACTATGGGCCAAGTATGGCGAAGTATGGGAGGCGAAAAAAACTTTTTTTAAATTTTCGAACTATGGGCCAAGTATGGCGAAGTATGGGAGGCGAAAAAAACACTTTTTTTTAAATTTTCGAACTATGGGCCAAGTATGGCGAAGTATGGGAGGCGAATAAAACACTTTTTTTTAAATTTTCGAACTATGGGCGAACTATGGGCCAAGTATGGCGAAGTATGGGAGGCGAAAAAAACACTTTTTTTTAATTTTTCGAACTATGGGCGAACTATGGGCCAAGTATGGCGAAGTATGGGAGGCGAAAAAAACACTTTTTTTAAATTTTCGAACTATGGGCGAACTATGGGCCAAGTATGGCGAAGTATGGGAGGCGAAAAAAACACTTTTTTTTAAATTTTCGAACTATGGGCGAACTATGGGCCAAGTATGGCGAAGTATGGGAGGCGAAAAAAACACTTTTTTTTAAATTTTCGAACTATGGGCGAACTATGGGCCAAGTATGGCGAAGTATGGGAGGCGAAAAAAACACTTTTTTTTAAATTTTCGAACTATGGGCGAACTATGGGCCAAGTATGGCGAAGTATGGGAGGCGAAAAAAACACTTTTTTTAAAATTTTCGAACTATGGGCGAACTATGGGCCAAGTATGGCGAAGTATGGGAGGCGAAAAAAACACTTTTTTTTAAATTTTCGAACTATGGGCGAACTATGGGCCAAGTATGGCGAAGTATGGGAGGCGAAAAATAACTTTTTTTAAATTTTCGAACTATGGGCCAAGTATGGCGAAGTATGGGAGGCGAAAAAAACACTTTTTTTTAAATTTTCGAACTATGGGCCAAGTATGGCGAAGTATGGGAGGCGAATAAAACACTTTTTTTTAAATTTTCGAACTATGGGCGAACTATGGGCCAAGTATGGCGAAGTATGGGAGGCGAAAAAAAACTTTTTTTTAATTTTTGAACTTTGGGCGAACTATGGGCCAAGTATGGCGAAGTATGGGAGGCGAAAAAAACACTTTTTTTAAATTTTCGAACTATGGGCGAACTATGGGCCAAGTATGGCGAAGTATGGGAGGCGAAAAAATACTTTTTTAAAATTTTTGAACTATGGGCGAACTATGGGCCAAGTATGGCGACGTATGGGAGGCGAAAAAAACACTTTTTTTTAAATTTTCGAACTATGGGCGAACTATGGGCCAAGTATGGCGAAGTATGGGAGGCGAAAAAAACACTTTTTTTAAATTTTCGAACTATGGGCGAACTATGGGCCAAGTATGGCGAAGTATGGGAGGCGAAAAAAACACTTTTTTTTAAATTTTCGAACTATGGGCGAACTATGGGCCAAGTATGGCGAAGTATGGGAGGCGAAAAAAACACTTTTTTTTAAATTTTCGAACTATGGGCGAACTATGGGCCAAGTATGGCGAAGTATGGGAGGCGAAAAAAACACTTTTTTTAAATTTTCGAACTATGGGCGAACTATGGGCCAAGTATGGCGAAGTATGGGAGGCGAAAAAAACACTTTTTTTTAAATTTTCGAACTATGGGCGAACTATGGGCCAAGTATGGCGAAGTATGGGAGGCGAAAAAAACACTTTTTTTTAAATTTTTGAACTATGGGCGAACTATGGGCCAAGTATGGCGAAGTATGGGAGGCGAAAAAAACACTTTTTTTTAAATTTTCGAACTATGGGCGAACTATGGGCCAAGTATGGCGAAGTATGGGAGGCGAAAAAAACACTTTTTTTTAAATTTTCGAACTATGGGCGAACTATGGGCCAAGTATGGCGAAGTATGGGAGGCGAAAAAAACACTTTTTTTAAATTTTTGAACTATGGGCGAACTATGGGCCAAGTATGGCGAAGTATGGGAGGCGAAAAAAACACTTTTTTTAAATTTTCGAACTATGGGCGAACTATGGGCCAAGTATGGCGAAGTATGGGAGGCGAAAAAAACACTTTTTTTTAAATTTTCGAACTATGGGCGAACTATGGGCCAAGTATGGCGAAGTATGGGAGGCGAAAAAAACACTTTTTTTTAAATTTTTGAACTATGGGCGAACTATGGGCCAAGTATGGCGAAGTATGGGAGGCGAAAAAAAACTTTTTTTAAATTTTCGAACTATGGGCCAAGTATGGCGAAGTATGGGAGGCGAAAAAAACACTTTTTTTTAAATTTTCGAACTATGGGCCAAGTATGGCGAAGTATGGGAGGCGAAAAAAACACTTTTTTTTAAATTTTCGAACTATGGGCGAACTATGGGCCAAGTATGGCGAAGTATGGGAGGCGAAAAAAACACTTTTTTTTAAATTTTCGAACTATGGGCGAACTATGGGCCAAGTATGGCGAAGTATGGGAGGCGAAAAAAAACTTTTTTTTAATTTTTGAACTATGGGCGAACTATGGGCCAAGTATGGCGAAGTATGGGAGGCGAAAAAAACACTTTTTTTAAATTTTCGAACTATGGGCGAACTATGGGCCAAGTATGGCGAAGTATGGGAGGCGAAAAAAAAACTTTTTTTTAAATTTTCGAACTATGGGCGAACTATGGGCCAAGTATGGCGAAGTATGGGAGGCGAAAAAAACACTTTTTTTTAAATTTTCGAACTATGGGCGAACTATGGGCCAAGTATGGCGAAGTATGGGAGGCGAAAAAAAACTTTTTTTTAAATTTTTGAACTATGGGCGAAATATGGGCCAAGTATGGCGAAGTATGGGAGGCGAAAAAAACACTTTTTTTAAATTTTCGAACTATGGGCGAACTATGGGCCAAGTATGGCGAAGTATGGGAGGCGAAAAAAACACTTTTTTTTAAATTTTTGAACTATGGGCGAACTATGGGCCAAGTATGGCGAAGTATGGGAGGCGAAAAAAAACTTTTTTTTAAATTTTCGAACTATGGGCCAAGTATGGCGAAGTATGGGAGGCGAAAAAAACACTTTTTTTTAATTTTTGAACTATGGGCGAACTATGGGCCAAGTATGGCGAAGTATGGGAGGCGAAAAAAACACTTTTTTTTAAATTTTCGAACTATGGGCGAACTATGGGCCAAGTATGGCGAAGTATGGGAGGCGAAAAAAACACTTTTTTTTAAATTTTCGAACTATGGGCGAACTATGGGCCAAGTATGGCGAAGTATGGGAGGCGAAAAAAACACTTTTTTTTAAATTTTTGAACTATGGGCGAACTATGGGCCAAGTATGGCGAAGTATGGGAGGCGAAAAAAACACTTTTTTTAAATTTTCGAACTATGGGCGAACTATGGGCCAAGTATGGCGAAGTATGGGAGGCGAAAAAAACACTTTTTTTTAAATTTTCGAACTATGGGCGAACTATGGGCCAAGTATGGCGAAGTATGGGAGGCGAAAAAAAACTTTTTTTAAATTTTCGAACTATGGGCCAAGTATGGCGAAGTATGGGAGGCGAAAAAAACACTTTTTTTTAAATTTTGAACTATGGGCGAACTATGGGCCAAGTATGGCGAAGTATGGGAGGCGAAAAAAACACTTTTTTTAAATTTTCGAACTATGGGCGAACTATGGGCCAAGTATGGCGAAGTATGGGAGGCGAAAAAAACACTTTTTTTTAAATTTTCGAACTATGGGCGAACTATGGGCCAAGTATGGCGAAGTATGGGAGGCGAAAAAAACACTTTTTTTTAAATTTTTGAACTATGGGCGAACTATGGGCCAAGTATGGCGAAGTATGGGAGGCGAAAAAAACACTTTTTTTTAAATTTTCGAACTATGGGCGAACTATGGGCCAAGTATGGCGAAGTATGGGAGGCGAAAAAAACACTTTTTTTTAAATTTTCGAACTATGGGCGAACTATGGGCCAAGTATGGCGAAGTATGGGAGGCGAAAAAAACACTTTTTTTTAAATTTTCGAACTATGGGCGAACTATGGGCCAAGTATGGCGAAGTATGGGAGGCGAAAAAAACACTTTTTTTTAAATTTTTGAACTATGGGCGAACTATGGGCCAAGTATGGCGAAGTATGGGAGGCGAAAAAAACACTTTTTTTTAAATTTTCGAACTATGGGCGAACTATGGGCCAAGTATGGCGAAGTATGGGAGGCGAAAAAAACACTTTTTTTAAATTTTCGAACTATGGGCGAACTATGGGCCAAGTATGGCGAAGTATGGGAGGCGAAAAAAACACTTTTTTTTAAATTTTCGAACTATGGGCGAACTATGGGCCAAGTATGGCGAAGTATGGGAGGCGAAAAAAACACTTTTTTTTAAATTTTTGAACTATGGGCGAACTATGGGCCAAGTATGGCGAAGTATGGGAGGCGAAAAAAACTTTTTTTAAATTTTCGAACTATGGGCCAAGTATGGCGAAGTATGGGAGGCGAAAAAAACACTTTTTTTTAAATTTTCGAACTATGGGCCAAGTATGGCGAAGTATGGGAGGCGAAAAAAACACTTTTTTTTAAATTTTCGAACTATGGGCGAACTATGGGCCAAGTATGGCGAAGTATGGGAGGCGAAAAAAACACTTTTTTTTAAATTTTCGAACTATGGGCGAACTATGGGCCAAGTATGGCGAAGTATGGGAGGCGAAAAAAACACTTTTTTTTAAATTTTTGAACTATGGGCGAACTATGGGCCAAGTATGGCGAAGTATGGGAGGCGAAAAAAACTTTTTTTAAATTTTCGAACTATGGGCCAAGTATGGCGAAGTATGGGAGGCGAAAAAAACACTTTTTTTTAAATTTTCGAACTATGGGCCAAGTATGGCGAAGTATGGGAGGCGAAAAAAACACTTTTTTTTAAATTTTCGAACTATGGGCGAACTATGGGCCAAGTATGGCGAAGTATGGGAGGCGAAAAAAACACTTTTTTTAAATTTTCGAACTATGGGCGAACTATGGGCCAAGTATGGCGAAGTATGGGAGGCGAAAAAAACACTTTTTTTTAAATTTTCGAACTATGGGCGAACTATGGGCCAAGTATGGCGAAGTATGGGAGGCGAAAAAAACTTTTTTTAAATTTTCGAACTATGGGCCAAGTATGGCGAAGTATGGGAGGCGAAAAAAACACTTTTTTTTAAATTTTCGAACTATGGGCCAAGTATGGCGAAGTATGGGAGGCGAAAAAAACACTTTTTTTTAAATTTTCGAACTATGGGCGAACTATGGGCCAAGTATGGCGAAGTATGGGAGGCGAAAAAAACACTTTTTTTTAAATTTTCGAACTATGGGCGAACTATGGGCCAAGTATGGCGAAGTATGGGAGGCGAAAAAAACACTTTTTTTTAAATTTTCGAACTATGGGCGAACTATGGGCCAAGTATGGCGAAGTATGGGAGGCGAAAAAAACACTTTTTTTAAATTTTCGAACTATGGGCGAACTATGGGCCAAGTATGGCGAAGTATGGGAGGCGAAAAAAACACTTTTTTTTAAATTTTCGAACTATGGGCGAACTATGGGCCAAGTATGGCGAAGTATGGGAGGCGAAAAAAACACTTTTTTTTAAATTTTCGAACTATGGGCGAACTATGGGCCAAGTATGGCGAAGTATGGGAGGCGAAAAAAACACTTTTTTTTAAATTTTCGAACTATGGGCGAACTATGGGCCAAGTATGGCGAAGTATGGGAGGCGAAAAAAACACTTTTTTTTAAATTTTCGAACTATGGGCGAACTATGGGCCAAGTATGGCGAAGTATGGGAGGCGAAAAAAACACTTTTTTTTAAATTTTCGAACTATGGGCGAACTATGGGCCAAGTATGGCGAAGTATGGGAGGCGAAAAAAACACTTTTTTTAAATTTTCGAACTATGGGCGAACTATGGGCCAAGTATGGCGAAGTATGGGAGGCGAAAAAAACACTTTTTTTTAAATTTTCGAACTATGGGCGAACTATGGGCCAAGTATGGCGAAGTATGGGAGGCGAAAAAAACACTTTTTTTTAAATTTTTGAACTATGGGCGAACTATGGGCCAAGTATGGCGAAGTATGGGAGGCGAAAAAAACACTTTTTTTTAAATTTTCGAACTATGGGCGAACTATGGGCCAAGTATGGCGAAGTATGGGAGGCGAAAAAAACACTTTTTTTTAAATTTTCGAACTATGGGCGAACTATGGGCCAAGTATGGCGAAGTATGGGAGGCGAAAAAAACACTTTTTTAATTTTTGAACTATGGGCGAACTATGGGCCAAGTATGGCGAAGTATGGGAGGCGAAAAAAACACTTTTTTTAAATTTTCGAACTATGGGCGAACTATGGGCCAAGTATGGCGAAGTATGGGAGGCGAAAAAAACACTTTTTTTTAAATTTTCGAACTACGGGCGAACTATGGGCCAAGTATGGCGAAGTATGGGAGGCGAAAAAAACACTTTTTTTTAAATTTTTGAACTATGGGCGAACTATGGGCCAAGTATGGCGAAGTATGGGAGGCGAAAAAAAACTTTTTTTAAATTTTCGAACTATGGGCCAAGTATGGCGAAGTATGGGAGGCGAAAAAAACACTTTTTTTTAAATTTTCGAACTATGGGCCAAGTATGGCGAAGTATGGGAGGCGAAAAAAACACTTTTTTTTAAATTTTCGAACTATGGGCGAACTATGGGCCAAGTATGGCGAAGTATGGGAGGCGAAAAAAACACTTTTTTTTAAATTTTCGAACTACGGGCGAACTATGGGCCAAGTATGGCGAAGTATGGGAGGCGAAAAAAACACTTTTTTTTAATTTTTGAACTATGGGCGAACTATGGGCCAAGTATGGCGAAGTATGGGAGGCGAAAAAAACACTTTTTTTAAATTTTCGAAATATGGGGGAACTATGGGCCAAGTATGGCGAAGTATGGGAGGCGAAAAAAAAACTTTTTTTAAATTTTCGAACTATGGGCGAACTATGGGCCAAGTATGGCGAAGTATGGGAGGCGAAAAAAACACTTTTTTTTAAATGTTCGAACTATGGGCGAACTATGGGCCAAGTATGGCGAAGTATGGGAGGCGAAAAAAAACTTTTTTTTAATTTTTGAACTATGGGCGAACTATGGGCCAAGTATGGCGAAGTATGGGAGGCGAAAAAAACACTTTTTTTAAATTTTCGAAATATGGGCGAACTATGGGCCAAGTATGGCGAAGTATAGGAGGCGAAAAAAACACTTTTTTTTAAATTTTTGAACTATGGGCGAACTATGGGCCAAGTATGGCGAAGTATGGGAGGCGAAAAAAACTTTTTTTAAATTTTCGAACTATGGGCCAAGTATGGCGAAGTATGGGAGGCGAAAAAAACACTTTTTTTTAATTTTTGAACTATGGGCGAACTATGGGCCAAGTATGGCGAAGTATGGGAGGCGAAAAAAACACTTTTTTTAAATTTTCGAACTATGGGCGAACTATGGGCCAAGTATGGCGAAGTATGGGAGGCGAAAAAAACACTTTTTTTTTAATTTTCGAACTACGGGCGAACTATGGGCCAAGTATGGCGAAGTATGGGAGGCGAAAAAAACACTTTTTTTTAATTTTTGAACTATGGGCGAACTATGGGCCAAGTATGGCGAAGTATGGGAGGCGAAAAAAACACTTTTTTTAAATTTTCGAACTATGGGGGAACTATGGGCCAAGTATGGCGAAGTATGGGAGGCGAAAAAAACACTTTTTTTAAATTTTCGAACTATGGGCGAACTATGGGCCAAGTATGGCGAAGTATGGGAGGCGAAAAAAAACTTTTTTTAAATTTTCGAACTATGGGCCAAGTATGGCGAAGTATGGGAGGCGAAAAAAACACTTTTTTTTAATTTTCGAACTATGGGCGAACTATGGGCCAAGTATGGCGAAGTATGGGAGGCGAAAAAAACACTTTTTTTAAATTTTCGAACTATGGGCGAACTATGGGCCAAGTATGGCGAAGTATGGGAGGCGAAAAAAACACTTTTTTTTAAATTTTCGAACTATGGGCGAACTATGGGCCAAGTATGGCGAAGTATGGGAGGCGAAAAAAACACTTTTTTTTAAATTTTGAACTATGGGCGAACTATGGGCCAAGTATGGCGAAGTATGGGAGGCGAAAAAAACACTTTTTTTTAAATTTTCGAACTATGGGCGAACTATGGGCCAAGTATGGCGAAGTATGGGAGGCGAAAAAAACACTTTTTTTAAATTTTCGAACTATGGGCGAACTATGGGCCAAGTATGGCGAAGTATGGGAGGCGAAAAAAACACTTTTTTTTAAATTTTCGAACTATGGGCGAACTATGGGCCAAGTATGGCGAAGTATGGGAGGCGAAAAAAACACTTTTTTTTAAATTTTTGAACTATGGGCGAACTATGGGCCAAGTATGGCGAAGTATGGGAGGCGAAAAAAACACTTTTTTTTAAATTTTCGAACTATGGGCGAACTATGGGCCAAGTATGGCGAAGTATGGGAGGCGAAAAAAACACTTTTTTTAAATTTTCGAACTATGGGCGAACTATGGGCCAAGTATGGCGAAGTATGGGAGGCGAAAAAAACACTTTTTTTTAAATTTTCGAACTATGGGCGAACTATGGGCCAAGTATGGCGAAGTATGGGAGGCGAAAAAAACACTTTTTTTTAAATTTTCGAACTATGGGCGAACTATGGGCCAAGTATGGCGAAGTATGGGAGGCGAAAAAAACACTTTTTTTAAATTTTCGAACTATGGGCCAAGTATGGCGAAGTATGGGAGGCGAAAAAAACACTTTTTTTTAAATTTTCGAACTATGGGCCAAGTATGGCGAAGTATGGGAGGCGAAAAAAACACTTTTTTTTAAATTTTCGAACTATGGGCGAACTATGGGCCAAGTATGGCGAAGTATGGGAGGCGAAAAAAACACTTTTTTTTAAATTTTCGAACTATGGGCGAACTATGGGCCAAGTATGGCGAAGTATGGGAGGCGAAAAAAACACTTTTTTTTAATTTTTGAACTATGGGCGAACTATGGGCCAAGTATGGCGAAGTATGGGAGGCGAAAAAAACACTTTTTTTAAATTTTCGAACTATGGGCGAACTATGGGCCAAGTATGGCGAAGTATGGGAGGCGAAAAAAAACTTTTTTTAAATTTTCGAACTATGGGCGAACTATGGGCCAAGTATGGCGAAGTATGGGAGGCGAAAAAAACACTTTTTTTTAAATTTTCGAACTATGGGCGAACTATGGGCCAAGTATGGCGAAGTATGGGAGGCGAAAAAAACACTTTTTTTAAATTTTCGAACTATGGGCGAACTATGGGCCAAGTATGGCGAAGTATGGGAGGCGAAAAAAACACTTTTTTTTAAATTTTCGAACTATGGGCGAACTATGGGCCAAGTATGGCGAAGTATGGGAGGCGAAAAAAACACTTTTTTTTAAATTTTCGAACTATGGGCGAACTATGGGCCAAGTATGGCGAAGTATGGGAGGCGAAAAAAACACTTTTTTTAAATTTTCGAACTATGGGCGAACTATGGGCCAAGTATGGCGAAGTATGGGAGGCGAAAAAAACACTTTTTTTTAAATTTTCGAACTATGGGCGAACTATGGGCCAAGTATGGCGAAGTATGGGAGGCGAAAAAAACACTTTTTTTTAAATTTTTGAACTATGGGCGAACTATGGGCCAAGTATGGCGAAGTATGGGAGGCGAAAAAAACACTTTTTTTAAATTTTCGAACTATGGGCGAACTATGGGCCAAGTATGGCGAAGTATGGGAGGCGAAAAAAACACTTTTTTTTAAATTTTCGAACTATGGGCGAACTATGGGCCAAGTATGGCGAAGTATGGGAGGCGAAAAAAACACTTTTTTTAAATTTTCGAACTATGGGCGAACTATGGGCCAAGTATGGCGAAGTATGGGAGGCGAAAAAAACACTTTTTTTAAATTTTCGAACTATGGGCGAACTATGGGCCAAGTATGGCGAAGTATGGGAGGCGAAAAAAACACTTTTTTTTAAATTTTCGAACTATGGGCGAACTATGGGCCAAGTATGGCGAAGTATGGGAGGCGAAAAAAACACTTTTTTTTAAATTTTCGAACTATGGGCGAACTATGGGCCAAGTATGGCGAAGTATGGGAGGCGAAAAAAACACTTTTTTTAAATTTTCGAACTATGGGCCAAGTATGGCGAAGTATGGGAGGCGAAAAAAACACTTTTTTTAAATTTTCGAACTATGGGCCAAGTATGGCGAAGTATGGGAGGCGAAAAAAACACTTTTTTTTAAATTTTCGAACTATGGGCGAACTATGGGCCAAGTATGGCGAAGTATGGGAGGCGAAAAAAACACTTTTTTTTAAATTTTCGAACTATGGGCGAACTATGGGCCAAGTATGGCGAAGTATGGGAGGCGAAAAAAAACTTTTTTTTAAATTTTGAACTATGGGCGAACTATGGGCCAAGTATGGCGAAGTATGGGAGGCGAAAAAAACACTTTTTTTAAATTTTCGAACTATGGGCGAACTATGGGCCAAGTATGGCGAAGTATGGGAGGCGAAAAAAACACTTTTTTTTAAATTTTCGAACTATGGGCGAACTATGGGCCAAGTATGGCGAAGTATGGGAGGCGAAAAAAACACTTTTTTTTAAATTTTCGAACTATGGGCGAACTATGGGCCAAGTATGGCGAAGTATGGGAGGCGAAAAAAACACTTTTTTTTAAATTTTCGAACTATGGGCGAACTATGGGCCAAGTATGGCGAAGTATGGGAGGCGAAAAAAACACTTTTTTTTAAATGTTCGAACTATGGGCGAACTATAAGCCAAGTATGGCGAAGTATGGGAAGCGAAAAAAACAATTTTTTTAATTTTTCGAACTATGGGCGAACTATGGGCCAAGTATGGCGAAGTATGGGAGGCGAAAAAAACACTTTTTTTTAAATTTTCGAACTATGGGCGAACTATGGGCCAAGTATGGCGAAGTATGGGAGGCGAAAAAAACACTTTTTTTTAAATTTTCGAACTATGGGCGAACTATGGGCCAAGTATGGCGAAGTATGGGAGGCGAAAAAAACACTTTTTTTTAAATTTTCGAACTATGGGCGAACTATGGGCCAAGTATGGCGAAGTATGGGAGGCGAAAAAAAACTTTTTTTAAATTTTCGAACTATGGGCCAAGTATGGCGAAGTATGGGAGGCGAAAAAAACACTTTTTTTTAAATTTTCGAACTATGGGCCAAGTATGGCGAAGTATGGGAGGCGAAAAAAACACTTTTTTTTAAATTTTCGAACTATGGGCGAACTATGGGCCAAGTATGGCGAAGTATGGGAGGCGAAAAAAACACTTTTTTTTAATTTTTCGAACTATGGGCGAACTAGGGGCCAAGTATGGCGAAGTATGGGAGGCGAAAAAAAACTTTTTTTTAATTTTTGAACTATGGGCGAACTATGGGCCAAGTATGGCGAAGTATGGGAGGCGAAAAAAACACTTTTTTTAAATTTTCGAACTATGGGCGAACTATGGGCCAAGTATGGCGAAGTATGGGAGGCGAAAAAAACACTTTTTTTAAATTTTCGAACTATGGGCGAACTATGGGCCAAGTATGGCGAAGTATGGGAGGCGAAAAAAACACTTTTTTTTAAATTTTCGAACTATGGGCGAACTATGGGCCAAGTATGGCGAAGTATGGGAGGCGAAAAAAAACTTTTTTTTAAATTTTCGAACTATGGGCCAAGTATGGCGAAGTATGGGAGGCGAAAAAAACACTTTTTTTTAATTTTTGAACTATGGGCGAACTATGGGCCAAGTATGGCGAAGTATGGGAGGCGAAAAAAACACTTTTTTTTAAATTTTCGAACTATGGGCGAACTATGGGCCAAGTATGGCGAAGTATGGGAGGCGAAAAAAACACTTTTTTTTAAATTTTCGAACTATGGGCGAACTATGGGCCAAGTATGGCGAAGTATGGGAGGCGAAAAAAACACTTTTTTTTAAATTTTCGAACTATGGGCGAACTATGGGCCAAGTATGGCGAAGTATGGGAGGCGAAAAAAACACTTTTTTTAAATTTTCGAACTATGGGCGAACTATGGGCCAAGTATGGCGAAGTATGGGAGGCGAAAAAAACACTTTTTTTTAAATTTTCGAACTATGGGCGAACTATGGGCCAAGTATGGCGAAGTATGGGAGGCGAAAAAAACACTTTTTTTAAATTTTCGAACTATGGGCCAAGTATGGCGAAGTATGGGAGGCGAAAAAAACACTTTTTTTTAATTTTCGAACTATGGGCGAACTATGGGCCAAGTATGGCGAAGTATGGGAGGCGAAAAAAACACTTTTTTTAAATTTTCGAACTATGGGCGAACTATGGGCCAAGTATGGCGAAGTATGGGAGGCGAAAAAAACACTTTTTTTTAAATTTTCGAACTATGGGCGAACTATGGGCCAAGTATGGCGAAGTATGGGAGGCGAAAAAAACACTTTTTTTTAAATTTTCGAACTATGGGCGAACTATGGGCCAAGTATGGCGAAGTATGGGAGGCGAAAAAAACACTTTTTTTTAAATTTTCGAACTATGGGCGAACTATGGGCCAAGTATGGCGAAGTATGGGAGGCGAAAAAAACACTTTTTTTTAAATTTTCGAACTATGGGCGAACTATGGGCCAAGTATGGCGAAGTATGGGAGGCGAAAAAAACACTTTTTTTTAAATTTTCGAACTATGGGCGAACTATGGGCCAAGTATGGCGAAGTATGGGAGGCGAAAAAAACACTTTTTTTTAAATTTTCGAACTATGGGCGAACTATGGGCCAAGTATGGCGAAGTATGGGAGGCGAAAAAAACACTTTTTTTTAAATTTTCGAACTATGGGCGAACTATGGGCCAAGTATGGCGAAGTATGGGAGGCGAAAAAAAACTTTTTTTTAATTTTTGAACTTTGGGCGAACTATGGGCCAAGTATGGCGAAGTATGGGAGGCGAAAAAAACACTTTTTTTTAAATTTTCGAACTATGGGCGAACTATGGGCCAAGTATGGCGAAGTATGGGAGGCGAAAAAAACACTTTTTTTTAAATTTTCGAACTATGGGCGAACTATGGGCCAAGTATGGCGAAGTATGGGAGGCGAAAAAAACTTTTTTTAAATTTTCGAACTATGGGCCAAGTATGGCGAAGTATGGGAGGCGAAAAAAACACTTTTTTTTAAATTTTCGAACTATGGGCGAACTATGGGCCAAGTATGGCGAAGTATGGGAGGCGAAAAAAACACTTTTTTTTAAATTTTCGAACTATGGGCGAACTATGGGCCAAGTATGGCGAAGTATGGGAGGCGAAAAAAACACTTTTTTTTAAATTTTCGAACTATGGGCGAACTATGGGCCAAGTATGGCGAAGTATGGGAGGCGAAAAAAACACTTTTTTTTAATTTTTGAACTATGGGCGAACTATGGGCCAAGTATGGCGAAGTATGGGAGGCGAAAAAAACACTTTTTTTTAAATTTTCGAACTATGGGCGAACTATGGGCCAAGTATGGCGAAGTATGGGAGGCGAAAAAAACACTTTTTTTAAATTTTCGAACTATGGGCGAACTATGGGCCAAGTATGGCGAAGTATGGGAGGCGAAAAAAACACTTTTTTTTAAATTTTCGAACTATGGGCGAACTATGGGCCAAGTATGGCGAAGTATGGGAGGCGAAAAAAAACTTTTTTTAAATTTTCTGAACTATGGGCCAAGTATGGCGAAGTATGGGAGGCGAAAAAAACACTTTTTTTAAATTTTCGAACTATGGGCGAACTATGGGCCAAGTATGGCGAAGTATGGGAGGCGAAAAAAACACTTTTTTTTAAATTTTCGAACTATGGGCGAACTATGGGCCAAGTATGGCGAAGTATGGGAGGCGAAAAAAACACTTTTTTTTAAATTTTCGAACTATGGGCGAACTATGGGCCAAGTATGGCGAAGTATGGGAGGCGAAAAAAACACTTTTTTTTAAATTTTCGAACTATGGGCGAACTATGGGCCAAGTATGGCGAAGTATGGGAGGCGAAAAAAACACTTTTTTTTAAATTTTCGAACTATGGGCGAACTATGGGCCAAGTATGGCGAAGTATGGGAGGCGAAAAAAACACTTTTTTTTAAATTTTCGAACTATGGGCGAACTATGGGCCAAGTATGGCGAAGTATGGGAGGCGAAAAAAACACTTTTTTTTAATTTTCGAACTATGGGCGAACTATGGGCCAAGTATGGCGAAGTATGGGAGGCGAAAAAAAACTTTTTTTTAATTTTTGAACTATGGGCGAACTATGGGCCAAGTATGGCGAAGTATGGGAGGCGAAAAAAACACTTTTTTTTAAATTTTTGAACTATGGGCGAACTATGAGCCAAGTATGGCGAAGTATGGGAGGCGAAAAAAAAATTTTTTTTTAAATTTTTGAACTATGGGCAAACTATGGGACAAGTATGGCGAAGTATGGGAGGCGAAAAAAACACTTTTTTTAAATTTTCGAAATATGGGCGAACTATGGGCCAAGTATGGCGAAGTATGGGAGGCGAAAAAAACACTTTTTTTAAATTTTCGAACTATGGGCGAACTATGGGCCAAGTATGGCGAAGTATGGGAGGCGAAAAAAACACTTTTTTTAAATTTTCGAACTATGGGCGAACTATGGGCCAAGTATGGCGAAGTATGGGAGGCGAAAAAAACACTTTTTTTTAATTTTTCGAACTATGGGCGAACTATGGGCCAAGTATGGCGAAGTATGGGAGGCGAAAAAAAACTTTTTTTTAATTTTTGAACTGTGGGCGAACTATGGGCCAAGTATGGCGAAGTATGGGAGGCGAAAAAAACACTTTTTTTAAATTTTCGAACTATGGGCGAACTATGGGCCAAGTATGGCGAAGTATGGGAGGCGAAAAAAACACTTTTTTTAAATTTTCGAACTATGGGCGAACTATGGGCCAAGTATGGCGAAGTATGGGAGGCGAAAAAAACACTTTTTTTTAAATTTTCGAACTATGGGCGAACTATGGGCCAAGTATGGCGAAGTATGGGAGGCGAAAAAAACACTTTTTTTTAAATTTTCGAACTATGGGCGAACTATGGGCCAAGTATGGCGAAGTATGGGAGGCGAAAAAAACACTTTTTTTAAATTTTCGAACTATGGGCGAACTATGGGCCAAGTATGGCGAAGTATGGGAGGCGAAAAAAACACTTTTTTTTAATTTTTCGAACTATGGGCGAACTATGGGCCAAGTATGGCGAAGTATGGGAGGCGAAAAAAAACTTTTTTTTAATTTTTGAACTATGGGCGAACTATGGGCCAAGTATGGCGAAGTATGGGAGGCGAAAAAAACACTTTTTTTAAATTTTCGAACTATGGGCGAACTATGGGCCAAGTATGGCGAAGTATGGGAGGCGAAAAAAAAACTTTTTTTTAAATTTTTGAACTATGGGCGAACTATGGGCCAAGTATGGCGAAGTATGGGAGGCGAAAAAAACACTTTTTTTTAAATTTTCGAACTATGGGCGAACTATGGGCCAAGTATGGCGAATATGGGAGGCGAAAAAAAACTTTTTTTTAAATTTTCGAACTATGGGCGAACTATGGGCCAAGTATGGCGAAGTATGGGAGGCGAAAAAAACACTTTTTTTTAAATTTTCGAACTATGGGCGAACTATGGGCCAAGTATGGCGAAGTATGGGAGGCGAAAAAAAAACTTTTTTTTAATTTTCGAACTATGGGCGAACTATGGGCCAAGTATGGCGAAGTATGGGAGGCGAAAAAAACACTTTTTTTTAAATTTTTGAACTATGGGCGAACTATGGGCCAAGTATGGCGAAGTATGGGAGGCGAAAAAAAAACTTTTTTTAAATTTTTGAACTATGGGCGAACTATGGGCCAAGTATGGCGAAGTATGGGAGGCGAAAAAAACACTTTTTTTAAATTTTCGAACTATGGGCGAACTATGGGCCAAGTATGGCGAAGTATGGGAGGCGAAAAAAACACTTTTTTTTAAATTTTTGAACTATGGGCGAACTATGGGCCAAGTATGGCGAAGTATGGGAGGCGAAAAAAAACTTTTTTTTAAATTTTCGAACTATGGGCGAACTATGGGCCAAGTATGGCGAAGTATGGGAGGCGAAAAAAACACTTTTTTTAAATTTTCGAACTATGGGCGAACTATGGGCCAAGTATGGCGAAGTATGGGAGGCGAAAAAAACACTTTTTTTTAAATTTTCGAACTATGGGCGAACTATGGGCCAAGTATGGCGAAGTATGGGAGGCGAAAAAAAAACTTTTTTTTAATTTTTCGAACTATGGGCGAACTATGGGCCAAGTATGGCGAAGTATGAAAGGCGAAAAAAACACTTTTTTTTAAATTTTTGAACTATGGGCGAACTATGGGCCAAGTATGGCGAAGTATGGGAGGCGAAAAAAAAACTTTTTTTTAAATTTTCGAACTATGGGCGAACTATGGGCCAAGTATGGCGAAGTATGGGAGGCGAAAAAAACACTTTTTTTAAATTTTCGAACTATGGGCGAACTATGGGCCAAGTATGGCGAAGTATGGGAGGCGAAAAAAACACTTTTTTTTAAATTTTCGAACTATGGGCGAACTATGGGCCAAGTATGGCGAAGTATGGGAGGCGAAAAAAAACTTTTTTTTAATTTTTGAACTTTGGGCGAACTATGGGCCAAGTATGGCGAAGTATGGGAGGCGAAAAAAACACTTTTTTTTAAATTTTTGAACTATGGGCGAACTATGGGCCAAGTATGGCGAAGTATGGGAGGCGAAAAAAAAACTTTTTTTTAAATTTTTGAACTATGGGCGAACTATGGGCCAAGTATGGCGAAGTATGGGAGGCGAAAAAAACACTTTTTTTAAATTTTCGAACTATGGGCGAACTATGGGCCAAGTATGGCGAAGTATGGGAGGCGAAAAAAACACTTTTTTTAAATTTTCGAACTATGGGCGAACTATGGGCCAAGTATGGCGAAGTATGGGAGGCGAAAAAAACACTTTTTTTAAATTTTCGAACTATGGGCGAACTATGGGCCAAGTATGGCGAAGTATGGGAGGCGAAAAAAACACTTTTTTTTAATTTTTCGAACTATGGGCGAACTATGGGCCAAGTATGGCGAAGTATGGGAGGCGAAAAAAAACTTTTTTTTAATTTTTGAACTTTGGGCGAACTATGGGCCAAGTATGGCGAAGTATGGGAGGCGAAAAAAACACTTTTTTTAAATTTTCGAACTATGGGCGAACTATGGGCCAAGTATGGCGAAGTATGGGAGGCGAAAAAAACACTTTTTTTAAATTTTCGAACTATGGGCGAACTATGGGCCAAGTATGGCGAAGTATGGGAGGCGAAAAAAACACTTTTTTTTAAATTTTCGAACTATGGGCGAACTATGGGCCAAGTATGGCGAAGTATGGGAGGCGAAAAAAACACTTTTTTTTAAATTTTCGAACTATGGGCGAACTATGGGCCAAGTATGGCGAAGTATGGGAGGCGAAAAAACACTTTTTTTAAATTTTTGAACTATGGGCGAACTATGGGCCAAGTATGGCGAAGTATGGGAGGCGAAAAAAACACTTTTTTTTAATTTTTCGAACTATGGGCGAACTATGGGCCAAGTATGGCGAAGTATGGGAGGCGAAAAAAAAACTTTTTTTTAATTTTTGAACTATGGGCGAACTATGGGCCAAGTATGGCGAAGTATGGGAGGCGAAAAAAACACTTTTTTTTAAATTTTCGAACTATGGGGGAACTATGGGCCAAGTATGGCGAAGTATGGGAGGAGGAAAAAAAAATTTTTTTTAATTTTTGAACTATGGGCGAACTATGGGCCAAGTATGGCGAAGTATGGGAGGCGAAAAATACACTTTTTTTTTAATTTTTGAACTATGGGCGAACTATGGGCCAAGTATGGCGAAGTATGGGAGGCGAAAAAAAACTTTTTTTTAAATTTTCGAACTATGGGGGAACTATGGGCCAAGTATGGCGAAGTATGGGAGGCGAAAAAAACACTTTTTTTTAAATTTTCGAACTATGGGCGAACTATGGGCCAAGTATGGCGAAGTATGGGAGGCGAAAAAAAAACTTTTTTTAATTTTTGAACTATGGGCGAACTATGGGCCAAGTATGGCGAAGTATGGGAGGCGAAAAAAACACTTTTTTTTAAATTTTTGAACTATGGGCGAACTATGGGCCAAGTATGGCGAAGTATGGGAGGCGAAAAAAAAAATTTTTTTAAATTTTTGAACTATGGGCGAACTATGGGACAAGTATGGAGAAGTATGGGAGGCGAAAAAAACACTTTTTTTAAATTTTCGAAATATGGGGGAACTATGGGCCAAGTATAGCGAAGTATAAAAGGCGAAAATAACACTTTTTTTTAAATTTTTGAACTATGGGCGAACTATGGGCCAAGTATGGCGAAGTATGGGAGGCGAAAAAAAAACTTTTTTTTAAATTTTCGAACTATGGGGGAACTATGGGCCAAGTATGGCGAAGTATGGGAGGCGAAAAAAACACTTTTTTTAAATTTTCGAACTATGGGGGAACTATGGGCCAAGTATGGCGAAGTATGGGAGGCGAAAAAAACACTTTTTTTTAAATTTTCGAACTATGGGCGAACTATGGGCCAAGTATGGCGAAGTATGGGAGGCGAAAAAAAAACTTTTTTTTAATTTTTGAACTTTGGGCGAACTATGGGCCAAGTATGGCGAAGTATGGGTGGCGAAAAAAACACTTTTTTTTAAATTTTTGAACTATGGGCGAACTATGGGCCAAGTATGGCGAAGTATGGGAGGCGAAAAAAAAATTTTTTTTAAATTTTTGAACTATGGGCGAACTATGGGCCAAGTATGGCGAAGTATGGGAGGCGAAAAAAACACTTTTTTTAAATTTTCGAACTATGGGCGAACTATGGGCCAAGTATGGCGAAGTATGGGAGGCGAAAAAAACACTTTTTTTTAAATTTTCGAACTATGGGCGAACTATGGGCCAAGTATGGCGAAGTATGGGAGGCGAAAAAAACACTTTTTTTTAAATTTTCGAACTATGGGCGAACTATGGGCCAAGTATGGCGAAGTATGGGAGGCGAAAAAAACACTTTTTTTTAAATTTTCGAACTATGGGCGAACTATGGGCCAAGTATGGCGAAGTATGGGAGGCGAAAAAAACACTTTTTTTTAAATTTTCGAACTATGGGCGAACTATGGGCCAAGTATGGCGAAGTATGGGAGGCGAAAAAAACACTTTTTTTTAATTTTCGAACTATGGGCGAACTATGGGCCAAGTATGGCGAAGTATGGGAGGCGAAAAAAACACTTTTTTTAAATTTTCGAACTATGGGCGAACTATGGGCCAAGTATGGCGAAGTATGGGAGGCGAAAAAAACACTTTTTTTTAAATTTTCGAACTATGGGCGAACTATGGGCCAAGTATGGCGAAGTATGGGAGGCGAAAAAAACTTTTTTTAAATTTTCGAACTATGGGCCAAGTATGGCGAAGTATGGGAGGCGAAAAAAACACTTTTTTTTAATTTTTGAACTATGGGCGAACTATGGGCCAAGTATGGCGAAGTATGGGAGGCGAAAAAAACACTTTTTTTTAAATTTTCGAACTATGGGCGAACTATGGGCCAAGTATGGCGAAGTATGGGAGGCGAAAAAAACACTTTTTTTTAAATTTTCGAACTATGGGCGAACTATGGGCCAAGTATGGCGAAGTATGGGAGGCGAAAAAAACACTTTTTTTTAAATTTTCGAACTATGGGCGAACTATGGGCCAAGTATGGCGAAGTATGGGAGGCGAAAAAAACACTTTTTTTTAAATTTTCGAACTATGGGCGAACTATGGGCCAAGTATGGCGAAGTATGGGAGGCGAAAAAAACACTTTTTTTAAATTTTCGAACTATGGGCGAACTATGGGCCAAGTATGGCGAAGTATGGGAGGCGAAAAAAACACTTTTTTTTAAATTTTCGAACTATGGGCGAACTATGGGCCAAGTATGGCGAAGTATGGGAGGCGAAAAATAACTTTTTTTAAATTTTTGAACTATGGGCCAAGTATGGCGAAGTATGGGAGGCGAAAAAAACACTTTTTTCAAAATTTTCGAACTATGGGCGAACTATGGGCCAAGTATGGCGAAGTATGGGAGGCGAAAAAAAAACTTTTTTTTAAATTTTCGAACTATGGGCGAACTATGGGCCAAGTATGGCGAAGTATGGGAGGCGAAAAAAACACTTTTTTTAAATTTTCGAACTATGGGCGAACTATGGGCCAAGTATGGCGAAGTATGGGAGGCGAAAAAAACACTTTTTTTTAAATTTTCGAACTATGGGCGAACTATGGGCCAAGTATGGCGAAGTATGGGAGGCGAAAAAAACACTTTTTTTTAAATTTTCGAACTATGGGCGAACTATGGGCCAAGTATGGCGAAGTATGGGAGGCGAAAAAAACACTTTTTTTTAAATTTTCGAACTATGGGCGAACTATGGGCCAAGTATGGCGAAGTATGGGAGGCGAAAAAAACACTTTTTTTTAAATTTTCGAACTATGGGCGAACTATGGGCCAAGTATGGCGAAGTATGGGAGGCGAAAAAAAACTTTTTTTTAAATTTTTGAACTATGGGCGAACTATGGGCCAAGTATGGCGAAGTATGGGAGGCGAAAAAAACACTTTTTTTTAAATTTTCGAACTATGGGCGAACTATGGGCCAAGTATGGCGAAGTATGGGAGGCGAAAAAAACACTTTTTTTTAATTTTTCGAACTATGGGCGAACTATGGGCCAAGTATGGCGAAGTATGGGAGGCGAAAAAAACACTTTTTTTTAAATTTTCGAACTATGGGCGAACTATGGGCCAAGTATGGCGAAGTATGGGAGGCGAAAAAAACACTTTTTTTAATTTTTCGAACTATGGGCGAACTATGGGCCAAGTATGGCGAAGTATGGGAGGCGAAAAAAACACTTTTTTTAAATTTTCGAACTATGGGCGAACTATGGGCCAAGTATGGCGAAGTATGGGAGGCGAAAAAAACACTTTTTTTTAATTTTTCGAACTATGGGCGAACTATGGGCCAAGTATGGCGAAGTATGGGAGGCGAAAAAAA